ATTCAGCTCCAGTTGGTTCAACTACACGGACATGAGGGGTCGAATAATAATAATAATTATCCTTGCCTTTGATGTAGCGCCTTTACAACATCTTTGAGATGCCTCAAAGCGCTTCAAAGAATATACCGGAAAGTCAATTGAAATGCGCACAGCAGCGTCCCACAAACAGTGGTGGGTTGAGTGACCAAATTATTATTATCTTTTTGTATGGTTCTGTATCTCTATTGGTTCTACGTCTGACAGATACACAGGACGAAAGTAGGATCGGTGGAACTGACTACACGTTGGAAGCCGGATTGATAGACTTTGGGGCGACTTATACCTTTATTGCTGTTGGGGTGAGTGTTTCCTTCAATAATAATAATAATAATCTTGCATAGCGCTTTTCACGTCCGCCAAACAGAGCAGTGTAACGCGGTCATCGCTTGACCTCCGGAATGGCTTTCCCGGCTCGGGATTCCCGGCTTACCGTGCAGGGAGTCTGACAATCCGCCACCTCGCACCACATGTGGCATTGGACGCTACGATTGCACTTTGCCCACAGAGCACATCAGTGGCCCAACCGTCTCTCACGGAGTCCTGTAGCTCAGGTTAGACCCCCCTCGCCTCGCAAGCGAGAGGACCCGGGTTCGATTCCTTAGGCAAGTTTCCTTACTCCACACACACGCCTGTTTAACCAGCTGTCAGTAGGAACCCGGTTATTAGTCGATTGACGGATCACTTTCCAGGCACAATAGTCCCTCCAAAAAAACAAAAATGTGGTCACTCAGTCCACGGCTGTTTGTGGGGACGCTGCCGTGTGCAATTGGCTGCCGCGCTTCGCCCACAAAATATACAGTCACCACACTTTACGATATGAGATGCACCGTGAAGCGCTTTGAGACGTCTCAACGACGTGATCGGATGCCTTACCAATCTATTTCCGACCCGCAGCCCGAGGGAAGCACAATGGTGATTCGGAAGACTGAAGATATCAAGGCAAACGTGGTTCACATCGCGTGGCAGGCTCCTCAGTACATCCTCATGTCTGCTGGCGAAGTCATGTTCTCCATTACTGGTGTTTCCTTCTCATATTCGCAGGTAACGCTTTGATATACGCAGGTTTCCCCCCCACCCCCCAGCACCGAGCTGGAGCTTCAGCTTAGACGGTGAGCTCAAACGTTCGGCGAGTGGCTGGGAATTTGCAATCTCCTGACTTGAGCCGTTGAGTCTTTGTTTTTTCTCTTAAACGTTTGAAGTTTGAGCTGACGATTATCCCGGGGACACACACGTTGGAAAGTGTGACCACACTTTGCTCTCGAATTCAAGATCCTCACCCTCACCTGCAAGGCCATTCACGGCCTCGCTCCCTCATACCTCTCCGACCGACTATCCCCCTACCTACCTGCCCGTACCCTCCGTTCCTCTGGCTCCGGTCTGCTCCACGTCCCCCGCCCCAACCGCCCTACATCGGTGGCCTTCAGCCTCTCAGCCCCGCTCTCTCCATCCCCAGTGCCTTCGCCACTTCCTCCCTTTCCTCCTTCAAGGCCGGTCTCAAGACCTTTCTCTTTGACCTTCAGCCTTCAGCTCCCCTCTCGACTCTCTTCCCCTCCTCGCTCCTCCCTTCCCTCCCCTCACCCTGACCATTTCCCCCCTGCCGACCCAACTGTCTTGGGACGTCCTCCGACGTGAAAGGCGCTCTATAAATGCAATCGTTGTTTTGTTTCTCAGGCTCCAGCGACGATGAAAGCTGTCCTGCAGTCCGGCTGGCTCCTGACTGTGGCCTTCGGGAACGTGATAGTGATTATCGTGGCCAAAGCTGCTTACATGTCGCAGGTAAGTGACCCTCCTCAGGCAGGAGCGCTTGAGACAGTGGCGAGTCTGAGGGAGGTCGAGCCGGGAGGGAGGGAGAAGGTGACCATAAGCACTGGTCTTCGGTTGTGATCTAAAAGAGGGGAAGGAGCAAGGAGTTGGAAGAGAGGGGGAGACGGGGGGATTCCGGGATTGGAGTTCCAGAGGATAGATCCTTAGCCCCTAAACAAGGAGCGGAATGTTTTAGGAACGACGGGATTTCAGACCCTCCCATCGGCGGTTCGATCGGTATCTCCGGGAATTTTCCACACCTCCCGGTGATTTCTCTGTCGGTTCCTCCTTGCAGTGGGCTGAGTTCCTCCTCTTCGCTGCCCTCCTGTTGGCTGTCTGTGTCATTTTCTCCATCATGGCCTATTTCTACACCTACGTGGACTCCTCGCAGTTTATGGACGAAGACAAAGAGGAGAAGGAAACAGCGAAGCCACCGCCCCTGAGGACATCCACCTCACCACGATTGACAAACAGACATATATGTAAACTCCATACCGACCCGTTGGCTCCCTGAACTCATCGGGCTCCAGCCTGCTCCACGTCCCCCGCCAAGACCACTCCACCATCCACAGTCAGGCCTTCGGGCTCTCTGCCCCTAGCCTTTGGAATCCATCCCACAGTCTCTCTGCCTCGCCGCCTCTCTTGCCTCCTTCAAGGCTCGTCTCACGACCTTCCTCTTCGACCGCACCTTCGTCACCCTCCTACCCCCTCCTGATCCCAACGCCCAGCTCGGGTCCAAATCCTTGACTGTCCAGCGCCTTGGGACGTCCTCCTGATGTGAAATGTAATTTATTGTTGTTGCCCAACTCCACTGGCTGCCCATCACACAGCGGATATGTCCAAGATCCTGATCCTCACCTTCAAAACCTTACATTGCCCTGCTCCCCCTATCTCTGCGACCTCCTAACCCCTATACCATCCCGCTCGCACCCTCTGCTCAGCGGGCTCCGGCCTGCTTCACATCCCCGCCTCGCTCGTCCCACTATTGGCGGCGGGCCTTCTGTCACTCAGCCCCCACCCTCCGGAACCCCATCCCGCAGTCCCTGCCACCTTCAAGACCTCCTCTTCGACCGTGCTTCCGATCACCCTGATTCCACCCTGCCCTCCACTCTCCCGGATCCCGACCCCCTGCTCAGCTCCATAACTCTGTCAGTCCAGCCCCATGGGACGTCCTCCTGACGTGAAAGGGGCTATGCAAATGTAATTTTGTTGTTGTTGTTGTTGTTGTCTTAAAGCCGCAATTTACTGATCAAACGTGCCTTCCAAAAAAAAACATGTACAGTAAATTCCTGACAATCCGAGCCTGGCTTCACTTGTTACTTCCACGGGAGTCATGTCATCGCGCTGTCAATATCCCGGCTGGGTTTATTGCGCCTAAACTCGCCACTCCTGATAACTAGTCACCGAGTCTCGTTTGCCTCGGATGAGTTGTCGGTTCATGTGCGTTAAAGTACAAAATATGCGAGGTAAGTAAGGTCACAGGTTTTGGTGGTTGGGGGTGGACGGGGGTGGACGGGGGGCGGAGGGAGGAGAGGAGAAATGGGCAAAAAAGTTCTTTGCAGAGAAAATACAAGGACATTTAATCATTGGGGTGATTGCCCAATTCTGGTCATGGCGAAGGGGTTTTGCTGTTGACTGTGTTGCTGCCGTTCCACTGTTCGGCCACTGGAGGGTGACACCGAGCCGAGGCTGCTCTACTTGAGCACCCGATTGGCTACGTTTGACCACCCACTCGCGTTGCTCTCCTCTGCCTTCTAGTGGTGGTTGGTGATACAACAGAGGAACAGGAGGAGGCCATTCAGCCCCTCGAGCCTGTTCCACTATTCCATGAGGCCATGGCCGATCCGCACCCGGGGAAATCGATCACCAGGCCGCGAGGGAGTATGGGAAGCACTCTGGGTGTATCACGCTCCTTCCCTTTCCAAGCACAAGATAAACCAGTCCTGTTCTGAGCTGGTGATGGTCAACCGGGGGTGGATTTAAAGGGATCTATTTACCAGTTAAAGGCAATCGGCATCTCCTTCCATTATTGGGCAACAAATGGCTTAATCGACAGCCGTGTCGTCCATGCTGAGATGTGACTGGAAGGCGGGGGACAAACTGCCCTTCAAACCTTTATAAAGTCTCGTCATTGCGGTCACCTCAGAACAGAGTCTTTGAGTTGCACCAATGGGTTCTTTGTTGTCCAACTGAATGGGCCACAGACAGGACCTCAGGTCAGCATCTCATCCGAAAGACGGCACCTCAAAATAATGCAGCACTCCCTCAGCACTGCACTGGAGCATTAACTGACGCGGGAGTTTGAACCCACTCGCAACCTTCTGGCTCAGAGGCGAGAGCGACACCAACTGTGAACTCAATAGTCTCGACAGAAGTGGGGGGGGGGGGGTGTTGAGTTAAGAGTCAAAGTGGGAAGAATATACGATCTTTACAATAATCCTCGCACTTGATGCAGCATCTGTAACCTCAAACCATCTCAAGACCCTGGTAATTGCTGTCAAGCGCGGGCCATGTATTTTGTAGGCAAACGGGGAAGCCAATTTGTGTGTTTCCACTGCCATGAACACCTTGGTCAACCGGGTGTCTGACACACTGATAGCACTGCCTGGCCAGCCTTTGCCGCGTTCTGCCTTGGAGTGAACTCACAAAGACCCAAACTTGGGACATGAGCCCTTCAACCTTCTGACTCGCAGGCGAGAGCGTGAGGGACTGAGCCAGGCCGATAGCTTGACTTGCAACCAGTTGTTGTTGGCACCAACGGCGTGTCCCTGTATACGTATACAAGGTCGGCAGTGAAAGTCTTTATCCCTATTGTCCTTCTTAAGCACTTCAAGAGGTTCATCGCTCATGAAAGGCTCTTTGCATAAGTGATAGCCTTTTGCTGGGATTCATTCACGTTTTCAAGACTGAGCCGGATAGATTCCCTTGTTCCTGTGGTTAAGAAACTGAGCACTTTAAAGGTTGATAAGAGTGGGGGTGGGAGGGAGGACAGGCGAGAAAACGTCAGAGTGAAGCACAGAAAAGAAAGACATATTAAGCACCAAGGTAATAATAATAATCCTCACATTTGATATCGTACCTTATCATGTCGTTGAGAGGCGTCTCAAAGCTCTTCACAGGACGTACTCTAAAGTAAATTGACTGTATTTTGTGGGCGAAACGTGGCCGCCAACTGTGCACAGCAGCGTCCCACAAACATGGATTAAGCAACCAAATTTTTTCTGGAGGGATTATTATCCCCAAGAAAGTGATCGGCCAATCAACTAACAACGGTGTTCCTGCTCACTGCTGGGCGAACAGAGGCGCGTGTGTGGAGTAAGGAAACTTGCCTGATGTTTCGCCCTGCTCGGGAAGCCAACCCAGGTCCTCTCGTTGCGAGGCGAGCGCGCTAACCCGCTGAGCTACGGGACTCCATCGGGGGAGACAGGGAGAGAGCGAGCGAGCGCAGTGACAGGAATGTTGCTAAGGTCCGTTGGACGTCGACTGATTGACTGGAACAGAGAACGTACAATTTCAATCTTTTCAGAAAAGGTCAGTTGAATGGTCCTGGGAATCGTTAGCCCGACATCTATACAGAGAGAAGGATTGGTCTCAAAGTGCAAACCAGCCAAGTTAAGAGCCTCCATTGACAGGCAATAAATCTATACTGATCTGAGTGTCTGATTCCAGGGTCATCATGTCTAACCCACTCTTTTGTGTCACAAATTTCTTGGAAATCTTTTGTGGCGTTGAACGAAAAATCTCAACAAGGGGAAGAAAATAAATGCTATGCAGCTCACCGTTGAGAAGGCACTGTTTGAAAGACATTTCCCTGTGAATTTACCGAGGATCTTAAGCAGAAGCTCAACCCAGCGGTCGCTTAATAGTACGGCGTTAATGGGGCAGTTTTTGATGTTCAAAATGGTGAGTAGTTTTGATAATAATACTCGCACCTGATACAGCGCCTTCTTCATGTCTTTGAGAGTCTCAAAGCGCTTCACGGGATGTACTGCAAAGTGAATTGACTGTATATTTTGTGGGCGATACGCGGCAGTCAATTGTGTACAGCAGCGTCCCCACAAACGGGCGTGGATTGAGTGACCGCATTTATTTATTAATTTGAAGAGGTTACTACCCCGGAAAGTGATTTAACAACCGGGTTCCCATTTATTGCTGGGTAACCAACTTTCTCCTCAGACCTGCATCCCCCTTTGCTACTCTGCTAAATCATTAAGTCAGATTATCCTCACAGAGCAGTAGGGTTCCCGACAGAATACATGGCAAAAATCCCCTACAAGCATAATTCTTGACGCTTTTCTTTGCGGACCGGACAGCCTGGAGATTTATTCCAATGTTTCTGGCTCCTGTTCTCACAGAAATGGCCGCGAGGGTTAATTTATAGCGTTATCTAGATTCTGGATGGAACCAGACTTCAGAGTTTAGACAGCTCCAGGGATGGTGAAACAGTCCGGCTTGATTTAGTTGCTATAAATTCAGGGAACGCCCTCTATCCTGTATGTTAAATACAGATGCCGCACAATGGCTTTGCCTTTTTGTCTCTGGAGGACGGCTGTTTTGCTCGAGCCTGCCTTAGCTTCGAGATTAATATAATAATAATTCCTACATTTCATACAACGCCTTTCATGCCAGGAAGACGTCATAATAATAATCCCTGTATTTGACATGGCGTCTAATCACATCATCGCGACGTCTCAAAGCACTTCACAGAATATAATGTAAAGTGCAGTGACTGTATATTTCGTGGGCGAAACGCGGGAGCCAATTGCGCACGGCAGTGTCCCGCGGCAGTGGTGGATTGCGTGACCAAATTATTATTATATCTTAAAGGGATTATTACCCCTGGAAAGTGTTTCACGGGGTTTTACTGTAAAGTGTAGTGACTGGTGTATTTTTAGGTGAAACACAACAACCTTTTGATACAAGAACAGCTATGAACTGAGCTACCAATTTTATTTGGCCAGGCCACCGGGAGAGAGAGAGAGAGAGAGAGAGAGAGAGAGAAACTCCCTTCTCTTTTGGAATAGCGCCGCGAGATCTTTAACGTCACCTGAACAGGGCACCGACGGGGAGCTCGGTTGAGACAAACGAAACATGGACGAGCTGGTGTGACTAACGGGAGCTTTGCCTGTCCAGCAGGATTCGAGTCGCTAACCGAATAACGTCAGGGTGAACCAAACATTCCAGCAAGTCATCGGTGGTCAGCCCATCCTCGCTCCCACCATCTCCCCCTCCGCTTGACAACCTGCCATCACACCCAGCCGCCACGCACCCAATACTCAGGCCTGTCCTTCCCCGACAATGGGTGAGCTCCACGTCATCTCCATCCAGAGGTCCCTCGCACTGCTCAGAGTCGCACGAAACACAGCCCGACCCACCGCTTCCTGCGTGAGCCGTACCAACCGGAAGGAGGTGGGGACCAAACGGAATGGCGGATTCATCTCCCACGGGGTCTCGCTCGGAGGCGGGAAACACTTTGCTCGACTCGCGTTTCCTTTTCTTGGGTGAGTTGGAAGATGAACGCCTCGCTGGTGAGGTCCCATCATTTGGGGAGGGGGATAACGGCAGGTAAGGCTTCGAGTTGCAAGCCTGAACTGCAAGGTTTTAGGTAACGCAGATTGGTTTCGTGGGACATAATGTTAACCTAGTCCAAAAGAGAAAGACAGATCACCGGTGTTAACATATTCCAGCTCCTTTAGTTGACTCCACAACAGTATTTGAAGAGTAGACTGTATAACAGTAAGTGCACGGGAGAGCTAACATCAGCACAGACATGATGGAGGGTTGGGGGGGGGGGAGTAAGGAAACTTGTCTAAGGTTTTGCCCTGCCCGGGAATCGAACCCAGGTCCTCTTGCTTGTGAGGTGAGCACTCTGCTACAGGACATGTCAAGCTTTTGACATGGAAGACGTTTCGAGATGACAGGCATTGTAAAAATGGGTGTCTCCTCAAGTACCTCTGTGGGATTGAGCCAGCTGCCAGCGTCGGCCAAATTCTCTGCGGACTTCAGAGCGTAGACCGCGGTGCGTGTCAACGCCTCGCTGACTCTGGCCTCGTCGTCTTCAGCCTAGCGAACAGGACAGGCAGGAGGAGAGTCACCAACAATGGCCTCGTTAGCAAGAATCATGAAAGAACTAACACAACTACTTGAAAAGAGCCGCTGAGTTTTCCTCCAGGTCCATAACCACTATCTATATCCTCGAATCCTCCCTCCTCCACCTTTAAATACCCATCTTGCGATTTACCAACAACAACAACTTGCATTTACACCCCGCCCCACACGCAGAGGGTAGCGCCCCAGAGCGCTCGACAGTGGCGAAACTCCACGTCGAGTTGGAGGGAGGTGGGGAGGGGACCGTTCGGCGCGGTCGAAGACGAAGGTCTTCAAGTGCGACCTGAAGATGGGGATGAAAGGGGGGAGGGGAGGGGAGGTGGAGGGATTGAGGGAGAGAGTTCCAGTCGGATTTACCTTGTTGACTGTGCTTCTGCTCATCCTCCTCCAAGAAAAACTCGGGCACCCAGCCAGCTGTGTGAAGTGCTTTGATACGTCCTCCCGACACGAGGATGCCTCAAAGCACTTCATCTGCCTTTGTTCCATTTTGTTCTGACAAACATCGAGTGGATTGTGGAACACTCCCGATTGATGGTAAATTCACCCACATGCAGTTAAAGTGGGCCGCTTGTTATGCACTTATGCAGCGCAGTATTTATATTGCTTACACATTCTAACTACTTCATGCCTTTGTAATAATACTAATAATTAATCCTGGCATTTGATAGAGCGCCTTAACAGGTCGGTGAGGCGTCTCAAAGCGCCTCACGGAATATACCCTAAAGTGAATCGACTGCATATCTTGCGGGCGAAACGCGGCAGCCGATTGCGCGCAGCAGCGTCCCCACAAACAGCCATGGATTGAGTGACCATTTCTTTTGAGGGATTATTGCCCCCGGAAAGCAATCTGCCATTCGACTAACAACCGGGTTCCTACTTACTGCTGGATAAACATGTGTGTGGAGTAAGGAAACTTGCCTAAGGTTTTGCCCTGCCCGGGAATCGAATCCGGGTCCTCTCGCTTGCGAGGCGAGTGCTCTAACCATTATACTTATGATAACACAATAATTTTGCCCACAAATATACAGTCAATTCACTTTACAGTGTGTTCTGTGAAGCGCTTTGGGACGTCCTCCCGACGTGAAAAGCGCTATATCAAATGCAAGGATTATTATTATTATTATAATAAACTAGAGAAAGACAGCTGACCCCAGTCAGGCGAGACACAGGATCTTTTAAACGTACGACATTTGTTTCAACTGTATTCTTGTCAGTAAGTAGACGGTACACAGATCGGCTCTCTCTGCATTGTTATTGCCTGGCACTGTTATAGTTGTGCTGCAGTTCGTAAGGGCACAGCTGAGATGCATAAAACAAATCATTGAATATTCTTCCGAAAGATACACTGCAGCGTGGATTTAATTATCCAAAACAATAACGGCCGCACACATACATAAAGATGAACTCCTCGTTCAAAGCTACTCGTCTCTCGTGTCCTTGTTTAACCCCCTCTGAGGCTAACGATGAGGATATTAAGATAATAAAACACAATGTGGAGGATAAAACCCAGTGAAAGACTATCCCACGTTTCACACAATTAAAAGAGGAAAGGGAAGCTTTATCGTAGAATCTCACAGCGCCGAAGGAGGCCATTCGGCCGATCGTGCCTGTGTCGTCTCTTTGAAAGAGTTATCCAGTTAATCCCACTCACTCCCCCAGAGCCTTGCAAATTGTTTCTTTTCGAGTAAATATCCAATCCCCTTTTTGAAGTTATTATTGAATCGGCTTCCAGCAGCCTTTCAGGATCCCAACAACTCGCTGGGTAACAAGATTTCTCCTCGTCTCCCATCTGTTTTTTTTTTAATCTTCAGAGTGCTTCCAAAATAATAAAAGCCTATTCATAGCAATGAAAGCCTAACAGTCCTCCTCCAAATAAATTGGGTCGTTCATTTCACGGCTGCCTGTGGGACCGCCGCGTTTGCCTGGAAATACACAGTCACTACGTACGCTTTGACATCAATCACCTTTGAAGGAGGTGGAGTCCTGTAGCATACTGGTTAGCTCGTTCTACTCACATCCGCCAATCAACTAACTTACCCACTTACTGCTGGGTAAGCAGAGGCGTGTGTGTGTGCGGAGTAAGGAAACGTACCTAGGGTTTCGTCCTGCCCGGGAATCGAACCCGGGTCCTCTCGCTTGCGAGGTGAGCGCTTTAACCACTGAGCTACGGGACTCCACAAATTTGTTTGCTTGCGATGCCTTTCCATCAAGGTACAGCATCCCGATGCATCAAGTCGGATGAAAGCTGTAACTCTACCCTACCCTTTTAGCTAGCAAAGTTACGTTCAGCCCAGCTAAGTGGAGAATGTGCCAGATTAATAGTTTTAACAGGCTCTGAAGCACGGAAAGTGGAAGTGCAGAACTTGCAATGTGCAGAAGCGTTCTTTATCTTCAACACCAACCCGAAAGTAAAACACCGGTTTATCCAAAAGCTCCCATCCCCTCAGACAGCATCCATGACCGAGTGCAAACAGTCACAATCCATCAGCAAAACGAATGAGGTCTGCGATCATTATCATTTGCGTTGTTGCTTGGTGCGAGAGTTTCGCTGTCGGGAAGATTATGCTGTGATGGCTGCCAAGCTTGCGTGGAGAGTAATGCTTAAAATGATTTAGTGCTATCATCAAAACGGGAGCTGTAGCATGACATGCCCATTTGTACCCCATAACTGCTGGCACTGGGAGGGACAGATTTTCAAACCGACACTCTCAAAATCAATTACCACTTACCTTCTGCTCGCTTGTGTCCCTTAGAGCCTATATTTAGCTCCACTCACGCAGAACAGTGTCCCAGACAGTGGCGGAACACGATGCCAAGCCAGGTCTTCAGGCGCGACCTGAATTATATTATTTTATATGAACTCTATTAGTTAGGCAATAGCGAGCCACTGGAGCCTGGCGAGAACAAGTGCTCCAGGATTCTACTCCAGGTGAAGGACGCTATATAAGTTGTTGTCGTTGATGTGATGGGTGTACGGAGTTTAGTATATAAATATATACACATATATATAAATAAGGCTGTTTTTTTTGCTGATGAATTCAAATGATAAATTGGATTTATAATTGACTCCGGGCTTCATTTCTACCCAGCGGTGAAAACACAGGGATGAGATGGAAACACCATTCATCAGACAGACGGATGGGACGATGGGTAATAAATTCTAACCTCATTAAGGTACGTTCGTGTTTGGAGTCCAGCTTTCTGCACATTATAACAAGCCCCACACTGCACGTCGCTGCTCTATTAGACTGATTAAAAACTAGAACGTGGTCAACTGTGCTAACCTTCTGACAGATAGTACAGCAAAACCTCATATCAGTCTTCGCCCACAAAATATACATTTTCGCCCATAAAACATATAGTCAACTGCCTTTACAGTATGTTCTGTGAAGCGCTTTGAGACGTCTCAAAGATGTGATAAGGCGCTATGTCAAATGCAATGATTATTATTATTATAAGTCGTATCAGTTGGGACCATACATTTAATTTGACTTACGCAAATGTTACAGTCAATTCACTTTACAACATATTCTATGAAGCGCTTTTCACGTCTTCTAGACGTCTCAAAGCGCTTCACAGAATATGTTGTAAAGTGAATTGACTGTAATATTTGTGGGCAAAACGTCCACAATGTGAGCTTTACTGTATCATACTGCTCTGTAATACTATTATTATTGTCATTATTATTATAACTGACATCCTTCCAATGAGGTTGGATGTGCCTAAACACAAGTAAAACCCAGAGCAACCCCTCGTTATGACAACTTGTTTGGCTGCTGAGGGCATATGCAATATTTTTGCGTTTCCCTTCCAGAAACACAACATAACATTTACGGTTTATGTACGGAAGGAGAGGATGGTCCAGATGAAATAGAGCGGGGGGGGGGGGGGGGGGCGAGTTAAATCGGCCCGCGGGATGAATTAAATCGGGCCAGCAGTTGGACCACCTTTGTCAATGTCATAGCAAGGAGCTCTCTGTATCCGGAAAGCTGTTCGCATTCTTGCTGCCAGGGGCGCTACACGCAGACCAATCTCTACTGTGTGTTCAGACAGAGTTTGTTTAAAAAGATTATCAGCGCAATTCAACACAGAAAATTGGCCCGACTGCTCCTTATTCCCCCTGCAACATGCGGAGTTGACAGACTGTCAGGAGGGTTGAAGAGATCTGCCAGTAGTGGCCATCTCTTGTTAAACGCTGTCTCTCCCGTTCTTGACGTTTAAAAGTGCCACTTCTCTCTCTCTCTCTCTCTCTCTCTGTAGATTTAGAACATTGTTTCCTGACATCTTGTTCCGTCTTCACTCTGTCAGGGTTGACGGGAGGATTTGTCCCTTTGCCCTTGCTCAGCATCTGACCCTGTCTTTGCGAAGCGCTTTGAGGCATTACCTTATGTACCTTACGTCCACCTTTGTGAGAATGTATTCTCAGGAGGCATAAACAAGGACAAAATTTGAGACGTTTCACTGCTTGCAACGCTGCAAATTTATAATAATAATAATAAATCTTGCATTTGATACAGCGCCTGATCACATCTTCGAGACGTCTCAAAGCGCTTCTCAGGATATACTGTACTGTGTATTTTGTGGGCGAAACGCGGCAGCCAATTGCAGACAGTAGCGTCCCGACAAACAGCTGTGGATTGAGTGACCAAATGTTTTTTTGTAGGGGGAGGATTATTACCTCCGGAAATGCGATCCACCAAGCGACATACAACAGGGTTCCTACTCACTGCTAGGTTATCAGAGACATTCGGAGTAAGGAAACTTGCCCAAGGTTTCGCCATGCCTGCCTGGTCATCGAACCCGGGGTCCTCTCGCTCTCGCTCTCACCACTGCGCAGCAGGGCTCCAAATTCACTGGGTAAGAGTGAAATCCGCTTGTAGGTGACCTGTTTATACACAAATCCCTTTTGCGCATTTACCCACTGTTCCACGTGCAAATAAGTGATTTGCCCTCTGTGCATTAGCTCACTCACTGCCTCCTCTCCATTCATCAGACTTCCTGGCTTCTGGCCTCAGTTTGGCAGGATCCAGCCGAGAAGGGAGGTAAAAATCAAGCTGACAGGAAGGAAGACTACAAAGCTTGATTATCTATCACCGAGCTGTAGCTGCTTTTTGGACATTTTCCACTCAAGCTGTGGACACTGGCAATTTATGATAAACCCAAGCGGAATTAAAGGGAAGGTTAGGAAAGAGTAATTCTTCGCCCTGAGGGTGGTAGGAAGATGGAATTCCCTGCCACGACACTCGTGAGGCGAAACCCACCGGTTCTGCAAGAAGCAAACTGGTAGATACTCGCTTGGCAATGTGGGACGCTGCCGTGCTCAATTGACTGCCGAGTTTCGCCCGATTATTATATTATTATTATATTATTATTATATTATTATTATATTATATTATCATATCATTATATCATTATATTATTATATCATGATATCATTATATCATTATATTATTATATTATTATATTAATCAAGAGAGCGATAAGATTATTATTATTATAACTCCTTGCATTTGATGTTGCGCCTTATCACGTCTTTGAGGCTCAAAGTCTCAAAGCGCTTCACAGAATATCCCGTAAAGTGGAGTGACTGTATATTTTGCGGGTTGAAGGTTTGTGTTTCGATTAGTCTAAAACAAACTCCTATGCGTTACCAGTTCAATCCAGGAGTTCATGCTGACGCTGATAGGATCCAAAGATTCGACATAGTGCCACCAGTGCCTGGGGACAAACAGGACCTGGAAAGAGAAAGAGAAGCCAATTTATAATAGTCATGTCAACAGCAATGAACCTACCTGCAAGAGAGGTCCCCGCCTGCACTTTCCCCCTGAACTCCCCCTCGGAGACCTGTACCGTAGTGGTTAGAGCACTCGCTTTGCAAGCGAGAGGACCTGGGTTCAATTCCTGGCTGGTGCGGGGCAAAACCTTAGACAAGTTTCCCTCCTCCACACACACGCCCTCTGTTTTCGTAGGCAGGAACTCGTTTGTTAGCGGATTGGTGGATCGCTTTCCGGGGGTAATAATCTCTCTAAAAAGAAATGTGGTCACTCAATCCACGGCTGTTTGTGGGGACGCTGCTGTGCGCAAATGGCTGCCGCGTTTCGCCCACAAAATACACAGTCACTCCACTTTACAATACATTCTGTGAAGCGCTTTGAGACGTCTCGACGATCTGATAAGTCGCTGTATCAAATGCAAGCATTATTACCATTGTTATGATTAAACTTTTCACTGTTTGGCAACGCTTAACTCTGCAAATTTGTCTGCGTTCTCCACAGAGCAGGGTTATTCTGAACACGGCAACAATATTATTTCAATATATTACGCTTGAAACCGATTGTGGGAGCTGTCTTTCGCATGCAAATGAACCGTACCATCTGGTCTGGCTCAGAAATCCTTGGCGGATCCCTCAACTGAGATGAAATGAGAACAGTGTAAATCACAGCAAATGGGGCCTTGGGAGGTCACGATTATAGATTAAAAAAAAGCTGGATGTCTTGGGAGTTTGGAACACTCATTCTCTCTCGTTATCTCTCATTCCATGTTCACTTCCCCCCGGGACACCTAATTGAATCATGTCGCCAAACTAAAATGTAATTGTTCGCAAGAGAGGTACAGATTTAAAAAAAACAAACATTAGACCTCATCCTTCCATAACACCAACCCTACTGTCCTCTCAATATATAATAATAATAAATAATAATCCTTGCATATAGCGCCTTATCACATTACAGCATTAAGCTTCTTAAACGAGGCTCAATGTCCTTTGCCTCAATCATGTTTTATGGCAATTTGTTCAAACCCAAATACTTTGTTTGATCCAAGATCACAAGATTTGCTTTGATTTCCCTCAACACCTCGGTCTCTCTGCTGTTTTTGACCTTGGCGTCGCTGAAAATATTGTTCCGAGTTTACTTTTGCTTTGCCCTTTCGGATTGTGTAAACTGTACCTCTATAAGGTTTTCTATCACACACTGAATGGTAATAATAATCCTTGCATTTGCTATAGCGCCTTATCACGTCTTCGAGACGTCACAAGGAGCTTCACAGAATATACTGTAAAGTGAATTGACTGTATATTTTGTGAACGAAATAAGGCAGCCAATTTTGGCAGGTGAACACCATTGTCGAGGCTTAGCCCAACCTATGGATGTGGCAAGTCAGGGGGATTGGGGGGGGGAAGAGTTCCAAAGCTTTGGGGCGTAGTGGCTAAAAGCGTGCCCGCTGATGGTCAAGCGGAAGGGACGAGGGATGAGCAGGAGGCCAGAGCCAGTCGAGCAGAGGCAGCAGGTCGTGGAGTGGGAAGAAAGCAGGCCGGAGATGCCAGGGCGTGAAGGGATTTGTAGACCTAGTGAGAAGATCTTCAAATCGATCCATTCTGTGATCGGGAGCCTGTGGAGCCTGGCGAGAACTGGCATGATGGGGATACAGAGTTTTGTGTGGGTGAGAATACGGGCGGTCAAGCCAATTAAGGGAACTGTTAAGGGAAACATTCAATCAGTTATAGATTGATTCCAATAGTTTTTAACAGGAACAACTTAGGCTAGGAAACAACTCTGGCTGTTTCCATTGCCAGAACCGCATATTGATTTGGCAGATCCAATTAATTAGAAGCAAGTTAAATACTGCTGGTAATAGGATCACCACAAACATTCAACTAAAGTGGTATTGATAAAGAACTCGCATTTTTATGACACTTTATCGCATTGTAAGTGCTTTACGGCAGTTAAATGTGACGTGTAGTGTAGTTGGACACACATGGCAGCCATTATCGCACAGCAAACATCCTACAAATACAAGAACCCAGAAAATAACAAGATTGGTTCAGGTGAGAAAGGCTCTTCAGCCCAATCTGACCTCACCCTTCCAAAACTCCCATCCTACCAACATCCCATCACAGCATCAAGGTGTTTTTTAAATAATAATAATAATAATAGTAATTCTTGCGTGTGATATAGCACCTTATCACATCGTTGGGAAGTCTCAAAGCGCTTCACAGGATGTACTGTTGAGTATAGTTTGTGGGCAAAATGTGGGGGCCACACAGCAGTGTCCTACAAACAGTCATGGAGTGAGCGACCAATTTTTATTTTGGGGGATTGTTGGCCAGGACACCTTGAGAGAGAGAGAGAGAGAGAGAAACTACCTTCTCTTTTCGAATAGCACCGTGGGATCTGAACAGGCAGACGAGGAGCTCGGTTTAACGTCTCATCTGAAGGACAGCTCAAATGCTGCTGTGATGACACTTTTCCTTACACCCCGATGTCGCGTTCGCTAAGCCTGCTGGTTTGCGAGGCGACTGCATTAGTCCTGAAAAGACATCTATCCACAGGGCCAAAAGGTAACAGCGATGCCTTTGCTTAATGAGACAGCCGTTGGGATAAAAGTGATATCTTGCCTGCGACAGAGCTAGGAGTTGCTAATTAAGAGACCTCGGATCAAGCTCAGTTTCCATTTACTCCCGGGTAGGTTTAGACGCAGGGCTTAAGCTTGCGCTCCAGAGCTGCACAAGTTAAGAGCTGACAACTGATGCCGGTTTCATTTTTCAGTTGTGGCAATTCCTTGCTGGAGTTGGGATCTTTGGCCCTGAAAAGAGATGCCATCAGGAGGGACCCAACCGAGGTCCACAACGGGATTTTCTGCCAGTAACTCTGCACATCAAGTTATTCAATGTTCGCTGCGCTGCAAATAATTCCCCACAATCCCAGCTAAACGCAAGCCCATAGAGTAGGGTAAGTGGCGAGAGCGCCCGCTTTCCGGGGGTAATAATCCCTCTAAGAAAAAAATGCGGTCACTCCAACCACGACTGTTTGTGGGGAACTCTGCTGTGCGCAGTTGGCTGCCGCGCTTCACCCGCAAAATACGCAGTGACTGCACTTTACAGTATATTCTGTGAAGCGCTTTGAGACGTCTCGAAGACGCGATAAGGCGCTACGTCAAAAGGATTGTTAATATTTGAAATAATAAACTCCAACACAAGCGTTTAACTCCAGCCTGGGCATTCCATCCTAACTTCCCATCGTGCAAACTTGAATCACGGCAATGAAACACGAAGCAATCGGATCGTGTTTCACAGCTTCCGCAAAGATAAATAGCGACTGCGACTTCGGTTTCTTTTGCTGCACGGCCAAAGGCGTATTACTCAATTAGCAGCAGGTAAGAGAGAGAGATGGGTTCGGGATGGATCATCAAAAACAATCGATAACAACTTGCATTTACACAGCGCCCCTCACACAGCGTAGCGTCCCCGAGCCAAGGGGGAAGGTGAGGTGACCGAAGGCACGGTCGAAGAGGAAGGTCTTCAGGTGCGATCTGAAGACGGGGAAGGGAGGGGGCCGAGGCGGAGGCGGAGGCGGAGGCGGAGGGATGGAGGAAGAATGTTCCAGAGTGTTCAGTGGCTGAAAGCGCAGTCGTTGGCAATGGGGAGAAGGGGTTTGTTACGAACGACAGATGTGTTGGACTGGGTACGTCTCCTCATTAGCCACCACCACCCACTTCTTGGCGGCAAATATATTTTTTCATAATCGCTAAATACTGGTAGGCATGCCTGATCCGCAGGCGGGATGTCGGATTTTACCAGAATTAACTGCTCTCCATTACTGCTCTGTCGGAAATTACCATAAACAAGCACAGCCATCCATCACTTCGATGCGCAAAACAAAACATGATATTTCATAATTGTACCCATCATAGTTTGATCTCGCGCCCTGTAGGCCCAGAATAGCTCCCTGGCTCGGAAAAAGAATTAAAATCTTTCCAATTTACAGACGCGTTTCCCGAAAGCAATTTACATATATTTTAGCGAAATGGTCTAAAACGAATGAAAAATAATTCCATGTACACAGCTGCCTCAACTGGGTATGACTCACTGGAGTATGTACACGCACCTGATACAGATTTATGCCGAACTGAGAAGAGACGGATGATTAAGAAATGGCCAGCGACTGGGACGGAAGAAATAAAACTTGCCCTGGCCCTTAAATTACCAAAACCGCTCTTTGATTAACTCGCTCTCGTCTCAGGGTAATTCATAAACGGTACAGTTTCCCAGATTTTTTTAATACAAAAATCGTCTCTCTTGTGGCTATCACTAATTTACAATATGTGGCTCTCATAATGTGTGGCTGTCAGATCGTCACCTCTGGATTCCCGCCAATCACACAACCACAACTCACAGGTTTGTGTGTGTTAAAACAGGGAAGGCCACATGGCAGTGATCGCAACTTCTTCTGGACGAAAGAAAAACGAATCCACTTTTTACGGCGCTAATGATTCGAGGGACGGAACATCTATCAGGTTTGGGTTCAGACTGCGATGCCCAGCGAGTGATACTTCCAGACATCGCTATCTCAAATCGCCTTTCTGTACCGTCGTGAGGAACGCCGTTTGAAACAAAATGAAGGCCGAAAGTCTAAGACACAGCGATAACGATTAGCAGAATTCCTGAAGCTTATTGATTAGAGCGCTTGCCTCACAAGTGAGAGGACCCGGGTTTGATTCCCGGGCGGGGCGAAACCTTAGGTAAATTTCCTTTCTCCACACGCCAGTTTACCTTGCAGTAAGTAGGAACCCGGTTGTTAGTCGATTGGTGGATCCCTTAAAAAAAAACACAGTCACTCCACTTTACAGTATACTGTACGAAGCGCTTTGAGACGTCCCGAAGACGTGATAAGGCGCTGTATCAAAGGCAAGGATTATTATAGTTATACATTGTAATTCAAACGGAGCTTGCAGCCGTTGCTTATCAAGTCGTTCCCCCCCTCCCATCGTTTTGTCTGTTCACCCTCACGATTTACAAAGCAGTCTTCTTCGGAAGGGCAACACGGGAAAGTTGACCTCCACGGCAACGTTCACACTAGGATGTGGAATGCGTTATCTAGGGCAAGTGGCTGGTAAATCGGTCTCAATGGCGCCATTCATAAAAGGAAACTGAGAAACACTTGAAGAGTTAAGATAGGAGAGAGCAATGGAGCAAAAAGAGCAAAATAGGATTAGAGATATCTCCAGCGGCGGACGGGAGGTGAGGGATGGTGGCGAGCACAGTTTAGGCACGATAGCACTGAAGAGCTTCCTCCTGTGCTGAAATTTCCGTGTCACTCTGTGCAGCGTAAGATAAGTGATGGAAATTCTCCCGAAATGAGATTTGACGTCACTTAAATGGAACAGTGGAGCTGAGAACCAAAGACTGGTTGGCGCTTGATACCATTCAGCTGTTAACCAGCGCTCTCACCCCTCCACACTGTGGCACATCAACCAATGCTAAACTACTGGACCAGCTGATTGGTATATTTATATTTTAAGGCCGTTTGATGGGCTTTAAGATGAGGTATTTCATTTAGCGTTGAACAACGGAACTCTTTCTGATTTTTAACATCAAACACGCTCTGACAACAACAACAACAACATGCATTTTCTATAGCGGCCTTCAGGCCAGGCGGTGTCTCGGAGCACCTGGATGAGGTAGATCCAGCTTCCCTCCACTCTGCGCCAAAAGTACATCTTATGAATCTTAACTTCAGCCTCAGAAGAACACACCCTTCCCTCTCAGCGTGACGACAACAACTTGCATTTACACCGCGCCCTTCACGCAGGGCAGCATCTCGGAGCGCTTAACAGAGCCGGAGCCTGACGCCGAACTGGGCTTGGAGGGCGGGGGGGGGGGGAGGTGGAGGTGACCGGTCGAAGAGGCAGGGTTCAGCCGTGAACTCAAAGAGGGTAAGGAGGGGGTACAGCGGAGGGATTGGGGGAGAGAGTTCCAAAGCTTCGTGGCGTCGTGGCTGAAAGAGCGGGAGCTGACGGTTGAGCGGAGGGGACGAGGGACAAGCCTGACCTTGATGGTAGTTAGAGCGCTCGCCTCGCATGCGAGGTTCTCAACGGGTTCTCAACGACTCGATAAGGCGCTGTAGCAAATACAGGGAGGATTATTATTATTATTATTATTATTATTGTGAAGGGTAAAACTTGCATTTTTATACTGCCTTCACGTTGAAATATCTCGAGAGCACTTCACCAAAATCACAGTCAAATGTTGTGACCGCTTTATTGCCGGCAAAAGCTGCAATGACCACATTTTTTGTTAGTCGATCGCAACGTGGAAGTGAAATGATTGACTCCATCGTTTCAGTCATCATTGACCTTTGCCCTCTCCCCTCTTCCCTCCGCACCCCCACCGCCCCGGGGGTCTGTACGTTCCCAGTACATGTCAAACGCTGGACGTGGATTTATTCCAGGAATAAACTTGTAAAATGGCCGAGGGTCTTTTTTAACTGTGGTAAGTTTGGACTGTAAATCACAAGAATCTACAGTGGAGTCCTGTAGTGCAGCGGTTGGAGCACTCGCCTGACAAGCGAGAGGACCCGGGTTCGATTCCCAGGCGGGACAAAACCTTAGGCAAGTTTCCTTACTCCACACGCCTCTGTTTACCCAGCAGTAAGTAGGGACCCCAGTTGTTAGTCGATTGGCGTATCGCTTTCCAGGGGTAATAATCCATTCAAAATAACAATAATCATTATATGGTCACTCAGTCCACGACTGTTTGTGGGGCACTGCTGTGGGCAATTAGCCTGGTGTGTTTCACCCACAGTCAATTTACTTTGCAGTGAAGCACTTTTGAGACGTCTCGATAACATGTTAAGGCGTTATATCAAATGCAAGGATTAGTATCATTATATCACATCTTCGAGACGTCAAGATTTTAAAATGTACAAAAACTGTGATCCCTCAAGACGTAAATAATAATAATCCTTATATTCGCATCTCTTCGTCTCGGTTGACCTACGGAATTTTGACCTATTTTAACGCACGCAAAAAATAATCCAGATAAAAAAAAATATATACTTTCTCTCTCCCTCTCTAAGAAAAATCCTCCGAAAGCTGCGAAAGCTTTAAATTCTGGATAAAATTGTCGGGATTTTTTTTTATTCTGCAAAGATTTGCCTGAAGCCACAACAAATGCAAAGCCTGAAGGTCAATCTGGGCTTTAGTCAAGTACAAACTGGGAACAAGGTGAACCCAAGGCAGCCTGATGATGTCTGATTGTGGGACGCTGCTGTGCGCAATTGGCTGCCGCGTTTCGTCCACAAAATACACAGCCACTACATTTTACAGTATAATCTGTGAAGCTCTTTCGAGACGTCTCGGCAACATGGTGTCAAATGCAAGGATGATTATTATTGTATAAAATGCAAGGATTATTATTATTTTGAAGTTATATTCAGATGGACTTCACATCAAACCACTCTAATTCCCTTCGTAATTTTAGAAGCACAAATTGTTCCCCCAACCCTTCCACCACCACCACTGACTTTATGTTCCAATCACCAAATTCAGTTTGATTATAGGTTGCCGGACACAAGTAATAAGAACGTAAGAATTTGCGAGGCGAGAGAAGACCCAGGTCCTTCCAGTTCGCCTTCCACCATCCTGGCAGTCGCTTGACATCTCGTGTCCCAAACTATTTATTGTTTCGTACCTAACAGTAACAGTATAAAAATTGACTCAGAACTTAAAACTCCTACCACACACTCACTCACCTGTCCTGGATGTAGAGTCACAATGTGGGGCTTGGCGCGACCAAACTGAGGGAACATCTTGACGTCGGGGTTGACAACGTTAACTTTGCTAAACACGCTCGACTCTTCGTAAGGAATTCTAGTGGGATACAGGAAGGAGGTGTCTTCTGGAGGGAAGAGATGCCACCGTTTTCTGCAGATACACAAAACATTTCCAGATTTATGTCACTCTCCCGCAAGAAACCCGATTGTTTTATGACGCTGCAAATTATTCTCTGGTCAGTCTGTCTCCTTCGCCGAAGGCCTTCCACGGTACAAGTGTTTTACCGAGATGATAGAGGGTGTTGAGCAGATAGGAATGGAAGGAGCATTTAAGCGTGTGTGCCAAAAGCACAGTCAGGGTGATGTGTTTTAAAGAGGATTCTGAAGGTAGCAAAAGACAGCAAAGGTAAAGGATTTCAGGTGAGAGTTCCAGAGAGGAGGGGCGCATTGGCTAAAGGCTTGGCCACCAATAGTAGGGTGGAAGGAGTCAATAACGAGCATTAAACGTGATAGAACTTTAGACGTGGGTACGAGAATAGCTGTCTGTGTTTTGTGGGTGGAGTGGGGGGAGGCTAAACATCTTTAGGGCGTTCCTTTTCTCTCTTAATTCTGTGAATTTAAAATTTCACGCACAAAATACAAAGTCAATTCACTTTATAGTACATTCCGTGAAGCACTTTGAAAGGTCTCGAAGACGTGATAAGGAACTGTATCAAATGCAAGGATTATTATTATTAAAGTTGTGATATCCTCCCGAAGATATGACTTATGTAAGGCTGACTGTAGTGGGAAAGAGATTCAGTTTAAGTCAAAGAACCCGTTCTTGCAGAGATTCAGGAAACTGTTTCCATTCAATTGCCGGAATGCGTTGTTTCCTTCGAGACTTTGCACAGGAGATGTGTCTGGGGTAGTAGATGTGTTGAGAGTGGAAGGTTCCACATAGTAAGATATGTTCATTTGAACACCATGTGGTCAGATCTCCAAACTGATGGCTTTATGATTATAAAATCACTTAAGAGTTGTATAATAACAAGCATTCAGATTAGACACACAAGTCATTTCCGATCATGGTCTCTTTGACTAACAACCCCAGTGAATAAGGCAGCCTTCCCCCACAGCAGATATATTGCATCTGTCAACCAAGTTAAGACCCTACTGAATAAAGGGAATGATAGACGTCTCACATAATAGGTACATTCCAGATGTATCTTCCATTTTCTTTGGGGAAAATGGCCAAATCTGTCCTAGAGGGGGTGGGATTTGGATCATCCACTGTGCATCCACGCACAAACAAAACCAAAAAAAAATCCAAATGTGAAACAGATTCAGTGTCAGGGAGAATTCAAAGCTCTTGAGTAATTACTCAAACCCAACTGCTTGTACAGAAATCGCAGCAACCTAGTTAAACCGCAACGCAACTGAATTCTCAGTACTGAGCGCAAAATGTCTCCTCGTTTGCGAAAAGTTTGGGCTCCAACAGGTCAAAGAAAGTCCTTTTTAGAACAGCTCTCTGCTTGGCAGTAATAACTGCTAAATGGGGCACTTTCTATACATGTAGTCAAATGGGGTAACCATTCCTACTAACAGCCGTGAGGTGAATGACAAATTTATCTGGGGGATCATTGGCCAGGCAGCAATGTAGAGGGGAACCCTTTTCTAATAGTGTAATAGTGCGATCTTTAAAGTACACAACAACAAATTACATTTGTACAGCGCTTTTCATGTCAGGAGGACGTCCCAAGGTGCCGAAGGGAGAGACAGGACCTCTGTTTAACGTCTCATTTGAAAAACGGCACCTTCCACGACGCAGCACTCCCTCAGCACTGCACTGAAACATCAAGTTAGACGACCTGAGCCTACAGTCACTACACTTTACAGTATATTCTGTGAAGCGCTTTGAGACGTCTCCTCAACGACGTGATAAGGCGCTATGTCAAATGCAAGGATTACTATTATTATTACAACAGTGTTCATCTAACAACTGAGGCTAAACTGGCACTAAAAGGAAGCAGTGCTAACCCGAGTCCACCAATTAATTTAATGCAGAACTTCGGAGAATCAACAATAACCTTCGTGGGAAAGGAAGAATAAAGTATTTTCTGAAGTGAGCCATCTCTACGTTTCATAACAAAAGGGGCCTTTGGAGGCCATGATCCTCAAGTCTAACGCTTGACAGACACCTTCATTGAGAATGAGATCGATAAGGAATCTGCCTCTGCCATATTTGACATGAAAAATATTAAATATACCGCCAGATTCCACCAGCTAAATTGATTCCAGTGTGATTCATTGATTTAATTTTTTTTTAAATGGCAGAATATATAATGATCCTTCCTCGGGAGAACATAATGACAACTTTCAACGCAAAGAGAGTGGAACATTTTAATTACACTGAGCTCAAGAATAACATGGTTCAGAGAATCTGCTATTTTCATTGTCAAGTTTTATTCCGATTGATTTTAAAAGGTCCAACAAACAAGTAATTTAACAAAGCTAAGGATGCGCAGGTTAAAGTGAAATCAATTCAGAATCTAAGTTCAGTTAATAACACATGACCTTTTTTTTCCCTCAAGTCTCGATCTTTTAATCTTACAATATGTAATTAAATTAAAACACACGCTGTTTAGAACATGTGCAAAGGTCAAGTTAAAATGTTTGATGTTTTTAGTAGGTCTCGACGCTAGAATGAATGCTTCCACACAATATTTTCTCTGTGCATTTTTGAAGGAAGTCTGTCTGCGTTCGATGACTCCTTCCATAATCCTTGTGTTTGATAAAGCGCCTTATCTCATAAGAACGTAAGAACATAAGAACATAAGTAATGCGAGCCAAAAAAAAAACAAGGTCCATCCAGTCGGCCTTCCACCTTCCTAGCAGTCGCATGCACTATGTTCTATGTCCCATCGTGTTATTTCCTAAAAGAGAACTATCGAATCCATGTATGAAGGAGTCAACATTTCCTGCTTCGACCGTCACCCTAGGGAGCCTGTTCCGTAGGTTTACTATTTTGTCACTGAAACTTTGCAAAGCTCTTCACAGGACATACTGTACAGTGCGGAGTCCTGTAGCAAAGTGGTTGGAGAACTCGCCTCGCAAGCGAGAGGACCCGGGTTCGATTCCCGGCCGGGCAGCATGTTTTCTTACTCCACGCACGTCTGTTTACCCAGCAGTAAGTAGAAACCCGGTTGTTAGTCGATTAGTAGATCGCTTTTCCTTGGGACGTCCTCCCGATGTGAAAGGCACTACACAAATCTTGTTGTTGTTGTCGTAATAATTTGATCACTCAATCCACACCTGTTTGTGGGACACTGCCGTGCGGGATTGGCTGCCACGATTCGCCCGCAAAATACACAGTCGCTTCACGTTAACGGTGCATTGTGTGAAGCGCTCTGAGACGTCTCAACGACGTAATATCAACTGGAAGGATTATTATTATTAATACTAAAGTGGATTGGCTGTGTATTCTGCGGGAGAAACACGCTTGCTGCTGCTCCCTTGATCGAGACAGTGGTCTGGCAAATCAATCCCAGGCCTGTGATGCCACTGCTCTCTGAATGCCCTTCATACCTCATTGACATTCCAAGTGCATCTCTGCGTTTTCAAGAAGGTGCTCACTCCTGCCGTTCAAACCAAGTGGTGTTTTCTTTAAACTGTGTGGCGATTTCAGTGGCAGAGAGGAGAAAAGAAAGGGTCTGATGCCAATCTCACTGTTATTGCATCTTGCCCACCCCCACCCCACCCCCCCCCACCGGTCGCATACACTTTGGAGCAGATTTTGAAGGGCTGCATTTTGCGATTGAAATTCTTTGCACGTCGTTCGAAAATGGGGATTTATTTAAAAACAACACCACAGACACACACACGAACGCGCGCGCGCGCGCACACGCACAGGTGCAGTCATACTCATTCAGCACATCGAATTCAAGTGGGAACTCGGAACGGAATGACCTCACCAAACAAAGTCCACATTCACAATGTTTACAACGCCCTCGCCGCGTACTGCACATTTGCTCGGTCTTTTTCAGCCACTTGGGTCCCATTCGGCACAGTGACTGACGGATCAAAGAACTTTGATTCACACTTCGAATTCAATTTCTCCCTTCCGCCCCCTCCAGTGAGTAATCTCGCTCCAGTCCACCATCAATTTAAACATTAAGATTTTTATGAGTATAATAGGAAGGTGTGATTAACGCATTGTTGGCACTGGACACAGAACTATAAGCTGACACGGTTCTACAAACTGGACACGTCATGAGTGGAGCTACCTGGTTTACGCTGTTCTGGGTTGGGGAAAAATTACACAGGTCTACATATTTCAAAGGCAGGCAAGGTAAATAGACGTGGGACAAGGTTGGGGAGATTCAGTCACACGTCTACTTAGTATCATAGAACATACAGAAGGAGGCAATTTGGCTCATCGAATCTGTGCTGATGGAGCTCCCTTTGAAACCATCTGCGCTAACTCCATCGTGCCTATGATTGTTGCTGGTTCCTGAGGCCCGAAACGCTGGAACTCTCTCCCTCAATCCCTCTGCCTTGTTCCCTCCCCTCCTTCCCCATCTTCAGGTCGAGCCTGAAGACCTTCCTCTTCGATCGTGCTTACGGTCACCTCCCCCCGACTCAGCTCCGCCACTGGCAAGCGCTCTGGGACGCTACCCTGCACGAGGGGCGCTATATAAATGCAAATTGTTGTTGTTCTCCCTTAATCCCGTTCTTTCCCCTGCTCTTTGCCCCAATAAGTCTGCGTTGGTGCTAGCTCCCCCCACTGGAACTATCCCGTTCCTTTAATCCCATTGCCTTATCCTTTTCCCACATCCTTCATTATTATTTCCCCCTCACATATTTATCCAATTCCCTTCCAAGCACTTGCTAATGAATGGCCTCAGCTTCTCACAGCCATACCTGGTAATGTATTCCACATTCTAACAACCTTCTGTGAGTAAAATAGAAGCGAACCTCCCTCCCTCCCTCTCTCCTAGCCCACCCCTCATTTTTCTTGTGGTTTTAGCACGGATCCAACATCAGCGTGAAGTTTACCCTATTGCTGATCTAATTAAAACTGTCTCCAATTCACAATGTTTAATTCACCCAATTTGTATTGTGTATTTGTATCTTGGACCTGATCCAGTGTTGATTTTTCACTGTAAACAGATTAAATCACAAGCAATGTGATTTAATGCGTGCCCACACTCCATTGGGAATTAAACCACACTAGGCGCCATAAAGATGACAAGTTCTTGGTTTTAGTCACTTCTTTCAGGGGAGAGAGGGCGGAGGGGGGGTGTGGGGGTGGTGATCAGTCCTCATCATCTGCCCAAGTGCCAAACACGGAGCAGGCCTGGCAGAGGCAGTTCAACAGCCTTCTCAGTCAGAGGTGGAGTCCTGTAGTGCAGTGGTTAGCAGCTCGCCTCACAAGCGAGAGGACCCGGGTTTGATTCTCCGGGGGGGGGGGGGGGGGGGGGGTGAAACCTTAGGCATGTTTCCTTACTCCGCACGCCTAGCAGTAAGTAGGAATCCTCTTATCAGTCTATTGTCAGATTGCTTTCCGCAGGTAATAATCCCTTCAAAAAACATGAATAAAAAAAAATTGATAAAAATATGGTCACTCAATGACTCCATGACTGTGTGTAGGACACAGATATACACCCAAAGGATATACAGTCAGTTCACTTTACAGTATATGCTGCGAAGCCCTTCGAGACGTCTCAACGACGTGATAAGGCACTGTATCAAATGCAAGGAGTATTATTACTATAAAATGGATGACATTCATCATGGAAGGGGAAGGGGATATCTGAAATAAGGAGGAAACTTAGGAGGGTAAGAAAGAAAATTAATTTAAAAGAAAGATTTGCCTGGGTACCTTCCTTGCACCTGTAACACAAGGTTACATCCATAACAGTCCAGATGACAGGGAGTGCTTGCTCCTTCACTTCCAATCCACAATGTGCTGTCTCTTCCATCTCTTCCAGGAAACCCAAAGTCAGACCACATTAAGTCCTGTTAATGAAAACACACGTTACATTTCTTATTACTTATCTTCTCCTCCCATCACCTCCTTGCCCCAGTAAGAAGGAAAAGAATCGTTGCATTTGATATAGCGCCTTATCACACCGTTGAGATGTCTCAAAGCGCTTCGCGGAATGTCCTGCAAAGCGAATTGGCTATACTTTGTGGCAGCCAATTGCGCACAGCAGTAGTTGGGGTTGGCAGGTCCTCCGATTTTCTTCTCTTCGTCTTCTCTTGAAATATCTACAAAACTCGTAAACAACTAGTTCCAATAGGAACCTCACAGATGGCATAGACAGGGGACATCTTCATTCTATCAGCTGGGCTGGACGAAAGCCCGATGTGAGTGAAGTAACAGTGCAGAAACCCAATACACCACCCAGTCCCCAAAGAAATAAACAACAGGACGCAACTCCAGGTCTCAATGATCCCAAGCTGAATCGCATCGTCTATTCACTGCTTTTTGCTCAACAAACCATTCGGCCTCCCATGACCGTTTGGCCCTCTGGTGACAATTTTGCTCTCTGGTGATTATTCGGTTCCAGGCATCGCCGAACGACACACGTTTTGCCAGAAGCAGCTTGTCGCTTTCATTATCCACGGACTGAAGATGTTGGAGAGTTTCCCATCAACAAGTCAGCCTCGAGGGAAATTAAACACACCAATTTGTTAGGTGCAATAATGCTGATGTCATGTAGGAGTGATCAGAGCGCAAATGCAATATCCGTGTTGCTGCCAACAGCATGAGATCACGTATCGCTAGGCCTTTTAATATCCTTATAACGTCTAACAGATGCTCAGTGCGTTCAAGCAAGTTTGAAGCAAAACACAAAAAATTTAACTTGTTGCTCGCACCGATCCTCTCTTCCCAACACCAGGCTCCTTGAAAATAATAATAATAATCTTGGGCGTATCAACCAGTGACACACCCTACCCTGGATCTGTGGAGCCCTGCAGTGTAGTGTTTGGAGCTCTCGCCTCGCAAGCGAGAGGACCTGGGTTCAATTCCCGGGCAGAGCAAAACCTTGGGCAAGTTTCCTTACTCCACACACACTGTTTAAGTAAGTAGGAACCCGGTTGTTAGACGATCGGTGGATCGCTTTTCCTGGGGATAATAATCCCTTCAAAAACAAAAGAGAAAATTTGGTCACCCAATCCACGACTGTTTGTGGGGACCCCGCTGTGCGCAATTGGCTGCCGCGTTTCGCCCGCAAAATATACAGTCACTACACTGTACATTTATTCTGTGAAGAGCTTTGAGACGTCTCGAAGACATGATAAGGAGCTGCATTGAATGAAAGGATTATTATTATTATTCTTAAAAGGACAAGTGAATATTTGCGGGGATAAAATATTAAATTGTTCGGTTAATCTCTGGGGTGTCCAGCAGTGTCACTCTGTGCTCGAAGGCACAAGGATGTACAAGTCCTGCACAACAGGACAGAGCAGGCTAAAGAGCAGTAGTGTAGTAATGTGCAAATTATTATTATTATTTTGGCAGAGCACCAAGAATATCTCTCATTGGAGCATCCCTTCCCGTATATTCACACAAATAAAAACTGCAAATCCTTTCGCTTCGAAACCGAACTCCAGCTAATAAATCATGTTAATTTGCTTTCAAACCTTTGATATTTCTGGCACGTTCGTGGGATACAATGAGCGTGATAATCCCTTTTGTGTAGCTAAAAGGCACTTTTGACATAAATATACGATCTGCCAGAACGCTGCCGTCTGCAATGCCAAATTAAAATTTACAGCCGACGGAACCTGTGAAGCCATACGACAGCAGTGTAATTTGCCACATTAGCAACAAAAAGTGAGGCATTTCAGTTATAATAGTAACAGTAATAATCCTTGTCTTTGATACGGCGCCTTATCAAGTCGTTGAGACTTCTCAAAGTGCTTCACGGAATACGCTGTAAAGTGGATTGTGTGGCAAAACGCAGCGCAGAAATTTGTCAAAGAGGCTGTGTATTTTGAATCGCTTGACAATTTGTCCCAAATTGCATGCAGGACTGAATATTACAAGGAAGTCAGTCGTTCCTCGGAGGAACTCAGCTTAAAACTTTGGTGATGGAATTTACCTCGGGACACAAACATATCTCCGGTCTCTAATGAAACCTCCGACAACATCAGGATGTTGAAGTGACTGGGACGTAATAGCCAAAACATTTACTGACCTTTAACTCAATGCCATTGCATCAGTTGCTTTATTATTTATACAATCCATGTTTGTGGTTGTTTGTGGGACATTGCTGTCCACAATTGACTCCCACATATCGCTCACAAAACACTTTACTATATATTCTGTGAAGCGCTTTGAGACGTCTCGACGACGTGATAAGGCGCTATATCAAATGCAAGTATTATTATATATCATAGATCATGGGCCCCGAAGAAATGGCCCCAAAGATTCTTAACTTGAGCAACTATACAAAATAAAAGTCCTGTAGGTTTCTTCACCCCTAAAATGCTGTTGGCTATTTTTTTCCTTCTCTCTTCTAACAATAACAATTGGTATTTACACCGTGTCTCTCACTCAGGGTAGCGTCCCAGAGCGCTTGACAGTGGCGGAGCACGGCACTGAGCCGGAACGGTCGAAGAGGAAGGTCTTCAGACGTAACCTGAAGATGGGGAAGGAAGGGGCAAGGCGAAGGGATAGAGGAAGAGAGTTCCAGAGTTTCTAGCTCACAAACGTTGAGTCGAGTAAGCAATGAACTTAGATTTCTAACATGAATTAATTTGAATTTGAAGCGACGTGAAAGCAGGATAACTCGTAGTAAAACAAGACTCTTTTTTGCAGGGGAGCAGAGTGCCCTGAATCTCAAGGCAGATGGGATCCAAATGAGTCACTCAATCATAAAAAGAGATGATGATCTGGAAATAAATAGATCAATAGATCACACTCGGATGAAGATTTAACATCTCATCAACCTCTCCCTTCTGGCTCATGTACCTTCCAGCCTTCCGAGGAGGCTGTTACATTGGCTGAAGGCACTGCATATGTCGTGATGTGCACTTGATGTGATCGCTAATGTCACTGCCTTCAGTGCGAGGCTGCTGCAGGTTTAATTGAGAACGTGATTGCAAGGTCAATGTTGCAATGCAACAGAACAATCTGTGTTCATTAACCCCGGTAAGAGAATTATTTTTGGGTCAGCCGGGTGTCTGACACACGCGGAAACCCATCACCGTTGCTTAAGAATCTCCAAACCAAACTGAGAATTCCATGTCTCCCACCTGGACTTGGAAATCTCAGAGATAGATTGTTGGAATGAAATGCGCTCTCTCGCTCTCTCTCTCTCTCTCTCCCTGGAGGGACGCAGCCCCCTTACCTAATTCCGGAAAGTATTAGGCGCAGGTTGGCAAGAGCCAAGGCTTGGGGGGAGCCCAGTGTGTGCGTTGGGGGTAACTGCTGGAGTCTAACCGGCTAAAACCATAAAACTTGGCCATCGATAGCGCTGTCTGGCCAACTTTCCCGCTGCTTGTCCAGCTAAAACCACCCTACCGGTTAGGGCTTTGTCTTGCAGAATTAACAGGAGCCGAGTGGGAGGATTCCCTGTCTCCCAGTGACTGGTCTGGTCTGCTAAGAGAAATCAGCTGTGTAAGAGAAATTACCTTCACCCCACAACCTCCACTTTGGCTTCGCATCTTTTACAACTCTCGTCAAAATGAAATTCAGAATCTCCTGCTACGATATGTTGACTTTGCCAGCTGGAAACGGGGGTAATATAGCACACGGATTTATTACTACTTTATAAGAAGCCGTGACCATTACTGAGTTGCATTATAGCAGAGTTATTGGAAACAGCTATGGCAACCCTTTTCTTGCAAAGGGAGAAAAAAGCATTAACCACCAGCAATGACTGACATTTATTCAGTGTCTGTCACTTGAGTAAATGTTCCAAAGTGCTTTTACTGGATGAACATTTTTTTGAAATATGAAATACCTTGAAAAAATCTCTTTTGCTGGCAGGTAATTTCAGGACATGTGTCAGCCTGGGACAGTGGTAGCACTCTCGCCTTTGAGGCAGAAAGTTGTGAGTTCAAGCCCACCCGTCGGGACTTGGAATCACATAGTCTAGGCTGACGCTCCAATAGAGCGCTGGGGGGGATGTTGCATGTCTGAGCTGCCGTCCTTCTGACAAGACGTTAAAATGGACTTACTGCAATTAGCTAGTTAGCGTGTCAAAACCCGCTACCTACACTCGACTGGCTCTGACCTCCTGCTTGTCCCTCGTGCCCTCCGCTCCACTATTGGTGGCCGCACATTCAGCCACTACGTCCCGAAACTCCGGAACACTCTTCCTCTAGCCCTCCACCTTGCCCCCCCCTTCCCCATCTTCAGATCGCGCCCGAAGACCTTCCTCTTCGACCGTGCCTTTCGTCAGCTCCCCATCCCTCCAGCTCGGCATCGTGCTCCCTGTGGCACTGGCCCTAAATAAATGCAAGTTGTTGTGAAACAGAGAATGAAACTGTTATTGCAAGGTAAAAATAAACCGGTGTCTCTGGTTACCTGAAAGAGCTCAGCCTTATCTTCAAGCAGCCTGGCGATGTACTTGTAATCAGCATAAGCCCAGTACTGAGCTCGAGGAAAATTGCTGAACTGTTCTGGCAGGACATTCGATCCTCCGTGAACCCAGACTAGAAACTCCTCCAGAGTAGCTTTCACGTACTCACACTGGGTTTCGAACTGAGGCACTAGGAAAAGACAGATTGTTTGAAGAGTTATGATCAAAATTCACGCTGAGAGAAGATGTACTGTAACGTTTCATAATATTCCTTGCATTGATATAGCGCCTTATCACGTCGTTGAGACGTCTCAAAGCGCTTCACCGAATATACTAAAGTGGAGTGATTGTATATTTTGTGGGCACAGCAGCGTCCCACAAACAATCGTGGATTGAGTGACCAAATTTTTTTTTAAGGGATCATTATCCCCAGAAAGCAATCCGCCAATCGACTAACAACCAGGTTCCTACTTACTGCTGGGTAAGCACAGCCGTGAAACCTGCCTAAGGTGTCGCTCTGTCCAGGAAACCTTTTCTTTCATTTTCACCCAAAGGGTAATGGAAATCTGGAACTCCCTCCCCCAAAAGGCTGTGGGTTATGGCTGGATCCATTCACATTGTCCAGATTGAGGTGGATAGATGTTTGTTGGTCAGGATATCAAGGGGTATGTGGAAAAGGCGGGTAATTGGGAGTTGAGGTAGAGAGCAGCCATGATTTCATAGAATGGCGGAACAGGCTCGAGGGGCTGAATGGCCTGTTCCTATGTTCCTGAGTTCTATGATTTCATCATTATGTTCCCATTCACTTTAAGATGAACGTACTGAGGCCCAATCTTTTCCAAGCTAATTACTTTCCATGGACTCAACAAATATTATTTTAAAGGCGCAGCTCAGTATGGAGAGAACCCCCAAAAAAGAGTCTCCGTGTGTCAGAAGGCTGACAAACACACGAGATGCAGTGCAGTTTTACTGCAACTAGATGGCTCTTGCCTGCTTTGCAAATCCCTGCGCCTGTGGAGAGAAGAAGAATTACTCAAAATTCCTCAATTTGCTTACGTTAGCCACAATGTAGTTATGGATGGAATGGTTGGCTTACACGTCAACTAAATGTTCGTCACCACTCCTGACATTCCCATCTATCAAATGCTACTGAAAAGATAAATACAAGAGAGGAGGGGATGGGGAGGAGAAGTGAGAAAGCCAAGTAGGGTTTGCAAGGAAAACCCAAGTGAATAACAGAATAGTACAACAGTGTAAATTCTGAACAAGGAGTAACTGGTGTGCTGTTTGTGTGGAACAATAACGGAGACTTGCGACTGGGATCTATCTCTCGTCTCTCAAGGTGGTGAGGAGATCCCAGCAAAGGAAGAACTTACATTCTTATCACAGTGAAATTTCTTAAATTGCTTCATAGTATTACTTTCCTGTGCAGTTCAAAAATCACATCCAGAGGACAGCAAAGCTATCGTATTCCGGCACTGCCTCAGTACCACAGTGGATTGCTTGCCTAGATTATGAGCTCAAATCCAGGCACGGGGATATGGGACCCACACCCTTCTAACTCAAAGACAAGAATGCTGCCAATTAAACTAAAATGATCCAAGTATTTCTTTATCCACGACTCATTGCGGTGCGCCGCTTGTGCGCAATTGGCTGCCGAATTCGCCCTCAAAATACACAGTCAATTCACTTTCCAGTATATTCTGTGAAGCGCTTTGAGACGTCTTAACCACGTGCTAAGGCGCGACGTCAAATGCAAGGGATTAATAATTCATTAAATGATTAGAGTAAGGATAAGCAGTTTGAAAAGAAACAGGCTATCCTAAAAAGAGTTACTGACGATGCAATCTGACACTGGGGTAGAGGCTTCAAAGGTTTATTAGGTGCCAGCTCAGGCTGTGCTATAGCAGTGACCCACTTGCAGTTATGAAAAGGAACGTCAGAATTATGGTACGCATCATTAGACTGGGAAAATGAGCAACCGTGCAAAAACATCCCCTTGTGGATACTACGTTGACATAAAAGATTTTTGGAACCCGTTCAAAAAGCAATCTGCATGTCACAAAAGAAGACAGTACAAAGTCATGTTCATTTAAAGCACCCAACGTCAAACTCTTATGCCGTAAAAGTCTTTTTCACATTGATTTACGGTGTGAAGATGCTCACACTAAGTACCTTTTAAAGGGAAAATCAGTCTCCGAGGAAGTTGATCAGACTGTGCCAAAGTCGTGTGATAACCCAGCATTGCTTGGGTAACACGTTCTCAAATGCGAGCGAATCCGTATTCCTGAAATATATGGTGTCTAATTAATTATACGGTCTATAATTAATTATTTACTGTTCTATCACCTTCTCCTGGTGAAACATCAGCATTCACTATAGATCTACCTCCCAAAAGACACTAATTTATTACCCTTCCCGAAAGAGAAAGTAAACGCTCCTGCATAGACCTAGAAAAGGACATTCAGTCCATTGTGCTCATTTCTATCACCATAAATAATAATAATAATCCTCGCATTTCATAAAACGCCTTATAACGTCGTTGAGACGTCCCAAAGTGCTTCACATAATATACTGTTAAGTGAATTAACTGCATATGCTGTGGGCGAAACACAGTGGTGATAAATCCACTCTATTGCATAGGAAAACTTTCTGCAAAGGCGCCTTATCCCCCAGATTGAACTTATCTGTACTATACACTCCCAGATGCTTATCCACTTTGAACACGACGATAGTTTCAACCGCTTTTGTTGGGCAATTGTTCCACCCAAACGTCGTTCTATTGGGAGCTGAGGGCAGGGGTGGAAAGGGGAGAAATCTAATCTCACTTGAGATCTTAAACCTGACATTTATATTTTCTTCAATGAAAAAGGTTGGAACACCACTCAAGACTTTGAGCTCCACAATTACTGCTCTCCGATGAACCAGCTCGTAATACATCAATACTCTTTTGAAGCTGTGGTTTCCGAAACTGCAATATTATATTGTGGAGTCCTGCAGCGTAGTGGTCAGAGCACTCGCCTCACAAGCGAAGGAACCTGGGTTCGGTTGTCAGGGTGGAACGTTAGGCAAGTTTCCTTACTCTACACACCTCTGTTTACCTGGCAGTAAGTAGGAACCGGGTTGTAAATCAATTGGCGGATTACTTTCCGGGGGTAATAAAATGATAGATACACAACTGTTTATGGAACACTGCTGTGCGCAATTGGCTGACGCGTTTCGCCCACAAAATATACAGTCAATCCACATTACAGTATATTCCATAAAGCGATTTGAGACGTCTCAACGACGTGATAAGGCATTATATCAAGGATTATTATTATTATTATTAAGGTCCAAATGTGGCCTCACCAATGTTTGGTACAAAACAAGTCAAATCCTCTCAAGGTGCCAACTCAAATTTGATAAGCTTTGTTGATAACAAGACCAGAATAAGCTCCTTTGACTTATTGTCAAAGGCTCTCGAGAAGGAAACTCAAATCCGTTAAGCTTAGGTGAACCTTCATTGAATGATCAATAATCACCTTCAGTTCCTTTTGCACCTCCTGCTATTGAGCACCCTCATCATAAATCTCTGGGTAGGCACAGTCCTGTATTAGTTTAGTGGTTAAAGCACTCGCCTCGCAAGCGAGAGGACCTGGGTTTGATTCCCTGGCAAGTTGAAACCTTAGACAAGTTCCCTTACTCCACACACCTGTTTACCCGGCAGTAAGTAGGAACCAGGTTGTTAATCGACTGGCGGATCACATCTCCAGGAGTAATTATCCCTTAAAAAATGTGTGGTCACTGCGGTGCGCACTTAGCTGCCACGTTTCGCCATAAAGTATACAGTCGATTCATTTTACGGTATATTCTGTGAAGTGCTCTCGAAGACATGATAAGGCGCTATATCAAATGCAAGGATTACTATTATCTTTCCAAGTATTTTCATATCACATGTGAAGCACTTTTTTTTAAAAAAGAAACACGTTTACATGATGCAAAGTAATCAATGAGAAGGTACTTATGATTGATTTAATTTATTCATAGGCCTTCCTTTGCTTTTAGGACAGCAAAGCATTAAATAAGATTATTCTAGGCTCTGACCTTGACGAGAGGCCAATGTTAATCAAAGCTAATCTGAAATCAGATCAGTCGTTTGATCAGAATTTACCATAAAATTTTAATAAAGGACGTAAAATGCTCTGAAGATAGCTTTTGTTGATGAGACGTAACTAATTTACAGGAAAGGGCTTTGTCCCATACAATGTCTAATTTGATTTAGAGAACTAAATCCCTTTACACTAATGCAGAACACTAAACCATTCCTGAATTGTGCTTTGGCATCAATTCACATACTTGTTATTTTTCCACAAGAACAGATTAAAAACATTGTCTGAGGAAGCACATCAGTAACAAGAAAACAAATATGTTCTGCATAATCCGGTGATAACTAAGAATCAAACAGCACTTGAAGAGGCGAGAAAGGATTTAAGAGCCCACAGGGATCAGTATCTTCAATTCCATGTCTTATTTGTCTTGCAGCTTTCAAATAAATCCTGTAGTGTAGAGGTTGGAGCTGTCGCCTTGCAAGCGAGAGGACCCGGGTTTGATTCCCGGGCGAGTTTTCTTACTCCACACTCCTCTGCTTACCCAGCAGTATGTAGGAGCCTGGTTGTTAGTCGGTTGGCGGATCACTTTCCGGAGGTAATAATCCCCTCAAAAAAATAATAATAATTCGGTCACTCAATCCACGACTGTTTGCAGGACGCTGCTGTCCACAATTAACTGCCGCGTTTCGCCCACAAAATATACAGTCAATTCACTTGATAGTATATTCTATGAAACGCTTTGAGACATCCCAACAACTTTCTAAGGTGCTATATCAAATGCGAGGAATATTATTATTATTATTATTATTATTTGGCCCAACCAATCTGTGCTGATGTTTATCTTCCATGTAAGCCTCCACCCATCGTACCCCACTCCACCCCCACCAGCCCCAGATCCTTCTATTCTCCCTCAATCATCTATCCATGAAGTTTCCTCTTAAATGCAGCACTTTTACCCACAGGACTGTCAGAAACATGGTTAAAGCACTCCATCATACGAACTCGAATGTTTTTTCCCGAAACTAATAAAGCACGTTGGCTGGACCATTATTAATCATTTTGTCAGATTGGATTGAGCTCAAAATATTACGATAAAATAAGCCTTATAATTCCCTCGGTCTTTCCTTTTCCAATGCTTGATCCACCTCCTGTGCATTCGCCTCTCTCCAGCTGACACCGACAAATAAGACTACAAACATTGCCATAATTAAAACAAACATTGATGTTTGACTCAGTTAATAGGAACCACACTTGGTTGGAGGGGAGAGGAAGGAGAGGCAATAATAATAATAATATTGCTGGCATTTGATATAGCGCCTTATCACGTCTTCAAGACGTTTCAAAGCGCATCACAGAATAGACTGTAAAGTGTAGTGACTGAATATTTTGTGGGCGAAAATAAGGGGACTGGTGAAACACCATGCAGTGGCCCCATTGATTAGCTCTTGCATATATGGTCCATTGCTGATACCCGCTTGTTAGTCAATTGGCGGACGCTTTCCGGAGGTAGTAACCCCGCCAAAAAAATAAATAAATAATAATTTGGTCACTCAATCCACGATTGTTTGCATTGTGTGCAATTGGCTGTCACGTTTCGCCCACAAAATATACAGTGAATTCACTTCACAGACTTTGACCATGCCTTCAGTCACCCTCCTACGCCCACCCTCCCTGCCCTCAACCCCTCCAGCTCGGGTCCAAATCCCTGATCGTCCAGCGACGTGAAAGGCTCTGTGTAAACATAATTTGTTGCTGTTGTTACCGGGTCAAAAGGAGCATTGGTTAAATCTCCCCTCTATGCTAGAAACATACTTTAACTCCAACCTCAGAAGTCCTTTCCCTCCCCCTATGTTCCAGTATACGGTATTTTCTTTCCCTTTTTCAAACGGAGCTCAACTCAGAGGGGTTCCTTCTCTGAGTGGGATTGCTAGATTACTGGATTAAGTTGTCAATTGCTGCTGAGTTTTGGATGGCAGGTTGCCTGCTGAATGACACTCACAAAAGAATTGATTCCAGGCTGCCCGATAAATGCTGATGTGAGAGCACTATCCCACCCTTTGTATTGACTTGAGCTGACTTCAAATCCATGTGATGGAGTTAGGAGGACATCGTATTAACCCAATTCTGCAGTGTAGTGGTTAGAGCACTCGACTCGCAAGCGAGAGGACCCGGGTTTGATTTCCCCGCAGGGCGAAACCTGAGGCAAATTTCCTTACTCCGCACACATACACACACACACCTCTGTTTCCCAGCAGTAAGCAGTAACCCGGTTGTTAGTCGATTGGCGGTTCGCTTTCCTGGGGTAACGATCCTTTAAAAAAATAATAATAATTTGGTCACTCAATCCACAACTGTTTGTGGGGACACTGCTGTGCGCAATTGGCTGCCGCGTTTCACCCACAAAATATACAGTCAGTTCACTTCATAGTGTATTCTGTGAGATGTCTCGACAACGTTTTAAGGCACTGTATCAAATCCTTTCCTCCTTTTGACAAATTTGCTCTTCCTTCATCTTGTGTAAGTTTGGGGGGAGGTATGAGAGAGTAGAACTCAACCATCAGAATGTATACTTAAAAGGGAAGTGATTTACAGTACTAGTAAGTAATTGTGTTGCCCAATTCTCCACGCGGTCTCAGTGTCAAGCACGAAAATAAATTCAAATGGCATCAGTTTACAATTACACGGAACTTGTTAAATTTTGCCTACAGGCATTGAAGAGGAAAAATGCATTACTGAAAAATCTGCTTTTTAAGTGTATCTTAATCTTCATTGTAATGTACTTTTAAGTATAACTGCTTTGCTACAATGCCCATGATTTTCTTCCGTGCTGAAAAGTAAACGATGACTACTTTTCGCACGCACAAAATCCAGGGGCCATTTTGCAGTGATCAGGTGTACAACAAGCGCCGAAGGCAGATTCGCATAGGTTGACTGTATGCAAAGACGGTGTGGAGTAAGCAGCAGGAACTAAATTTATTGCACCAATGCAATTTCGGTTAATGGGATGAAGGGAACCCAAATTGAAGTGCGGGGGCGAAAACAAAAAAAGCGGCAAATTAAAGAGATTACCCATCCACATTTTATTCCTCTCTTGGGCTCATTCATTGACCCAGCTAAGCGTAAATTGCAGAGGAAAATGCTTTTTGGTCAATTTCTTCCGAGGGCTACTACCACTATTATGGCCGCTAATTGTTTTATCTTTTCAGAGAACACTCGCAAACACTTAGATGGGCCAAATGGCCTGTTTCTAACCCGTAATGGTCTTTGATCAAGTGGTCCGAGTGGTTTCATCACCCCTCCCCGCCCCATAATTTAGAAAACCTATGGTTCTATTTCAATCTGATTAGTTCTTCTGTTCTATGCAAGCTTGTGCGTCAGCCTGGCTCAGCGGGCGCGCTCCAGCCTCTGAGTCAGAAGGTTGTGCGCTCAAGCCCCCATTTCGGGACTTGCACTCACATCTAAGATGACACTTCAATGCAGTGACGGGGTGGGTGTTGGATTGTCGAAGGTGCTGTCCTTCCGATGAGATATTGAACCAAGCTCCCGTCTGCCTGTTCAGGCGGATGCTATAGGGCAAAGGCCCCGCGGCACAATTTGCAAAGAGAAGGGAGTTTCTTCCTCCCAGTGTCCTGGCCAACAATCCCCCGTATAGAATGGGTCACTCGATCCACGGCTGTTTGCGGGGACGCTGCTGTGCGCAATTGGCTGCCGCGTTTCGCGCACAAACTACACAGTCAATCCACTTTACAGTGTGTTCTGTGAAGCGCTTTGAGACGTCTCAAAGGCGTGTTGAGGTGCTATATCAACTGCAAGGATTATTATTACTATTATCATTATAGAAAGTTCAAACATAACAAACAAAAAAAGGGATAGTGAAGTTACCTTTGTTCAGTTTCCTTCGACCAATCCTGAATTCTATTGGTTTTCCATCGAGGATCTCTGAAAGACGCTGTACGTCCCACTGGCGTGCTGGCCAATCTGAAACCATGTTACAGAACACTGCGGGCTTCTGCAAAGATTCCACGATATTCCTCGCCTCTTCGGGCTTAAAAGGTTTTGTGTCTGCAGTTGGGGAACAATCATAAGTAAGTTACACGGCCCCAATCAATCGGGCAGTGATAACGTATGCAATTCACCGTCGTAAAATGAATTCCCTCAGCACCCATTGCAAAATCATTTCCCGCACCTCCTGTAGGATCTCAGCTCTAACCCGTGTTGTTTCTAGACTCAGGTTTGTCCATGTGTCCAGACACTAAAAGGTGCCAAATTGGCTGCCGCGTTTCGCCCACAAATACACAGTCAATTCACGTTAAGTAGATTCTGTGAAGCGCTTTGAGACTTCTAGAAGACGTAAAAAGCGCTGTATTAAATGGAAGGATTATTATATTCCGTGAAGCGTTTTGGGATGTCCTCACCTTTGATTTCAAGATCCTCATCCTCACCTACAAGGCCATTCACGGCCTCGCTCCCTCCTACCTCTCCAACCTACTATCCCCCTACCAACCTGCCCGTACCCTCCGTTCCTCTGGCTCCGGTCTGCTCCACATCCCCCGCCCCAACCGCCCTACTATCGGTGGTCGGGCCTTCAGCCTCTCAGCCCCGAGGCTCTGGAACTCTATCCCCCAGTGCCTTCGCCGCTTCCTCCCTTTCCTCCTTCAAGGCCGGTCTCAAAACCTTTCTCTTTGGCCGTGCCTTCAGCTCCCCTCTCGACTCTCTTCCTCCTCCTCGCTCCCTCCCTTCCCTCCCCTCACCCTGACCATTTCCCCCCTCCTCGGGTCCTGACCCAACTGTGCAGAGCCTTGGGACGTCCTCCTGACGTGAAAGGCGCTCTATAAATGGAATCTTGTTGTTGTTGTTGTTGTTGTTGTCTCAACGACATGATAAGGAGCTACACCGCCGATTTGGATTATTGTTATATCATTATTGACTATACTTTGTGGGCGAACATATGTTAAGCTCTGCAAAGATGCAGCTTCACAGCCTGAAATAATTAGCGAAACACTAAATCAGTTGGCGCAGACAACATTTTACATTTTTTGTAGCGCCTCTCGTGTCGGGAGGACACCTCGGGGAGCTTCGCGCCACTGACTGCGAGCTCAGGCTGGGGAGGAGAGGAGAGGAGGGGAGGGGAGGGTTCGCTGAAACCGGGCTCAAAACGTTTTATCTTTTAGCGGGTATTGAAGGTGGTGGCGATGGATGGAGCAGGGATTCTAGGAAGGGGTTCTGGAGAGCAGAGACCGGATGGCTGATGGGCTTGCTCACTTCTAATAATAATAATAACCCTCGCATTTGATATAGCGCTCTTCACCTCGGGAGGACGTCCCGGAGCGCTTCACAGAACATACGCTGCAAAGTGAATGGACTGTATATTTTGTGGGCGAAGGCGGCGGCCCAATTGCGCACAGCGGTGTCCCGCAAACAGCGGTGGATTGGAAGTGACCAATTTATGATTGGTTTGGGGTTTGGGAGGGATTGTTATTAGGGCGTAGGGCTTACGATGGGGCGGAGGGAGTGTGCGGAAGGCTGGTGTTGGCTAAGCGGAGGGGCCGAGCTCGCTGTCAGGACCGCGCTGTGTTTTCTTTTAGCCAAATGGACTATTGGGGTATGTAGACTCGAGCCTCTGCCTCCTCTGCGCACCGACCCCGACTGTGCCATTCTACAGTCTGGAGGGCGGGTGGTGGGGGGGGGGGGGAGGGGGGGAGTGGGGGGAGTGGGAGCGATGGGGATGGAGGGCTCTCATTGTATTAGTTTGTGGGGTTTGGTCATTAATTATCACCTTAGGCTTTAGGGAGGGGGGGGGTGGTCTCAGGGGTCTGAGAGGAGGGGGTGTGGTGTGAGTGAGGGGGGGGGGGGGGAGTCTGAGAGGGGGCGTGGCTGAGGAGCGAGGCTGAAGAGCGAGGGGCGTGGTCTGAGGAGAGAGGGGGCGTGGTCTGAGGAGAGGGGGCGTGGTCTGAGGATAGAGGGGGCGTGGTCTGAGGGCGGGGGTGTGGTCTGAGGAGAGGGGGTGTGGTCTGAGGAGAGAGGGGGCGTGGCTGAGGAGAGGGGTGTGTGGTCTGAGAGTGGGTGTGGTCTGAGAGCGGGGGCGTGGTCTGAGGAGAGGGGGCGTGGTCTGAGGAGAGGGGGTGTGGTCTGAGAGGGGGGTGTGGTCTGAGGAGAGTGGGGTTGTGGTCTGAGAGGGGGCGTGGATGAGGAGGGGGCGTGGTCTGATGAGAGAGGGGTGTGGTCTGAGGAGAGAGGGGTGTGGTCTGAGGAGAGGGGGTGTGGTCTGAGGAGAGAGAAGTGTGGTCTGAGGAGAGGGGTGTGGTCTGAGGAGAGTGGGGGTGTGGTCTGAGAGGGGGGGTGTGGTCTGAGGAGGGGGCGTGGATGAGGAGAGAGGAGGCGTGGTCTGAGAGCGAGGGCGTGGCTGAGAGCGGGGGCGTGGCTGAGGAGAGCGGGGGCGTGGTCTGAGGAGAGCGGGGGCGTGGTCTGAGGAGAGAGGGGCGTGTGGTCTGAGGAGGGGGCGTGGCTGAGGAGAGAGGGGGGCGTGGTCTGAGGAGGGCGGGTCCCCTCCCGCGCACGCGCGCAGCCGACAGCGCGAGCGGGCGCCGAGCCAACCCGAGGCCGAGGCCTTCTCCTTCTCGGCGCAGAGGCCCCTCGCTCGCGTGAAGAAAAAAAAACCCTCTCAGTAAAATACATATATATGTGTGTGTGTAAAAAAATACCAATTAAAATACTCGTTTTAAAGTCGGGCAAAAAAAAAACCAAAAACAACAATAATAATAAGAAGAAGAAGCCGCGGAGTACACACACGCGCGCGCTGACCTCGCTTCGTCCCCCCCGCCGCCATCGCTCCCGTCTCCAGGGCGACCGGCCGCGCCCGGAAGTAGCCCGAGGACCCGCCCAAAGTAGCCCCAAAACGATAGCCCAATGACGCGCTGGATCGCCACGCCCCCCCCCCCCCCCACTTCAAGACTGAAGTGGATGATGATGATGATGATAGTAATAATAGTAATATAACAGTGATAGTAATAATGATGATAATAATTATAATGATAATAACAGTAATAACAGTAATAGTAATGATAATTAAAATGATAATAGTCATGGTGACAGTAATAGTAATAATAATGTTAATAAATATAATGATAATGGTAATGACAGTAATAGTAAATAATTATAATAATAGTAATGATGACAGTATAGTAATAATAATGTTAATAATTATAATGATAATAATAGTAATGACAGTAATAGTAATAATTATAATGACAATAGTAATGATGACAGTAATAGTAATAATAATGTTAATAATTATAATAGTAATAGTAATAATGTTAATAATAATAATAATAGTAATGACAGTAATAGTAGTAATAATGAGAATGATAATAATAGTAATGATAACAGTAACAGTAATAATAATAGTAATAATGATGATAATAGTAATAATAATAATAGTAACAATAATAATCCTTACATTCCATACAGCACCTTATCACGTCTTCAAGACATCTCAAAGCTCGTTGTAGAATACACTGTAAAGTGGATCGACCGTACATTTTGTGGGCGATGTGACAGTCAATTGCGCACAGCGACGTCCCACAAACAGCTGTGGATTCAGTGACCAAATTATTAATTTTATTTCAAGGGATTATTACCCTCCGGAAAAGCGATCCGCCACTGGCAACCGGGTTCCTACTTACGGCTAGGGAAACAGAGGCGTGCGTGTGGAGTAAGGAAACTTGCCTGAGGTTTTGCCCAAGTCCTCTAGTTTGCGAGGCGAGCGCTCTGACCGCTACACTGCAAGATTCCACAATTGTGGAAACACAAGGAAACCGGATTCGTTTGAAAATACGCAGCTTGATGTTGTATTGGGAAGACAGGAGGGTGGATGCTCCGGAAGGATGAGATCAAAATGGGCCGAGGGACATTCCTCATCCAAACCAATCTTGTGATCGGAAAGCATAACAGGCACATATGCTCGCACAGCTTTGGTGCAAGTCCACAGATAATTTAAAATGAAGTATATTTTAATATTAAATTTAGCACACTGGTAAATCAAAGGAACATTGCTCTGGGGGGAACAGTTCAGCATAAGCTTCAACACTATGAGATATTGGGCGTTATCATTGGGATTTGCACATTTACACTGATCAAACTCCACATGCATCGAAATTGGTCCAAATTTGTAACCAGCTCCTTTTGACCTGTTTCTTTGACCCAGAACGAACCCGGTTAGTTTAAAACCAGCAAAACAGGGGTTAAATATTTGTCCAATACATTTCTCGCTTGTCAGTGTAAACATTAACTGATATTTTCAAAGTGGTACTAAATTCATTACCTAATGCAAGCATTGTCGATACACATCAAGGTAGAACGATTTATGAAAAGCCAAACTGCTGACTTTTGTCATCTTGCGTAACCACATGTCCGAAGGGAAAGCGCTTTTGCATAATTTGCTGTCATTGACAGTTTATCTTTACATAATTCACAGTTCCCAAGTAGTTTGATTAATTCATTCCACTTAAAGTGGCAATAAGGCTTAAGTTTATCTTAAATTAATTTGATTTAAAGTGACACTACATTCAAGCAATTTCTTACTTTCGTTTTAAGGGGAGTTGAGGCAGTCTTGCTTTATTTTGCCGGTGGTGAATCTGTGTTTCCATCATAAACTCCGAGCTTGTGAAAATATCATCTGACGTTAAGAAAGTGCTAATGAACAAAACGGAGACAAAAATGACTCCTGGACAATAATCCTTGCATTTGATGTAGCACCTCATCATGTAATCGAGACGTCTCAAAATACTTCACAGAATATAAAGTGGAGTGGCTGTTTATGTTGTGGGCGAAATGCAGCAGTCATGGATTGAGTGACTAAATTATTATTATTTTACTATTTTTATTACGACCCTGACATCTGGAACTTAGTGCCTCTATCCCTCTACCTCGCCCCCCTTTTATTTGTTAGGTAAGGATACAACAAATTGATTGACATAGCACCCTTCTTGCAGGTTTTTTTTTTGGTCGGTCTAATACATGGAGAAGCTAATTGCCCTCTGGGTTAAGAAAACTACCTGGTATCTGTTCTGAAATTGTCCTTCATCTGAAACAATCTAGTGTAGAATGGTCAGAGAATGCTGTGTTCCAGGCCTTCACCCCGACAGATTGGCTAAATAACAGCTGTTTCACAAGTTATTCCCATGAGTGATGCCATGTCAAAGCCTTCAAGTAAGTGAAATGCCAATAACTGGTTTCTCCGTAACTTTGTGCACCACAATAATAATAATATTTGCATTTGATATAGCGCCGGATCACATTGATGTCGTTGAGACATCTCAAAGCCCTTCACAGAACATACTATAAAGTGAATCTACCGGGTATTTTATTAAAATAAATGGAGATGCATACCGTGACACTTAAATCTAAAAAAAAATCATCCTGGAAAGGTCAAGGTCATATTGTTTAAGCTGCAATACACACGCACACACACACACACACATACACACACACCACAAGCAACCGAGCAGATATCATTGGGGGATTTTTTTGTGCTGAGTGGATCAATTTATAAAAACAGTTCCATCCAAAGATTAGTAAGCACTTTGGGAAGTACTGTAATTGGAAATTTGGCAATTTTGTTTTACTCCCAAATCCAATCCAAAAGCACACATTACTCAGTCCAAGTAGCTCTTCCCTTCCATTGCATCAGGAATCGCTAGAAAAATAAAGGCTAAAAAAAATTAACATGTTCCTTTATCTGTCTAATTTTTCTCCTCTGGCATATATGCTTCTCCACTCCTGGCCTGGGCTTGCTGCAGGCTTACTCTCTGCCCCAAGTAATCGTTGTTCATCTGAGAGTCTTGGCAGTGAGTATCTGAAGGCCACTAGAATATAGAGGGCATCACATCTGAGCTTGACCTCTTCCCCGTTCGGCGACCAGGCACATGTGCACAACCAACTAGCTTCAAGGTGATGTGCTTTGCAACAGAACGTCGGAATCAACCCAGTCCACCGTGAATACAGTATTCCAGGGCGCTGCTGATGACAGCACAGCCCAGCCTGGCTTATAGCTGGTCGGACCCTTCCAGCTAAAATCCTGGAATAACACAATTATTCCCACTCCACCGCTCTTACCCCATAACCTTGCAATTTTGTTCTTTTTCAAGTACCTATCCAATTCCCTTTTGAAAGCTATTATCGAATCTGCTTCAATGTGGAGACGTGTACTTTGAAGCTGCACACATTTTATTCCAGTTTCGAGACATTTTATTTACATTTGTGTTTTCAAAAGCACTTACGACTTGTGTTCAGGTGGAGTACATTTGCATAACAAGGAATCCCTTAAGTTGTACAAAGAAATTCCAGGGTTCAGTGAAATACTCTTGTGAAACTCATTAAAAACACGCACTACTTTGTAGTCAATTTACAAACATAATCTTATAATTTAGTTGGATGGGGTGGGGAAAGGGTGGGTGGGGGACAGTCAAAACTATTAGTCCACAACCATCTTAAACATGAAATATTAGGGCAACAGCCAGCAGCAAGTCAGTTTCAACACACAAGTCTGGTAAAATTGTAATGCAGGAATCAAACTGCGAGACAAAAGATCCAACGTATCTACAGGGCAAAAGTCCCTCAAAATAACAAGGCAATGCTTTGCTTTGACCAAGGATTCTAAGGATTATGCAGACTTCAGAAGTTTTACAGGAGCACAAAATGGTTTTGTTAACCGTCTGCAAAAGGACCTGGTGGCTCACAAGACACTAATGGAAGACTGGGGATGGCCACCAATGCTACACGACTCTCATGAGACAATGCCGCAAGGTACACACAAGATACATGTCAGCCACCAAATGCATGTACCACCCGATTTAGCTACAGCACGTCAGTACCTCAAAGATTCCCAATGGTTTGAGTATTCCGGGAGGAAAGAGAGGGAGAGAGAAAAGGGGGATGGGGGTGGTGGAGAAACGGGGCAGAAAGAAGGTCATGGATAGGCTCTCATTAAACGTTCCACACCCTGTAGGAAATAGCTTTGCGGCTTTATAACAAAGTGCACGCTCCAGATGGGCAAAAGTCACGTAAGCTGTGCTGTGGTTGTCAGCCATCGCGCAATTGGGTCACCATTGAAACCCTACCTTCCAGGTACTGCTTTGAAGACATCAGCACCCAGCATTATGCAGTGTGAACCGTTGCTGGTTAATGGTGATGGCTTTCCTGAGTTTGCAAACCAGAACAGGAGTAGCTACAACTTCAGTGACCTGCAGCCTATCTATCTTAAGAGTTCCACAGGGCATTGCACAGCTACGTCTCAGAAAGAGGACAGAACTATATCCTCCATTACCAAAAAAATAGTGACGGAAGTCTTACAAGCCATCCTGGAGATATTTTGCTTTTGCTACCATTTTGTCAAACTAAAGCAGGACTGCGTCTTTGTTTCCATTTGGAAGAGGACAGAGATAAGGGGAGAAATATCACTGTATCTATCACTGAGTGTTAGAACAGAGTGGTGAAGATCTAGTCGTTCCGCATTCCCATTGAGTGCCCGGCAAGCACAGTATATATATATATATATATATATATATATATATATATACATACACACACACACACACACAAGCACTGTGTTGCAACCCACTGAAGAGTTTGAGATTTTACAAGTGGATTGATAAACAGGAGGCTTGGCATTGACAATGAACACTCAATGCTTCAACAAATTCATTCACGAGCGTACAGAACCTCTTATCAACAGAAAAAATGGTGATGTGAATGAAGCGGAGCAAGCTAGCAATCTGCTCATTAACACCCGTGTCCTTAGCCATTAGTGCAGCTGCAATGCTCTACTGTTAATGTAATCTCTCTCCGTCACAGCAGTTTAAGGACATCTGCAGTTCAAGGTTATTTAAAGAATCAAAAGGATTGAAGCTGGAAATGATCAAGTCTCTCTTCTCCCCCCCCCCCCCCCCCACTCTTCCCGCTCATTCTCACATCACATTTGGATGGATACAGGATCACTGCAGAGTTCCATCAAGACATTTGCATCAGTGACACTGGTCTTTGCAAGGGGTGGAGATTTCTGATGAAACAGTTAATCCGAGGACTCGGGTGGGGGGGAGAAGGGAAAGAGTCGCAGGATTCCTTTGTGTATTTCAATTCCGAAGGAGAACCAGGTCTAAATTTGGGCAGCTCTTCCCTTGAAACTCCCCCCCCCCAAAAAAAGTATAGTCAGCGGGAGGAGAAATAAAAACTAGGATTGCCACAGAGATAGGTGCAACTGCCCGACATGTTATTCTGAGCAGCTCTCCAGCTTGACCCGTTTCCAGGACCTCAACTATTTTGTATTCAGCGACCAATAAAAACAATCTGCTGTTGAGAATTGCGAGTGCAATAAAATCTGTTGTAAACATCCTAACACAATCGTAACAGGATGACGGGCCAACATTTCTTTGTGATCGGAGCATGTATTAGGCAGCTACATTTCCACATGGTCATCTAAAGTCAGTTCCAAAAAGGGAAGAGTTTGGCAGGTCTGACTGCACTTGGTACAATGGGTCATGTTACAACATTGGCGGCCAAAACGACAAGTCAATTGGTGCCCAGGATATCTTTGATTTGACATCGGAGTATTTATTGCACCGTACATTTTACTTTCCCTGATCCCAAACACTATTTACAGTAACAGCATTCATCTACAAGTGGTGTTAACCTAGTGAGAAGGAAAAAAAACATGGCTCTCTGGCATTACCCGGAAAAACAGACCAGTCACTGGGGAAAGGGAATCCTCCCACTCAGCATCTGTTAATCCTGCAGGCCAAAGCCCGAATGGGTCAGGTGGTTCTCGCTGACCAAGCAGTGGGAAAGCTGGCCGGACAGTGATATCAATGGCAAACTATGCGGTTTTAGCTGGTTAGACTCCAGCAGTTACCCCAACGCACACTCTGGGGTCCCGCAGCCTTCTCTCTTGCCAACTTGCGCCTAACGCTTTCCGGAATTACGTAAGCGGGATGGGTCCCTCCAGGGAGAAGAGTGCGCATTCCAGTCCAACAATCTATCTCTGGAATTTCCATGTGTAGCTGGGATACATGGAATTCTCAGTTTGGTTTAGAGACTCTTAAGCAACGGTGATGATTTCCGCATGTGTCAGACACCCGGCTGACCAGAACAAAGAAGGACAATGATAAAGGATCCACTCAACTGCAGCTGGCAGCCAGGTTTCTTCGGGATTAGCTAGCTCTCAGCCCTCATTGCCACCGTTCAAAGTGCAGTATAAGCACCCCTACCCCCTCCTTCCTGATCATCGCACCACTAACGTTCAGCACCCACTACTCAAATTTCCTTAAGTAGGCCAAATAAATAAGTTAGCTCATTTCATTGCACGCACAACAAAAAATCCTCTCCATGATTAATCAACAATTTCACCATCTATATACAATGACTTTGAAAACTTTTTTTTTATATAAGATATAAAAAAAAAGCAAAAAGGAAAATCTATAGGGATGAAGCCTTGACATAGGTCTGAGTACCAGTTAGTTCCTTCTTAAAAAGGATGTGCAATTACAAGCAACTGTGCATTCTTATTCTGCAGTCTTCTGCAGAGTTTCTCCTCCCCAATCTCCCCCCCACCCCCAATCACCAACACACACTTCAGTCTTTTCAGGAATCCATCCATTTCCGCCAACAATGGAAATATCAGATGGAGACGAAGACATCGAGGTACAGTCGGTCGTAGGATTCCCTGAACATCAGGATCAACAGAAGGCTACACAGACAGGATCCAGTCAGGCACCAATTCAGCCAGTAAACATCTGAAAGACAAATGGAGTTCAATGTTAGCACTTAATCTAAGTCATCCCCCGGCTACTGCGTTTCGCCCACAAAATATACAGTCTATTCACTTTACAGTATATTCTGTGAAGCGCTTTGAGCCATCTTGAAGATGTAATAAGGCGCTATATCAAATGCAAGGATTATTATTATAATAACAGGAGGGCTTCAGTTCCGGTTTTCCCTGGTCCTGGGAATTTGGGGACTGAAGTCACATGCAAACTCACTGAGGCAACTGGACTTTTATCACTGATCAAAGGGTTTATGGACTACATACATATTAAAGTTCAGAACACTGCTGCCTACAATTGTAATGTAAACTACTAAGATCAAGCCATGGAGATGAGTTGTGAAATCTTTAGCTAATATAAAACTAATTTGGACAATGCCCTGTCAGCATATACACTATAATATATAAAAGAGTTTTTAGACACACACATTATATACATATATAATATATTTACAAGATAATCCTATAATTCCTTTATTCATACCTTCAATAAAACACTTCAAATTTAAAAAGGAGACATCTAAGTGTGTCACAAAGTTTGGCTGACGTTAATGTTTTATCGCTTCCACGTATTCAGCGGAAGAATATCGTTTATTCGAACCTGGATGTAACCTGAGAGAGTATTACAAGCATATGCTAAACGCTTTCTTCATGCCTAAATGATCAGACAGAAAGTTTCATTGCCAACTGGGAGAATCCATAATTCATAATGCTACAGCAGAAAGTTTGGACGGAGCTGGAGTTGAGAAGTAACAAGAAAGGTCACCACAGACAGACAACCTGAAAATGAGTCTCAAGGGATTATCTCTTCTGCCACAATTTACAGATTTTTTTTTAAAATCATCTGTCGACAACTGCTTCACACATCTACTCCCTGCCATAGTGCTGGACTCATTTCTATACACTTCCAGTGCATGCATGAAGTACTGCATATGAATTATGAAGGATAACAAGCACACAAATCAGATGAACTCAGAATCAGAGGATCAAGTATTACGTGCATACTGAGACACTTTCTGCAAGGTAAACCCTCTAGTACAGATGTGACCAGATGAAGACTATCTTATATACTTTACTCATTTAGGTACGTCCGAATGCAGGACGGAAACTGAGAGGAGAGCTGGGGCAAGGTCTGGAGTCTGGTAAAGAGAGCCAGGCAAAGAACAAATCTTTTAACATGTCTCCAAACAGTTAACTGTCAGAGGCTGCAAGTGTAGGTCAGAGATTCAACTTCACTGAGCTGAAGGATGTAAGATGTCACAAAATGGTAGTAGACACACGCATGCAATAACAGCTGCCTGGCCTAGTTATGGTCAGAACGTGCCTGCGGGTTTAGTTGCTGGACTTGCGGACTCGCCATGAGGGTAGAAGCCTTGCTGAGTCTCGGTCCTGTGCAGGCAAGCCACCATGTCACAACAAACAGGCCTGTGAGGTAAAGGAGCAACACACCCCATATACCCAAGCGCTAAATGACTATCAAAAAAAAGCCAGAGTAACTATACTAAACCGTAGGCAAGTTTCCTTACTCCACACACCTGTTTACCCAGCAGCAAGTAGGAACCCGGTTGTTAGTCGATTGGCGGATCGCTTTTCTGGGGGTATTATAATCCCTCCTAAATAAATAATAATTTTGTCACTCAATCCACGATTGCTTGTGGGACCCTGCTGTGCACAATTGGCTGCCACGTTTCGCTCACAAACTATAGTCAATTCACATTACAGTATATTCTGTAAGACGTCTCAACAACGTGATAAGGCGCTATGTCAAATGCAATTATTATTATTATTGTTAAAATACTTTCAAACAGTGTAAACGTGACAGGATAACTTCTTGCTTCAGAGTGAAGTTCATGATCGATACAAAGCTGATATAACGTAAGTGGACTGATAAAGTGGATCTCGTTAGATTAATACAACCCATCACATGAAGATGTATTGGGGAGGTTAGAAACTGAACACTGATGAAACTGCTGGCACCGACAACCATTCAATCATTCTCAGGCAATAGAAATTATGGATGGCTATTTTTCCAGAGTGCAATAGGCTCAAGGCAAATCCCAAAGGATCTGTTCAAATATAGGAAATGAATTAAAACAGTTTTTGGAAAAGATTGATAGGGATGTGGAACAAGCTACCAGCATGGTTGATAGAACAAGAAACCACAAGGTGGTTTAAAGTAAAGTCAGACAAGCTACTGTCAACTAAAATTGTCCCAAGTTTCACATAGGGCGCAGGATGGGGAGGGTAATATTTACTAACACCAGGAGCCTTTAGGAACATCTTTGAGACATCCAAAAGTGCTTCACAGCATATAACTTGGGTCTTCTTTCACCGAGCAAATTCTTATGTTCATAGGTACACAGAAGGTAATCAACCGCTGAAACAAATAACCGGGAAGGGTGGTTGAAGCCGGGTCACTGGGCTAATTTAAGAAACAGCTTGATGCTGTAACAGGAGGATGGCAGGGTGCATAATCTGAAGGATGAGATCAAATGGGCTGAACTGCTTTCTTTATCAAAACCTCTTGTGATCCAGAGGCAGGAAACTGGTCAGGATATATTGGGAGCAAAACATCCTGCTGTTGGGAACTACAACTTAGGATACTGAAGTCTGAAACCACTGGAGGTAAGAGGTCATGACTTTGGAAATAAATTACAGATGTAAAAGAAACCTTCTAGAGCTGCACAAGCTTCCTGTTTCGAATGCAGACTTTGTTGCAACCTATTCAATGTTTAAGAGATGCCAGAGAAATGCATCCACATAGTTACTGAAAGGTGCACCCCTGGAGAAGTAAAGGTCGGACTTTATATTAAAAGAAAATCTGCAGTCTCACCATGCTCACAGCTACCCGAGACTAAAAGGGCAGGCAGGGAATGTGCTCCAATCACTGTCACAGCAAGGAAAGGCTGATATGAATCAACCTCCAGAAATGCTCTCCCCATAATAAAGCACTTGGCATTGATTCGCTCTGGTCTTCTCACAGACACCAGGAATTCAATAAGTTGCCAGGTGCAAATTTCAATGGAACACCACAATATCTGGCATTTTATGTATTTACAAACCTTAGTGGCCTCTTCGATGCAAGCAAAATATCTTGCACTGATGTGGTCTAATCTTGAATAAAGATGCTGAGAAATTTTAATTATTGTCAGGTAAGAGTATCAAGGGATATGGAGTAATTGGAGTTGAGGTACAGATCAGCCATGATCTTATAGCATGTTCTCAAGCGGCTGAATGGTCTACTCCTGTTCCTAGAGAGTTAAGAACTCTGGCAGTTCAATATAATTCAAATTTACATTTATTTGGACCTTTTACATCAGAAGGATATCCTGCTTGGCAACATTGGTCAATTAATATGAGCGCTCAATGGGTCACATTTACAATAGTTATTTTTGTGCTCAAAGAATATTGAGATTCTTTCCAGTTTTTTTTTACAATAGACATCCACAAAACAGTTGAAAAAGAGATAGCTAACTGGTTGTAGTAAATAGAAGGATGTGAAGAAAAGATAGGGAAATAAAATGACTACTGCCAATAATAATAATCCTTGCATTTGGTATAGCGTCTTACCACGTGAGACGTCTTAAAGTGCTTCATAGAATATACTGTAAAGTGATTTGACAGTTTCGTGGATAAAATACGGCAGCCTATTGCGCACAGCAGTATTCCACAAACAGTCGTGGATTGAGTGACCACATTATTATTATTATTTTGTTTTATTTGAAGGCATTTTTACCCCAGAAACAGCAATCCACCAATCGCCTAACAACCAGGTTCCTATTTACTGTTAGGTGGTTTGAATGGCGACTTCCGTTCCTGTGAATTATATAAAATACAAACTAATTTTCTGCAAACTATCTCTGACATAGACAGGCTGAGGTGTATGACCAACTGGTACTGTCTGTGCCTTTAAAAATGGACGCTCACTTCTGAGTCACACAGCAGCAATGGGAGTTTTGGTTAAGACATGATCCCACAAATGTTCTCATTCTTTTCAGCAAACTGACTAAATGAAATGCAGCAAGAAGGCCAAATGACGTCTGCATTTCTGTTCAATAATGCAGAGGCCAAGAGTACTTTATGCACGTATGTGGCTGCCACTTCCACTCTAGTAAACAAGCTAGGGCTCTTCAGCTGCTCACAAGATACTACCAATACCAATAGCATTTCAAATGAATAAATCATATTACAAGAAACTGCGTTCACAACTGTTTGATAGATGTGTCTGTCTCCAGCTAGATGTCATGAGAGATAAATAATGACATGATCACTACCTCTGCGAATAGCTCTTGAAGAAGCACTCCTGCTAGTTCAATCATTTGGTTTATTTGGGGGGGTATGTAAAAGTCTGAACAAATTACCTAATGTAACCCCCCCAAAAAAACAATTTTAGATACACCAAAGCAGTAGGACAGACAAGAAGGCACTAGTTCAGAGTTAAGGCGGATACTATGAAGTCATTCTTTGCACAAAGGGCAATCAACAGCTGAAACAGCCCATCGGGAAAAGTGGTTCAGGCCAGAATATTGGCCCTCGTTCAAGAAACAACTTGCTGATATCATAGTAAGCTCGATTAGTATTCTGGAAGGATGAGGTCAAATTTTCCTCCAAACCGCTCTTGTAACCTCTAAAATGGTGAGATTTGTGGAGACAGTGCTTCAGATTGATGCCATGTGTGCCAAAGGACATCTTCCCATCTGTGAACCCCAAATTATCTCTAAGCTTTCTGATGTATGCGTGTGGGGAAACTGGAATCAGTTCATTGAGGGGAAAAATAATAATAATTTGGTCGCTCAATCCATGACTGTTTGTGGGACACTGCTGTGCGCAATTGGCTGCCATGTTTTGCAGAATATACAGTCAATTCACTTTACAGTATATTCTGTGAAGCGCTTTGAGACGTCTCGAAGAAATGTTATGGCACTATATCAAATGCAAGGATTATTATTATTATTAGGGGGCCCTAAAAAAAAAGAACCTATCCTGCCTTCAAGCACTTCCGAATAGGCTTGACCAGAAGCCTGACCACTCTTACAACCAGGTAATAAAGTGAAATATGAATTGAAATTGTAAGAGCTATAATATAGATTCCCGGAGGGGCGGAAGAAAATCAGCACACAATCTAGACAAGAGCCCAGAAACGGTTTCATACAATGCACATATAAACTGATGATCATCAATGAGAAAAAAAAGTTTATAATTACCAGTGTGATAAAATGCCAGAAACATCAGTAATAATCCCATGAAGATATTGCTCAAGGTAGTCACAAATCCACAGCTGATGCCCTCGGGCACCGGGTAGACAGTTTCCATAAAGAGTTCAAAGAAGAAGGGAACGCTGCTATTCACGAACACTCCGATTAAAATACATGATGTGTACAAGATCGCTGTAATGAAAAATAATAAGTTATAAGGACAGTAAAAAAAATAACATCTAGTGATATCATGCCATAAAGGGTTACAGTAGCACAGCAGTGAACAATCACAATTCGATATAGCGCCTTATCACATTGTTGAGATGTCTCAAAGTGCTTCACAGAATACACTGTAAAGTGTAGTGACTGTGTGTTTTGCAGGCAAAACCCAGCAGCCAATTGCCCATAGCGGTGTCCCACAAACAATCGTGGATCGAGTGACCAAAAATTATTATTATTTATTTTGAAGGGATTATTACCTCCCGAAAGCAATCCGCCAATTGACTAACAAGCAGGTTCCTACAACTGCTAAGCAAACAGAGCCGTGTGGAGTAAGGAAACCTGCCCAAGGACGTCCCGCTCTGCATATGTGAGCGTGAGAATATGTACATACACACACACACACACACACAATAGCATGTTTCCAGACTGACATTTCCCTTCTCTTTTTCTATCCACCCAATTTCTTGATGACTTGTGCTGCGATCTAATTCAGATTCCGACATAAAGCACTCCATGAAAAATTTGGAAGAAACCAATGTGCAGTGGACCGCAGCTGAAAATAAAAGCTCATTTCACTTGCAGACAAAATCAGGGAGTGAATGTTATAGCACTTGGTGGATAATCAAAAAAAGGAGCAACATCATTCGTAATTTGGAACTGCTTCCTCTAACATTTTGTCTTTCCAGTGAAGTAGAGCTTATCTGAAGAGATTGTGGGCGTTCTCTCACAAGACAAGTCAATCCACATTACAGCACATCTTGTGAAATGCTTCGAAATGTCCTCCTAACATGGAAGGCTCTATACCAAGTGAAGAATTATTAATAATTATATTGAGGATGGGGTGGGGGGGAGGGGGTTGGATCAGGGAAGCTTGCAAATTTTTTTTTAAACAACTTTCTAAACGATATCCAAATGACAAACTTTCACAACACAAAGTAACAGGAAATTAAAACACAGCACACACGCAGGCAGCACAGTGGTTCAAATTAATTTCCCTTTATAGCCTGCAATACGAGCAGTTTCAAACACTAACCTTTAGAACGAAGAGGGAATTAAAACAAAGGGGAAAAAAAAAACACTTCAGTTGAAAAATTTACCAATTTGCAGTAAAATTTACACAGGCCTAGATTTAGAGCGATTTTCCTTCTGCAACATTCATAGCAATAATCAATGATGCAAGTCAACAGAAAACACTCAGCAAAAGCAGCCTTTTACTAGTGAAGCCATCATAAGCCTTCTGCTAACCACAGCTCATACATTGCTTTCTTAAAATTGGTTTTTAAAGTCAGCCTCAGTCCAGTGTAGTAGCTCCCGTTGTTCCTCTTAGTACTATTGAGCTCATACTTTAGGCTGACACAACAATGACAACTTGCAGTTTTATAGCACACCCTCATGCAGGGTAGTGCCCAGAGCGCTTTACTATAGCAGCAGAGCTGTATTGCCATAGTTCCCATCCTTCAGATGAAATAGTAAAGTGAGGTCCCCCCATATGGACATGGAAAATTAATATCCTGGGAGCGGAAAAGGAAAGGGGAGGTCGGAATGATACTCCCTCTGATGTCCTGGCCAACAAACCTCCAAATTAATCAATTGTTCACTTTGCGGAAGCAAAAATGGCTGCAATACTTGCCTACAAAAATCTGTAATTTGGCTGGCAAGCTAAACCTTACCCTTCCAGGCAGCTTCTCAATAACACAGACTAGAACTCTCTAACCTCCATTGTCACACTGAAGCATGTTTTTGGCATGACTCATCTAGAGCGATGGATATTCTGATTGCTTTAACTCTCTGTGGCCCTCAAAAGCAGTATTTGAGAATCAACCGTAGCTCCAAAGTGCTTCAAACTTGGTGGGGGGGAAATTGGGTCTGAAGGAGGATACTTAAAAAATAGCTTACATTTCACGCAATTCGAAACAAAGCTTTTTAAATTAGATAATTTTCAACCTTGAGAGATGCTCAAGTCAGCGCAGCGTGGCTTAGTTTGTGAAATAGACTTGGGAATCTTATTAGGTATGGTACCTGGGGTCACAGGCAGGTGAGTGACACTGGAGATACAGGTAAGAGCAAACCAGGCAGATGACAGCGTGGCTCCAGAAAATAGCAAGAGAAGAATCAGTTTCAACATCCCTCTGAAGAAATCTGCAAACCTGCAATCGTGAAAAAAAAATATCAGCCTCTCACACCAACAAGATACAAAGAAATGCCTCAGCCTATTCACCAGAACATATGCAGGACGTATATCCTGGGCAAAATGTACAAAAAGGAACTAACCTCGCCATCACTATTCCAAAAACACAGCCACCAAATAGAGACCAAAACCCAATCCAACCAGCATCAACCTGAAAGAAGAATTAATAATAATAATCCATGCATTTGATATTGTGCCGTATCACATCGTTGAGACGTCTCAAAGCCCCTCACAGAATATACAGTAAAGTGAATTGACTGTATATTTTGTGGGTGAAACGCAGCAGCCAATTGTGCATAGCAGCGTCCCACAAAGAATCATGGATTGAGTGACCAAATTATTATTATTTTTTGAAGCAATTATTACCCCAGGAATAGCGATCTGCTAATCGACTAAGGTGTGGAGTCACGAAACTTGCCCAACGTTTCGCCCTGCGCGGGAATCATTTACAAGGCAAGTTCTCTAACACTAAGTGACAGGACTCCATGAGATTGATCAAAAAATATAGTGAAGGAGTTCAATAAATGTAGCCTCGTCGGAAGGCAAAAAAGCCACGGAAAAGGCAATAAAAAACATACCAGTTTCTTACCTGGCTTATTTTGAGAGGCGTCACAATCAAGTCTAGTACACCCGACCATCCTGACAATACTCCCAGCGGCACAGCATAGGCCAGCGAGATCATCAGAAACCTAAAATTGCTGGTTGAAAAAACATTGAAGAATAGTACTTGCAAGATGAATGAGCCAACTACAAATCGTTTCAATCAGTTTACACAAGTCTTCGTGTGTATGACGGTGAGTTTCACTTCCTTTTGCTGGAAGATCTTATGACCTGAATAACTGGTTGCCTGCTTCCACCAGAGTGCTTCACAACAAGGAATTCCGATACAGAGTGTTCATATCAAAGTTTCACAGAAAAACTACAGAAATAGCTAAAAAAAAGGCATTGAGTGATTATGCCAGGTTATCACTGAGGCTTTCAGACAAGAAAAATCGAAAGTTTCTCATTTGGATTTTAATTCATTGACTGGTTCATTAACTGATCCACTGACTGATCAGGAGGGAATATCAGGTGCTACACAATGTAAATTGTTAAGTTGGTACACAGTTAAGCATTCAAGTATTTTGACAAAATTAAAGGCTCCTTTCCTTACAGTGTTTCAAAACAAAGCATTCCATCTGATCATCCCTGTAATGAACAGTAGGAACAGTTTCCTACTATACTGCCCTCAAAAGCTTAAACCGTGAAATTAAATGGAAACTTGGGTAATCTTTTTTTTAAGAGAAATTACAAAGAGAAACAGCTTCAACTTAACACAATGATTTGTGGCTGCTAGAACTGGTAGGCACAGGTACGTACGGTTTATGTTCATGCAATATTTAACCTTTAGGACTATTTTTTGAATATATTGAATCTGACAGCAACTAACAATCATTTTTAAATGCTCATCGGTGCCTGAGAAGGCATAATTTTCCCTGCATTGAGAGGTAGTTGTGGTCACTGTTATCGTACACTTGCACAATAGGAACATTCGCTGTCAATCATGTATTTGTCTTTGCATGTCATCTTGGAGTCAGTTCGGCGCCAAGGAGAACATGCTTTTCCCCCCCACACACACACACACCACCTTCATCACCAAGCGGGGTAAGTCTTTCTCACAAAGATCTTAACAAGAAAAGATAAATGCACAAACACTGTTTCCACTGGTCGGTGGTTTAAGAACGCGAGGCAATAAATTTACAATTGTTACCTAAAAGAACTAAGAGAGCTTAAGAAAAAAAATTCTGCAAATACAGCTGGTACTTTTAATGGAGTGCCCCAACAAACAAAATATATAATGGTTGAAGCAGAACTGCTTTTAAAAGGGAATTAAACAAATATGTGAAAAATAAAGGTGCGGTATAAAGAGCAGGGAGTGGGACTGAATGAATAGCTCTTCCAGAGGCACAATGGGATGAATGTACAATTCTTATAAGACCTGATCGCATTTGATGCCAAAACTTCTACTCAATAGCCCTGACTGGCCAAACCTTGCTCTGCCCTCACAGCGCACATCCGGTGGCAAGTTGGTATCGTTGCCAAAAATGGTGGCAAAATTGGGTGTGGAGGCAAAGCAAATTGCTGGAACAGGTGGTTGGGATGGGCTCATGGGCAAGCTGCCTCCGTTCCAACCCTCCCCCCACCCCAATTCGTGTTCTCAGAGTTCTGCAGATGTACGATTCCCCACCCCACGCTGAAATTCTGTTTCAAAAGTGGCCCGAAGAAATGTGAAGTGATAATAATAATCCTTGCATTTAAATAGGGCCTTACTATGCCGTTTAATGTCATTTCAAAGCACTTCACAGAATATATTGGCAAGTGGATCGACCGTGTATTTTGTGGGTGAAACCCGGTGGCCAATTGCGTACAGCAGGGTCCCACAAATAGTGGTGTTTATTATTTTATTAAGCAGGGAATATTCCTAGACCATATTGCTGAGAGTAAAGTGGCTTCAATCCCAGCAGATAGCACAGCGCAAGTTTACCCAATCGACACAGGAGACACCTACCCAAGCAACCTGCAGATACTGCTTCTGTAGTTGAGCCTCTGACTTGCAGCAGCTATACTGGGTGGAAGAGGAGGGCGAGATGGGAAATAGGCCAACACGGCAGCAAACAGCACAGCTGTCGCACCGAATTCTGGAAGAAAAAAAATTATAGATTGGAAAAAAAACACGCGAAAGGAATCGGAGAAATCTTTTCTTGTGACACCTAATCGGTTCGGTGACCAATGCTACACAACATCTCACTGGAACAATGAATGCCTTCCGCATCACTGCACGCTTAGTACTACTACAATAAGTACCTTTCTTCCTTCTAAAAAAAGCCTCATTTTTCAATCAAAGCAACACAACAATGGTTATATAACCCAGCAAAATAGCAGACTTGCAGACCTCTGAGACAGCTTTTGTATGGTGTAATCAGGTACAACAGGATTCTAAACAGCCACTTTATCAAAGAAACATTTTTTGGACACATTTAGTCAGACAATTCTACCCCGATTCTCCCTCTCATCTTTAAACAGTGAAAATGAAAGTTTAGAGTAAGTTTGATCGTAATTAACTTGTCAAAGATATGATCGATTGTACCAATTTACAGTTTTAGGAACCTGGGTCCCAATAGTAACTTCAGAATCATAGAAGAATGTTTGCAATATACAAAGAGCTATTAGCATTGTATCTTTGCTTGTGTTTGCTGCCCCACTGGAACGATTTACTCTAATCCCATTCCCCTGTTCTTTCCCTATAATCTATTAACACTTATTTTGAAGTATTTATCCAATTCTCCTTTTAAACATTATGGACTCAGTTTCAACAGAAATTTGTGCAGTTTGACAAGCCTCGGTGTAAAGATTTATGGTCTTTTTTCTTCTGATGATAATCCTAAATCTGTCTTGAAAGGCTATAGATATAAAAACAAAATGGACAATAAAGAAGAGCCCAAAAGGGTGAGGCAGCCAATAAACCAGAGTAAAAACAGAATTCGCTGGGAACACTCAGGTCGCGGGGAACACACTCAGCAGGTCAGGCAGCATCTACGGAGAGACGAAAGTGAATTAACATTTCTGACAAAGGTCATCGACCTGAAACATTAACTCACTTTCCTCTCTCCATAGATGCTGCCTGACCTAACGAGTGTTCCCAGCACTTCTGTTTTTATTTCAAATTTCCAGCATCTGCAGTACTTTGCCTTCAATAAACCAGAGTACCTCAGCAGCTACATTGTTAAATCAGCAGAGATTTAATTCAGCCAGTGTACTTACTGCTGCATTAATAACAAACATGCAGTGATGTGCAATGCATTCAGATGAACCTTTTAAAACACAGGCACACAGAATAAGGTACAGAACCAAAGTCCATTCCTGTGAGGTTTTCAGCACTCGCATTTAAAACTGTTCAAAAAACAAAATGTATTTGAAGATAATGGTGGTAACGCTACAATTATTTGATTTACTAAAACCAAGAGCAGTTTAGCTAATTTGAACTACGTCATTTAATGATGAAGCTTAAACTAACAACTCAATGTAGGCCAATTTAAGACATTTTAAGCAGCTAATAATTATTTCATAGGAATACAGCAGCATAGGAGCAAGGAGGAGGCCATTCAGCCCCTCAAGCCTCTTCCGCCATTCTATAAGATCATGGCTGATCTGTACCTCAACTCCAATTACCCGCCTTTGCCCCATATCTCTTGAGCCCTTACCTAACAAAAATCTTTCCACCTCAGCCTTAAAAATTTGAAATTTTAAAAGAAATTAGTTCTGTCATGATACTGAAATGTTAATCAAGGAAAACTGGATTTTGCTCAAAATTGTCAATACAATGATCTACAAGTTAAAGCGTATTTTATGAAAGAAAGTTTTGAAACAATACTAAATGTGCAACATCTTTGCAACCACACACAGCTTTTATTTAACTGTAGCAAATGTGTTCAATGCTTAAATTATATATATATATAGTTTGAAATCCATTCTGATGGTGCCCAATTTAAAATTGGGTTGGTAAAACATTAATGCTACAACAGTGAGTTTTGTCAAAGAGCATGGATTTGGCAGAACCCATTACTAGCGCGAGAGAAGCAATAACTAGAAGTGCGCAAAAAACTGCGGGCCTCATAATGAACTAAGTGCTTTCCGCTGACAGAACTATTGTTTCCTTCCTTTCAAATGAATTCGAAGCATTAGCAAACTCCATTAATTTGGGGAGCACTGATTACTGAAAATGGATATCCATTAGCTCAAAATGATTTCTGCTCTCAATGCTTTTCAGCCACTCTTTCAGTGTGAGAATAAAATGGTCAATTGAGTGTTTTCTCACGATTAAGCACATTAAAATGTAAATTGCTAAACATAAGGTTGGAGTAACAGAGTTGTCGCGAACAATGCACGCTATTCAGTGCGGTTGAGAATCGAAAATGTGAAGTAGTCCATGTTCCGCTGTTCTCAATCAGGACTGTAATTATTTGCAGTAATAATCTTGCTCTCCTCGGTCACTCTCATCATCACTTGAAATGTTCACTGTGTCACTGACAATTTACACACACCTTAGGCAAGCGCATTGTGTTCAAGGTAACTATACACCCCTATGTGGCAAAACTTTATTTGAACAAATCCCATAATGTTTAACCAAAACACACAATCACCTGTGTTTATATAGCACCCCCTCATGCAGGGTAGCATCCCAGAGCACTTGACAGTGGCGGAGTACGATACCGAGCCGGGGGGAGGTGATCGAAGGCACGGTCAAAAAAGGTGTTCAGGAGCGAACTGAAGATGGGGAAAGAGGGGGTAAGGCAGAGAGATAGAGGAAGAGTGTTCCTGAGTTTCGAGACGTAGTGGCTGAAATTATGGCCACCGATGGTGGAATGGAACACACACCATGTGAAGCGCACAACGGACAGTAGTGGACTTTTTAGAAAAAATAAAGAGATGGCGTACAGTTATTTGCAAAGAAATCAGAAGGAACCTAATTACATTCCATATGGAGGGCCAATGTCTCAGTTATTCAGATACAGTACAGTACACAACTTACTGTATACTAACTACTTTCCTCAAATAGCACAATATTTATCCAGGAAATATTTTGTATGCACAATAGCATTTCAAATTGTCCAATACAAACACTTTATAAAATGAAACTGCCCTATAGATCATCGGAACAAAACCCACAGAAATAAACCATTCTTGGTTTGCAGAAAACCTTTTTGTAAGGGTGAAAGGGGTCACTTGAAACATTTGGCCAAAGATTTGACTTAATATAATCACAAGGCGTCAGAGAAGGGAAAGGGAAGAGAGCTACAAGGAGAATTAAAAGGCATATTGACAATAGAGTCAATTTGATTGATATTCATCGTCTCCATTGGGTTACGACATATCTTGGCAAAGTAGGGCTTTAAGTCATTCAGAGTGGTAGATAGCAGATCTACTTCTGGAATCGGATGTAAAGCATTCACTACCTCAGCAGAATCTTTGGGTTCTTTGGCACTGGGTAATACGGGAATCTTTTGTGCCCTACAGTAATCAGCAGACTGTGAACAGAGCGTGTGGGGAGACAATTGCAGTGAAGTTTTTACCTATGTATAGCAGTGCTTGAATGCGATCCCTCATGCGCTCAGTCTGATGGTTGGAGACGGAAAGGAGAGGAACAGTCTCGTTGGGCGCAGGCACCATTAAAGGGCCTAATAGAAATGCACATGCGCCTCCAAAGTAGTTTAGCAATGATGCAATCGCAGTGGCTGTAGCTCGCTGGTCTGGAGGGAACCAGGTTGTGGAGAGGAATGGAGGAGCAGTCATAAAGACGGGGCCAGCCAAACCATTGAACAGCTGGCCAGTGTGGATTAACCTAAAATTTAAAAAAAAGGTATTAATTTTAAAAATCAAAAGGGAACGGAGTAAATTCTCAAGTCTTAACACCCGTTCAGAATACTTTTCTGAACCAGCCAACCAATTGCACACAGCAGTGTTTCACAAACAGTCATGGATTGACTATGCAAATTATGATTATTTTTTATCTGTTTATTTATTTTAAAGGGATTTTTACCCCAGAATCGCTAATCAACTAACAACTGGGTTCCTACGTACTTCTAGGTAAACAGAGGCATGTGGAGGAAGGAAACTTGCCTAACATTTCGCCCTACCCGGGAATCAAATCCAGGTCCTCTTGTTTCTGAGGCGAGTGCTCTAACAACTACACTACTGACCTCGACAGTGTACCCAACTAGGTCAGTTACTACCCATTGGATCTTGTTAAAAATTGTGCCCTTGCTTTACATCAGTTCAGATGTTGCTTTATCGCAGCAAAGTAAGAGCATGCGTTTCTTTTTTGTTGAAACCATCTTCTCCACTGACATCAATCCCGAGCAGTTGAGCTCGTCCTTTTGAAAGCATTGCCTCGCACAGTGCCAAGAAAGTATTCAAAAGGCTTCCCAGTGTTTAAGGCTGCATGAACAATGACAGCTTTGTCAGCCCAAACAAAATGGCATTGCAATGCTGCCTTAAAATCAGACAACATGCTGACAAGTCAGTAGATTACTCCATACAAAGCAATTTCATCACTGCAGAAGTATTTTGCAGTAGAATGAGCATACAATGGGAAATGCTACTAATGCCAGGTACCACTGACGATATTGTTTGTCAACCCCAATTTACATACATACGGAAGGGTGGGGTGGGGAGAGATTAAAAAAAAGTTAATGCAATGTGGAATTGACCGGAACATCCCAATAAATGGACTGATAAGTTAAGGATCACGTATTTCAAAGCAGACAAATGCCTTTTCTTTTTTGCATCTCGCCAATACAATTTGGAGTCTAAAATAGATGCAATCTTCTAGGATGAATGTAACATTTCACATTAAATATACTTATACCTACCACTTTAATAAGGAGGTATGCACACACACACTAAGAATCATAGAATGTTACAACACATAATTAGGCCATTTATGTCCAACAAGTCAGGGTGGATAGAGGGGAAGAAGCAGTTAGCTAATGTAATCCAGCTTACATTCTCTCTATACACTTGATATTCTTCCTCTTCAAGCCTTTTACAAGATTTTCTGACTCTGCTTTAATTTACGGGTTTGTGGTAGAGAATTCCACATTGCAAACACCCTTTGTGAAAGAATTTTCAAACTTTCCCTTCAATTCTCTGAGCAATCATCTTACATGTGTGCCTCCTGATTCATCGCTGTCTCAATAGGGAATAGCAAGGATTACTCACATTACTGGCCTCTTACAACTGCAATTGGTTTGAACCCAGCCTGATGGGGATGAAAGTCCTCTCTGTGTTAAGTGCAATGTTAAGAGCCCCAAACCCATTGGGACCTTGTTTAAGACTAGCCAAAGCACAGAACTGCCCTCAATTCATTTCAGTCAGACAGGATGACAGTATGGTTGGCATAGGAAACAAAAAACATCACTGCTGCAGTAGAGTTTGCTGCGAGGTATTGGCAAGACGTACAGCTTTGCCAAACGTCTTATTTCAAGAAAGTTTTTTTTTAAATGGCGATTTGTTTCAGAGGTCAGAATATGAGCAGCCTGATGCGGATGAAAGTGTCCTCTGTGTACGTAAGACGCGCAAGGCCTGTAGTAAATTAAACAGCTGGAGTATTTTGGGTGATGTAATTTAAACAATTAACATTATCTATGGCATTACAATACAGAGAAATGAAGATGTAGCAAGTGACTTGTTTGGTCAGCAATTAGCAAGAATGAATAAAAAGTAATAATTAATAAGAACAAGTGCAAATCTAATGAGTACTCCAGGCTGTTGAGAAATCACTGTCTCCTACATGCTTTTTTTTAAATTATATTTTTAAACTCAACATTGCAGTTTACCACAATCTTTCCATTTGAAATTGGACCCCTCATCCTGCTTTGATTAGCCTCGCTACTGCACACCCTGAAGCATTGAGCAGCATGCCTGGCTGCTCTCTCTGTCAAGGCTGAGTAAAGACACTCACATTGATGATGGCCCAGCCTTCCAGCCTCACTGATCAAAGAACTGGGCATTATGCACAGAGGGTGGGCTCGATTCTGCCATTCCGTTGCCAAATATGACACCCTAGAGCCAGTTCAGCTCCAAGGAGATCCTACTAACCCCCGCCCGCCCATGGAAGCTAGTCATTAGTTGGTCAGGACATTGTTGCGCGCAACTTGGATGGCACATTCCCCCTACAAAATGCACAGTCACTCCACTTTAGAGTATAGCCTGTGAAGTGCTTCGAGACTTCCTCCTTGTGTGAAAGCAATATATCAAATTCTAGGATTATTATTTTGAAGTTGAGTAACATTTGAATTTGCTGCTCTTTCCCCTATCCTAACATTTAGAGATTAAGGTAACTAGAGAATAAGGTAACTAGTAATATCCACTCCCCTGGGTCAGATGTGTGAAGGAATATTTATGACCTACAGTAATGATATCTACCAAACAAACGTAAATACTAATCTTCTCCATGCTTTTTTTTAATAGCCTTTTATTTTCATTCCCTATTATAAGTACTTTTCTGGCTCGCCTTGTTGGTCTCAAGGGATGAGGTGCAAGATAATGAACATTAATTAAACAAAAAGCCAGACTGCTGCAGAAATGCTCGGACAATTTGCTAAATTAATCGTGTATTAATGGTTATGCAGTCCTTTGACACAATATACTATTCAAACCAGTAACATGGAGTTAATCATTTTCATTAACTGTCAAGAACACAAGCTGGCATAGAGCACCTCTGCTTGTTACAAGAATGGAGCCTGCTCTTTCCCATACATTTGAACACATTTACAGATTGTAACTGCTGATCTGAAACATGCTCAACAGTGTAAAAATTAAATACCGAAGCAAATGTCGATTGGCGTAAAAATCTGCAGACTTTGTCAAGGTGCGCTTTTATCATTCTTAGACCAAAAATGGATTTATTCGGTTCAATGCTACAACAAAAACAAATTTACATTTATATATCACCTTTCACATCAGAAGGATGCCTAAGGCACTGACACTAGTTAAATTGGGACCATCTGTAACTAGTGAGAGATGCTGAAATAAATTGACCCAGGCGGAGTTTCCTACACAATAGTGCGCAGGAAATGACATCAGCAGAAAGCTGACGACTTCGGAAGTCGACCATTTTGTAGCTCAGGAAGCCAGGTGTGCTGTGCTTATGATATCACATGGGTTGATAGGCTTACTCTAAGCAAACCTATGCTTAACCAGGGCCACCCTGTATTTTGTTTAATTCCAAGTCATTGCAAATCAAAGCAAAATACACTTACCACTTTTTGGTCAGTTGATTGTTCATGGGGATGCATCTCAGTATCGCGCCAGTCATCATTAGTAAGGCACTTACAACCACAGTTGATCGTAGGCCTGTGGAGTGGGGGAGAGAAAGAATAGCACATGAAGGAGTTCCACAATACAGCAATAGAGAAAAGACTATTAGAAGAAAAGAATGGCTCTCCAACCCCAGAATCAGAAACTTTCTCTTCTCCTCTTCCCATAAGGGAAATAAAGAAGTCAACTGCTTCACTGGATGTAAAGTTTTATCAACATTCACTTAAATTGTGACATTTGACCTCCACATTTGACTTATGGAAGCTTAATTCTATTTTTTTTCCCCAACGAAACACATTAGATATCATTCCCACTCAAACTGTATTGCATAGCTCAAAATCTTTCCACAGGCAATTTTGCAAAGATGCAATTGTACTACTGGTTGTTTTTTTTTCATCTCAATTGGGCAGCATATGAAAATATCATATGCCCACCATTATGCTTTACTGAAATTCTAGTGACAACAGGCCTGCTTGTAAATTGTATTTAGGAATACATTACTCACAGCTCGCAAGAGAAACGTGGAGCCAAGCTTGCGTTTTGGACTGGTTTCAAAAATCCAGACCCCGTGAGAAAACAAAATGAACCCTGGCGACCGCATGTTGTTTAGCATTACAGCTCAAACCTCACGACTGAATGGAAACCAGGGATTAGATTCCTACACATACAGCAGTTTGAGGGACATCATACATGCATCACATCAAACACAGAAGACGCAAGCTATGAATAAGCCTCATACAAAAGGAAAGTGAAGATGAGGAAGTTCGCTTTTAGATTTTTTGGAACAAACGTTCACTAAATCACTGTTGCAACAAGCGTAGATGAGGTCTACCAACCGTAATCAATCAAAAGCATTTCATGGACACAGCAAAGTTCGAACTGCATTGGGGTGGGGGGGGAAAGAGGAATATAAATCTAGGTTTGCAGAAGTCCAGAAATTTACATTACTATGTAATTGCACAATCCAACATCATGAGTTGAATCATAAAATACAAGATTCCATGATTGCTACACTGCATTAAATACACACAATTTCTAAGAGTGATCATGCTCCAACCAATATTTCTCCTTTCTCAGTTTTTTCTCAGAAAAAATATATTGTAAGAGGCATTTTTGTTCCTTCAATCACTCTCTTTAGTTGGGAACTTACAGCCTCATCTCCACTCTGCCTCGTGGAGACTTTGTTTAGATAATAATAAAATAATAATCCTTGCATTTCATGTCAGGAGGTGTCTCAAAATGCTTCACCGGATATACTATAAAGTGTAGTTATATGTGTATACATATATTACATATGCATAGTAATGTCTCACAAATGAACATGAAGTGAATGACAAAATCTATCTGGACACCAAAAGAAACTCCCTTTTCTTTTCAAATAATGCCACAGGATCTTTAACAGTGACCTGAACAAGCAATTGGGACTTTGTTTAACATCTCGTCCAAAGGATCTCCAACAATGCAGCACACCCCCATCACACAAATTCAAACACCCGACCTGGAGCTTGGACCCATACCTTCTGACTCAAGAGTCAAGGGGGCTACCAACTGAGCCAGGTTTATGCCAGCTCAGTAAAACATTGTGTGAACGTACACCTCTTTAGTGTATTAGGGTGATGTAATCTGCATCAAGTAGCTTCTACCTTTTTTTAAAAAAAAGTTAAGAGAAGAATGGAGGAAGGGAGAAAAGAACAAGGTTACAGAAACAAATCTCAGCAGAAATCCTTGAAGTGTTCCAAGCAATTGCAGTTTTAAAGTGTCTTTGAAGTATCTTTGTCAGTTCTATTCAGGTTACTTCTATAAAAACAGGATGATCAGACAAGTACAAGTGAGAGGGAGTGAAATTATCAGCAGAAATAAAGCCCAGGGTGCTATGTAATCAAGTAACTTTGATAGGGTTTAGAGAATCAGTTCAGCTCTCACAGTCAGGTTGGGTAACTCCAAGACAGTTGTGACAGTCAGTGTAGTAGGAAAAAAACTAAGAAATCAATTGACGTTTTCTTCAAAGAAAACTATGGGAAACTTTAGTCAGCTCTGCCTACAGATGCTTAAATGACAAAATTGGATTGTCATAGCATTGGCTTCCTGGGCCAATTGTGTCTTTTATGTAGAATATGGAGGCCTACACTGCAATGATCTCCAAAATCACCTCCTGGGAACGTGGAAATGGCTGATGAAATTCCATAATACAAGCACTTCACACTATATGTGCGTGTGACATTTGGCTTAGGGGGTAAGAAACGACAAAATATTTGTTCCCCTACATACCTCATTTAGAGGAACTACACTCACCATATTCAGTAAGGTGAGTGGCAGAAGGCCCACTCGCCCCACTATTGGCGGGCCTTCTGTCACTCCACCCTCTGGAACTCAATCCCACAGTCCCTCCGCCTCGCCTCCTCCCTTGCCACCTTCAAGATGCATTCCAAAACCTGTTGTTATAATCAAGTTCTCCACATTATTTCAGGCAGATGGATTGAGGGGATTCACCCCCGCCCCAAAATGCCTCTGCCACATGTACATAATGCCTTTCAGTTTGAATAAAAGTACTAAAACAGATGGTGGCTGCTGAAAGCAAGAGTTGTTGATGGCAGAAAAAGAAACAGCTGGAGAAAAGTTTGCCACTAATTTGTCCACATATGAATCCAAATCAAGACATGAACATAGCTTGTCTTTTTTTAAAAGAGAGCAGGAATGAAGCCTGTAGGTCAGATTAGTAAAGAGCTGGCTTTAATTAGGCACTATTGTACTGAATTATTTGTTCTCAGGGAATAGTGGGATTACAACAAATTTCTACATCTCAAAAATCTTTTTAAGGAAGTGGGAAGGAGTGGGTGGGTGGAGAGAGAAATAAGGTCCTATTAAATTTGTAACTTCCACCCAATGATAGGCAGCTGTGATTCTATCTAATGCCTCATGTGAAGGACAACACCTCAAATCTGGGCTGTACAAGCAATCGTGTAACAACAAGTCTTCAGCAATATGTGAACAAACCCGTCCAGTAAATTTGTACTTGCGCCAATTTTAAGACACGGCTTGACAGGACATTGGCAACTAGAAACAACAACAAGATTCCATTTATAGAGCGCCTTTCACGTCGGGAGGATGTCCCAAAGCGCTGGACAGTTGGGTCAGGACCCGAGCATTGGGGGGAAATGGTCAGGGTGAGGGGAGGGAAGGGAGGGAGCGAGGAGCGGGGAAAGGAGATAAAGTCAAGTCTCATCAAGTCGCATTTTTAAAAAAAAGACCAGAAAACGGAGGAAGAATAAAAAAAAGAATAAAACTCATCAAGACAGCTATTCAAGTGAGATTTATGGACTCTAAAATTTTTCAATGTGTGGCCGAACGATACCCAGGTTAAGTGTGTGACCTAAACAGCATGAACACATGTGGGTTTGACAAAGATTGTAAAACATGTTTTGAATGAAAAATTGGGTGTCATCTATCTTCTGCTCTTTTCCCCTCCCCACCACCCAAACATAAAGATCCGCTGCATCCTGTCCTTATTGCTATGTTTAATGCATGTCCAGTTGAGGTCACAAACTAGTATTTATAGATATGAAGTCGGGCTAATCTTTTACAAACTTTCCATTGCAGAGCCACCTCCATCAAGCTATGGATTGAATTTTCCTGATCTGTATGGTGCAGCCATCCACCATTCTACACCTTTACTCATTGAGTAGTAATCCTCCACCTTAAAGCTCTTCCTTCTTAGTATTGTTATTGTCGGCTTTGTGCACCAGGCGCTGTTACATCATCATCTGACTGTCAGTCAACAGAACACCTGTTTTCCAGTCACATGTAAGGCTTGTGTTCAATTTTATGATCTGACTTCCCTAAAGTGATTGAAAATTTCTGGTTTAACCAGGACATCAAAGAGATAATATCAGCAGTCTGTTTGCTGCAATTCTGGACGTGGACAAAAACTGCTTTGGTTTGCGCAACAAGCAGAGCTAGACTTAAAGGAAATGAAAAGTTTAAAGGCCAGTACGATTTGTTCAGGCTACCCCTCCTTTCAACTTTCCACTCTTTTTTCTAATGTAAACAAGAGTAGAATTTGAATTATACAACTGAGTGGTACCAGGCAAAGTCATTTTAAGTTTTAAGTACAGTATATCCTTTCAAAAGACATGGATAAGCTGAAATAACGAAGTCTGGATGCTGTATATCATGACGAGATTGGATTTGGGTGTTGGAAAGGATTTGGGTCTATGAAAGGATTTTCAGATTGAAAAAACTTTAAACCCTATATTGCATACGATATTGCAAGTGTACAGGGACAGATCAAAATATTACCACGCTGCCTTATCCTGCTCAACATTCAACTCATTTATGCTGAGCTGGAGTGGCGTGATCAGGACTGGCAAGTGAAACTACAGTTGGCAGGTTGGAAAAGCTGATCCTACTTATACATACAATAAACGCGTGTATGTTCACACTGCATGTGTGTGCAAATCAAATACTGCATGACTATGCAAGCAATGTGTAAAAGTCTGTCAATAAGACACACACACACACACACACATATACATACATACACACAATTTAAATGAGAATGATGTCCACCCTGCAGGCTCCAAAGTCAAAATTTAAACACCCACATTGACAATATATTGTGATTGGCCCGAAGAGGGAAGTTATTAAGACCAGAGGGAGGTTGGATAGTCCCTTGAGAAGGTGTGAGGGTCCAAATGCTCCAGGTCAGTCAGCCGGTTGCCACGAAGGATACGTTATTATAGACTTCCTGGCAACCAGAACAGAGGGCATTAGAGATCAGGAGAGGGCAAGAGGGAAATGCAAAGGGTAACTTTCTTTTTTAAAAAAATGTCATTTACCTACTCAAAGATAATAAGGAAAAAAAGACATATAAAAATATATTTATCCCACACATGGACACACAATTTGAACCTGTTCTGTATACTGTAGGTGTACTGTTCGGAAACAGAACCGGCAAACAAGGCTTATGGAAGTCTCAGTGCAACTGTGCACATATGTTATTGTACACAGTTAGAGGACACCTCCCTCACCGTTTTTCCTGCGAGCTGTGGCAATGCAACGTTTCGAATTTTGAAACAATTCATCATACTAAAGCCTCCAAATTAGGGTATGGGATAAATTTGTATCTTCAGCAGTAAAACCCTGTGCTCAATTTGTAATAGTCAACTTTTTGTAGGATTTCACATGAGCTTATTAAAACAAGGTCATTTTAATATGGCAACTCTATCAATCCATATTAAAATAACATAGTCCTACCTGAAAGTGCAGCAATAAGTTTGACAAGCATTAGGATCTACATTCATTAGTACCACGGCAACTTACAGTATGACTATTTTTCGCTGTTACATAAATGTTTTACTAATTAATATTTGGGTTGGATTAGCTGAGATTGTATATGATCCACAAACAAATTTCTCCCAGTTCTTGAACTGCGCCATTTGTAACACAAGGCAATTTCATCAATCAGCTGTCAGAGAAAGTTCCATCAAGTACCATCCTCTGGGGCTGTCTTGCAAGGAGTTTCTCTTACAGTGCTTTGGGATGTTGACCCGACATGAAAGGCGCTATACAAATGTAATTTGTTGTTGTTGTCATCACTGACTGCAATAAGTGTTAAATCTAAAAACAGGCAAGAACATTGCAACAGTCAAACAGAACTTGTACTCAAGTGGTACTTTGGAAATCTTCATCATTAAACGTGTGCAAAGCTCTGACACAAGTGCCAGACAGAAAATTGGCCCACAAAGTTGACAGGCACAACACTGGAGGGAAAGGGTAAAAGAAAGGGAGGAGGAAAGTTTGAGGGGTAGGAGAGATTAGTGTAGATTTTGGCAAATTTTGTTTTGTACATTCTTTTGTCAACTAACCAACCATCCCATTATTAGTGAGAAGGAACAGTCTTCTCATACATAGGGTCAGTCTCATACATCTAGCTATTACTGTAGCCCTGATCTTGGATCAATTCATTTCTAGTACGGTACAGCTTTAAAAATTGTAAACAAAATATTACACACTCAAGATATTATATATAAAAATTAAAAGTTTATCTTAAATAATAAATGTTTAAATCACTAATATGTGACTGTACAGTTAATAAGTGCCTTAAGGCTGTTGAGTGCATTCTGAATCAGAACTATGCAAATAATTTGTTTTTTAGCAGTTTTATTAACTACATTCTAATTCTACTTCCAACAAGTTCATTTTATATTTTACATAATTGAGACACTTACAAGTATCTGGATGTTAAAATTTTGAATTCTTATACTTCCAAGAGAATGATTTCTAAAGAAATGACAACAATTAGGCTGGTCACACCATAGCACAGTACCTATCCCACTTCATAGACAGTTACCCACATGGCGGGGGGTGGGGTTAGTGCAGGAGAAGTGAAAGCATTCAGTCTATGAAATAAGAACATATTATGTATGCATTCCTCATCCGGTCTTGTTTTTCCATCTTGATTCAATATTTTTATATGATAATGGGTGCTATGAAACTATTGGGCAAGTTGTCAAATGGGTGAATGTTAAACATCAAGTTCCACAATAACGATCACCATAGAGAATATGTTCACCAGGCATCCAACAAATGCATTTAGCTGCTGTGCACTCTCCCCCTCCCCCAAATACATACAAAGACAAAGTAAAATATTAACAATTCTTCCCCCACCCAAAAATAAGTCTACTATACAAGAGGATTTGGGGATATTGACAGATTTTAAGCACCTCCTCACCATGTAGTAGCAACAAAAGGCCATGTAGTGGTAACAAAAGGGCCACACTGAGATATGTTCAGCCATTAATAAAGCTCAGATCTACATTTAATTAGGGTCCACCGGAAGCTGTACGCAGAGCCCTTATTCTATTTTAAGATGGTTGCAATGCGGTTCACAAGCTTGCTTATAAACACTAAACATGATGTTGTACCACACTGAAACATACATCATGGTGCATCACAAACCTAACCACTCACAACTCTCCTCAGGCCCAGTAGTAAACATTGGATTCTAAATGTTACCATAAACATCCTATTTAAATTGCCATTTTATGCAACTTTATTTCCGAAGCCTTATATCGTTTGCTCTCTCTCTCTCTCTCTCTCTCTCGTCAACCCATTTGCAATCTTGTAACTCTGTCACTTCCCCAAACTTACTAACATTAAAATGCAATACTATAGCAACGAAAAACAGCAACTGAGATTGCTCTAAATACATGCATTGTTACCACTGGGCTATTTTGGGTTTCAAAGGGCCATTCAATAACCTGTTAAACGAATCAAAATCTTATTCCTGACTCTTGCAGAGGCATCCGTGATTAGATAATAAGGCGGCTATAATGTCAAGTCACCTCAAAGCATTTCATAGGTAATTCTAATTACTGTCAAGTGTACTGACTGTGCATTTGTAGGTAGCTATTCATTTTCACAGCAAGGACCCGCTAACAGACACAAAGTGAAGGATCAATACATCTGGAGGACTGTTCGTCAGGACACCAAGAAAACTTCACTTCACTTTTCGAATAGTGTCATGAGATCTTGAGCATCCAAAAGACAACGCAGTGTCAGTGTCCTAGTGCAGTGTCAACCTCAAGTGCTTGCACCTCCTCCTCCTCCTCCTCCCTGTACTTTTTGATCCTAAGGTGAGCGCATGACTGACTGAGCCAATTTTAGAAACCGGCAGGAGGTTAAGGTCCCTTTGTGAATTTTCCTCAAAACATGACAGAACAAGCCAGGATCAGTCAAAATGTTCCTCTTTGCACAGAGAGACAGAGAGAAAAAGAAGTTGGAGGCTCTAATTGGAAATGATGTCCAAACTTCATTCCAATATTTCCTTCAGTCATGTGTCAACCTAGCTCAGAAGTAGCACTCTCGTCTGCAGGGCACAAGGATGTGGGTTCAAGCCACACGTCAGGACTCGAAATCACATAGCCCAAGCTGGGACGCCACTTCAGTGCTGGGGGGGTTGTTGCATTGTCCAGGGGCGCTGTGTTTTTGATGAGACGTTAACCCGAGGTCCCGTCCACCTGTTCAAGTGAATGATAAAAATCCGACGGTGCTATCTTGTGGGCTAAATGCAGCAGCCAATTGCGCACTGCAGTGTCCCTCAGACACTGTGAATTGCGTGACCAATTTTTTTTTGAGGGGTTATTAGCCCTGGAAAGTGATCCGCCAATCCACTAGTAATTGAGTTTCTACTTACTGCTGGGTAAACAGAGGAGTGTGGAGTAAGGAAACTTGCCAAAGCAGGTTATAAAATAATAAATTATTAATATATCAAATATCAAATTATGATTCTTTATTCCTGTCCCCCTCTCCCCCCCACTGTCATCGCCTCTTTTCCTGTAGTGGTTAGAGCACTCGCCTCACAAGCGAGACGACCTAGGTTCGATTCTCAGGCAGGGCCAAACCTTAGGCAAATGATAATATTAATCCTTACATTTGATATAGCGCTTTATCACATCTTCAAGACGTCTCAAAGCGCTTCATGGAATATACTGTAAAGTGAATTGACTGCATATTTTCTGGATGAAACACAGCAGCCAATTGCGCACAGCAGCGTCCCCACAAACAGTCGTGGACTTATTACTATTATTTTTTAACATGGTTGCTTCTCTCCAAAATTGAGGGTAATAATCCCTCCCCCCCAAAAAACAATAATAATTTGGTCACTTAATCCACGACTGTTTGTGGGGACGCTGCTGTGCGCAATTGGCTGCCGGGTCTCACCCGCAAAATACACTGTTACTACATTTGACAGTATATTCCGTGAAGTGCTCCGAGACGTCTCGAGAACTCGTGAAGGCGCCATATTGAACGCAAGGATTATTATAGTATCATTATCATCTTCATCATCAATCATCCCGCTTTGAGGCGTTGCAAAGGTGCGATCAGGCGCCATGTCAAACGCGGGGATTATTATGAATAATCATCATCGCGCGTGTGCGTCTCTCTCTCTCCCACCCCACCTTCCCTCCCCCCCCCCCCCACTGCCCCCAATTTCCCCCTCCCCACCCCCGCAAAACACACGGTCGGTTCGCGGGTGCCGCGGAGCGCTTCGGGGGCGTACCCCGAGGAGGCGAACGGGGTGGGGGGGGGTCTGGAAAGGAGTATTTTTACGACGATGATGATGGTGGTGATGATGATGATTGCTTTGATGATCATTGATCCCTACAAGCACGTGGGGGGTGGGAGGAGATGGGTGGGGAGATGTGGGGGGAGATGGGTGGATGGGGGGGATGGGAAGAGGGTGGGGGGGGATGGGGGGGAGATGGGGAGATGGGGGAATGGGGGGGAGATGGGGGTGGGGGGATGTGGGGGGTGGGGGAATGGGGGGGGTGAAGAGGTGGGGGGAGATGGGGGATGGGGAATGGGGGGGGAGATGGGGGTTGGGGGAATGGGGGGGGGGAAGAGGGTGGGGGGAGATGGGGGTGAAGTGGGTGGGGGGAGATGGGGGGAATGGGGGGGGGAGATGGGGGTGGGGGGATGTGGGGGGGGGAGATGGGGGGGGAATGGGGGGGTGAAGAGGGTGGGGGGAGATGGGGGGTGAAGTGGGTGGGGAGATGGGGGGGATGGGGGGGGAGGGAGGAGGACGTACCTTTCTTGTCCATCAGCCACATGAAGAGGCAGCAGGGCAGGAAGCCGATGGGGCCCCACAGCACCAGCAGCGTGATGTCCAGGGTGGTGAAGCCCAGCGCCCGCTTGGCCGAGTTCTGGATGGGGCCCCAGGCGTTGAACACCAGGCCCTGCGTGAAGCCCAGCAGCGAGAAGACGGCCAGGATCAGCCACCGGCGGCCGTACAGCCGACTGCCCGCGCAGGCCCGGGCCTGGCGTGAGGAGGAGGAGGAGGAGGGGGCCGGCAACGGCGGCAGCAAAGGCCGCCTCTCCCCCTCCACCTCCGACGACGACGACGACGAGCTCCACATCGCTAACCAACCGCCCCCCCCACCCCCCCCTTCACCCCTCACCCTCCTCTTTCTCTTTTTTTTTAATATTAATAATAATATTTTTTTTGAGGGGGGGGGGAGAGAGAAAGAAAAAAAAAAAATGGCTTCAGTTCCAGGGCTTCATCTCTCTCTCTCTCACACTTCCAACCGTCACTCCCGGTTCAAATCCCGGGCCCGGAGCATGCGCACAGCAGGAGCCGCCCGCGCGCGCGTGTGTGTGTGTGCGTGTGTGCGCGGGGGGGGGTGGGGGGGGGGGGGATGTAGCCCAAAGTAGCCCCGATCTCTTGACACCCGTTGCTCGCCCAAAAGTAGCCCGTTTATGACCCACGCGCTAGCCCCAAAAGTAGCCCCAAAGTAGCCCATTTATGATGATGATAATAATAATATTATATAATAATATTATTATATTTATGACCCATGCACTAGCCCCAAAAGTAGCCCATTTATGATGATGATAATAATAATATTACATAATAATATTATTATATTTATGACCCACGCGCTAGCCCCCAAAGTAGCCCCAAAGTACCCCATTTATGACCCACGCACTCGCCCCCAAAGTAGCCCATTTATGACCCACGCACTCGCCCCAAAAGTAGCCCATTTATGACCCACGCACTCGCCCCCAAAGTACCCCATTTATGGCCCACGCACTCGCCCCAAAAGTACCCCATTTATGACCCACGCACTATCCCCAAAAGTAGCCCCAAAGTACCCCATTTATGACCCACGCACTCGCCCCCAAAGTACCCCATTTATGACCCACGCACTCGCCCCCAATGTACCCCATTTATGACCCACACACTCGCCCCAAAATAGCCCAGTCGTGCCCCGTATCCCTGCCCCAAAGTAGCCCCAAAACCCGCCCAAAGCGCTACAATCAGATGCAAGGATTATTATTATTGTTGTTATTATTATTATTATTATTATTATTTTTGTTGTTACTATTGTGCGGCGAACAGTCTTGAGTGCATTTTTGTAAGCCACCCGTCGGGTCATCCTCTCCCCTCGTAACCTCGTAACATTTTGGACGCAACCCAAACTTTGGCCCAATATTATTTGCCTCTATAAGTGTCCTCGCATTACTTCCTTTTATAGACTCCCAACGGTTCATAGGTTAAGCTAACGTGGAGCTCCCATTCCCAGGATCCTGGTTCTGACCTTTCTCCCGTCAGCGTTGGCCGCATTTTTCCAAATCTTCCCGACATTGCTCATATTTTAACACGCTGCCAAATAATATAATACTTGTGGAGTCCCGTGGCTCAGTCGTAAGCGAGAGGACCCGGGTTCAATTCTTGCGCTGGCCAAAACCTCAGGCACGTTTCCTTATCCCACGGCTCTGCTTACCCGGTCATTAGCGGGTTGGCGGATCGCTTTTCCACGGGTAATAATCCCTTCCAAAAAAAATTAAATCGAAAAAGAATCAATAACGTGGTCACTCAATCCACGATCGTTTGCCGCGTTTCGCCCACGAAATATGCCGCCAATTCACTTTGCAGTGTATTCCGTGAAGCGGTTTGAGGCTTCTCGGAGACCTGATCAGGCGTCGCATCAAACGCAAGGATTATTTTTAAGCAAACTTCTCATGTAACCTCAGCACTGTTTCTTCCATCTCGCCACGTTCACGTTCTTCACTATTTATTCCGTAAACTTCACACCACGATTCTTCTGTCAATTTCATTTGTCATTTTTGTTGGACCGGTCAACCGGGTCTGACGCCGACGAGACCCAAACTAGGCTGAGAGTTCCACATCGTACGTGCCACCCGCACGTGGAAATTTGCCTGTATCTGGAATGAAATGTGCGTGCTCTCTCCCTGGAGAGTGTTAGGCGCAGGTTGGCAAGAGCTTGGGGGTCCCAGAGTGTGCGTTGGTGGGGGGGGGGTAACTGCTAGAGTTTAACCAGCTGAATTCTTGCTTTTGGAAGCACCGTTTCTCCGATACTTGTCCAGCTAGCGCCACGCTAGCCCTTGGGGCTTTGGCTTGCAGGGCTAACGGGAACCAAGTGGGAAAAATCTCTGCTAAGTTAAGACGCTCGGTTTGTAAATATAATATTGATGATAATCCTTGCATTTGATATAGCACTTCACAGGATATACTGTTAAGCATATCATACGACTGTATATTTTACGGATGAAACGCGGCAACCCATTGCGCACAGCTGTGTCCCACAAACAGTCGTGGATTGAGTGACCGCATATTTGGGGGATTGTTTTTTTTTTTGAAGGGATTCTTACCCACGGAAAAGCGATCCGCCAATCAACTCACAACCGGGTTCCTACTTACTGCTGGGTAAACACAGCCGGGTGGAGTAAGGAAACTTGTCTAACGTTTCGCCCTGCCCAGGAATCGAACCCGGGTCCTCTCGCTTGCGAGGCGAGCGCGCAAAGCACTACACTACTGGACTCCACAAGGCTTTGCCCCCACAAAAAGTCTTCCAAACCGCCTCTCTCTTGCCTGCTCCCAGCTGCCAATGTGGATCTTGAATACTTTCCAAGTTCCTTTCTCCCCTCTCCTCCACCCTTGATTGTTTTGAACTCTTATAAATGCAATATTAAAGTCAACAAGAGCGGTTCTGTTCCGAGAGTGGAACAACGTAAAGGCTTCAGCTAATCATCTCCGTCTCTGCTTGGATGGTTTGCAGACTCTTCAAGCTCAGCGATGGGTTTAGGCTCGTGTCAGTCACCCGGCTGACCAAAACAAAATATCATTTACACAATCCACTCCCTGGAACTCCGTACCTTCCTCTCCTGCATTCTCTTCGGCTATCTTTGCTTCTCGTCCAGCATTTCTCATCGTCATTATTAATCGTCGCTCTCCCCTTCCAATTAATTGATCTGCTTTCTAATTTACTCAAACGAGTCGCTCCAATTTCCTCTTGTCTGGGCGAATCCCAACCCTGATTGATTTTTCACGTCTACAGTTTTCCCATCGGACAGGATTAAGACAGTCATTAATAACGTGTATTCAGACAAAACTTGCTTACATTCCCAATGAGACTTCCAGACATTGCACTTATTGAAATGAGGATTACCAACAACAACAAGAACCATCATCTTCATCTTTGTATTTGATATAGCGCCTTATCGTGCCGTTGAGACGTCTCAAAGCGCTTCACAGTAAAGTGAAGATTGACTGTGTGATTTGTGGGCGAAACGCGGCAACCCTGTTACGCACATCAATGTCCCACAAACAGTCGTGGAGTGATCAACCAATTTTATTTGGGGGATTGTTGGCCAGGACAGCAGGAGAGAGAAACTCCCTCCTCTTTTCAAACAGCGCTGCTATTAACATCCACCTGGACAGGCAGGTGGGAGCTCGGTTTAACGCATCATCCAAAGGGACAGCGTCTCCAACGATGCAACCACCCCCCCCCCCCAGCAGCACCACATTGGAGAGTCAGCTTAGACTGTGTGCGATTCCAAACAGTTGGGGGCTTGAACCTACAACTTTCTGACTCAGAGGCGAGAGGGCCACCACACGAGTGTAGCTTCTAAATGCGTTCCAGGCTCTCGCGGAAAGAGTCTGATTATACCACAAACGACCTGCGTTTACACGGGGATGATTATGCATCGGCAGCTGTTCTTTTTATAAAGAACTTAATCTCATAACGTTATTCGAGAGAGAGAGAAAGGGAGGGCTTGGCTGCCACGCACCTAATTGCATCAACGTACCACATTGTTTGCAAATTCTTTCTCATCAGAGTCGGTGCGTTTGGTTTTTAGTTACTGACATTTCATCTTGTGCTCCGGCTACAAATTTGCAAGGTTTTCACACTTATTAAGACTTGCGATTTTGATTAAACCGCGCACCCAGCCCCACCCCTCCCCTCTCCCCCAATTTTGCCCACAAAAGACGCGGTCAATCCGCTTTACATTATAGTCTGTGGAGCACTTTGAGACATCTCAACAACGTGATAAGGCGCTATATCGAATGTAAGGATTATTATTATTATTATTATCATTAAACCCAGCATCGTGTGCACTTAACCAGAATTCTTGAATTAAATGGGGCTGGCTGGGAATTTGGGGGAATAGTGTCAATCATTTCACAAATTAATCGAAATACACAGTCACTACACTGGATGTTAACTCCCTGCTCCGAGACACTTCAACCCTCTAGGCGTTGCGTTGAACAGAAGGTCTAGTTATTACTATAATTAGCCCATCATAGAACATGCCGAGGGATTTCCTCTCCCTGTATCCTGGTCAACAGTCACTTTCATATTTCATATTCATATTCATATTTCATATTCATATGGTCAACATTCACTTCATATCTGAAATACGCTTTGTCGGTACCTCATTTTTTGATCGTGCTCAGAAACTACTGTTTGAGGGGATCACTGTGGTTGCCGCATCTGCTCCTAAAATGCACAGTCACTACACTTTGCAGTTAAAAAAAATATCAGTGAAGCGCTTTGAGACGTTTCTACAGCCCCTAACCTCTGGAAATCGTTTCCTAAATTACTCTGTCTGCCCCCCCCCCCCACCCGCCCCCACTTTACCCATCTTTATATCCCACCTTGAAACCTACCTCCTGGCTATGCTGATGGTCACCGTCCCCTCCCCTCCGCTTGGTGCAAAACCCCACCACCGTACAGCGCTCTGCGACACTATCCAGCGTGAAAGACACTGCGTATTGTCGTTAAGGTGAGGAGAGACTTGGCTGGAACTCATCCCAACTTTTCTTGGGAAGGGAATAATAGCCGAAGGCTGAAAAATAGGTTATACTTTTGCAATTTCCGAGCGAGGTCAAAAGTGAGATGCCTTCAAATTGCAGCCCAGATAGCTTGACATTTCTCTCTCTCTCTCTCTGTCTGTGTGTGTGGCTCTCTCTTTCTCATTGCTTTCATCTCCGGCCAGGCGAGAGAGAGCTTGTATGATTCAAAGGTACTGGGGTCCATATGGGAGGGACTTATCTGTCGGAGAAAATCGAAAACAATAATGAATAGCGAGAGAGAAAGAGAGAGAGAGAGAGAGACAGAGACAGCACAGGCTCACCGGAGGCAGGTCCGGTCTAATTCACTTGTCGGAGATTTGACCATCAGTGAGGTCCACGCGCAGCGTGACATTCAAAGGCATTTGACAATCTTCTTCACAGAAGGCCCACGGTGAAAGCGCATCGGATCTGTGGTTAAGGGTTAAGTTGGATAGAAAACTGGCTAACAATAGTAACGATAATCCTTGCACTTGATACAGCGCCTTATCACGTCTCCTAAACATCTCAAAGTGCTTCACAGCATAGACCGTAAGGTCAATTGACTGTATATTTTGTGGGCGAAACCCAGCAGCCGATTGCGCTCAGCAGCGTCCCCACAAACAGCCGTGGGTTGAGTGACCAAATTCTTATCATCTTTTTTGGAAGGATTATCACCCTCCCAAAAAGTGATCTGCCAATCAACGAACAAACCAAGTTCCTCCTCACTGTTAGCTAACCAGAGTAAGGAAACTTGCCTGAGATTTTGCCCCAGGATTTTACCGCAAAGCCCAGTGAACTGCCGTGTTTTGCAGGTGAGCGCGGGAGTCGATTTTCGCGCGGCAACATCCCGCAAGGCGGGCAGAAATAAACATATATGGTAGACATACATCCGAGCGAGATGGAGAGCGAGCCTTGGGGCACAGAGACGAGAGTTTAGAAAGTCCGGGTCTTACCAGGCTGGTTTATTCCGTAATATCATTTTGCAATGTACAATATACAAAAAAAAAACATAGAATAACAAAACATTTCACAGTGTCTACAAAGGCAGTGATTACTCCGAGCCAGGTTTCGCTGACAATACCAAGGCTTAAATTGCATAGGCAGTCTCAACTGCCACCACAGGGTCCACAGCCCAATTTGGATAGTGCCCAAACTTCCAGGGTTTTTATCTCCCGGAATTTGACTTGGTTAAAAGAATTACCACAAGCGGTGTCCTGTAGTGTGGGTGTGTGTGTGTGGAGTAAGGAAAACTTGCCGCCTAAGGTTTCGCCCTTACCCACCCGGGTCCTCTCCCTAGCGAGGCAACCAACGCTCTAACCAACACGCTCCAGGACTCTACTCTGATCTCCCCTCGCTCGACCCAGGTTGTATGCAGTCCATCCGACACAGACCTCAAGTCGCGGCAGAGCGAGAGTGAAATCGAGATCCGATTTCCCACCAACACAGCGAAGGGTATAAAGAGCGCGATGCGATCTCTCCCGTCAAGACGTTTCGATCCTATTTATAACCCGTGCCTTTTGCCCCAGGCGCCTCCATTGAGACGTCTCAAAAGCACTTCACGGGATTTCGCTGTCAAGCGTAACTACCGTGTGTTTCGTGGGCGAACTGACGTCCGAAGGGTTTTGGTACCGGGAGCAAAATTTGAAACCTCACCCGCTGCCACGCAGCTGACCGTGTGCGGAGCGTAGCTTTGAATGACAGCGCCACACGTGAACACGCCAACTCTTGCCTCCCCGGGACGGGAGGGAGAGGACCCACTAATGCAACTCTCTCTCCGGCGCCCACTTCCCTCAGCGTCCGCCCGGGGACTGCTATCGGCCCCCGACTCTAAACCCTTCTCGGCTCCAACTTCACTGGGGGCACGAACATTGGGGGCAACAAGGTGTCAATGGGCAATGGCTTGCACTTGCTCCCGGCGGCCTGCGGGGGCGCTGTTGGTTCACACTCCCAACACGGCACCGATGGAGCCAAACTCACCCACTGTTTAGACTTGAAAGGAAAACTGGGAACGACAAGAAACTCCGGATTCTTCTCAGCGTCCTCGATGGCTCGGTCTCTTTCCAGTTAAAGGAATCTCCGCGTGTGGCTTTCCCTATCGAAGGGTTTACACAACCCCGTCTGACCCAGTCACTGGGTGGGGGGGGGCAGGGAATTCTCCCACTCAGCATCTGTTAACCCTGCAAGCCAAAGCCTTAGAAGGTAGGGTGGTCCAAGCTGGACAAGCAGCAGGAAGTTCGCCGGAGAGCAATATCAATGGCAAACGGTGTGGTTTTAGCTGGTTAGGCCCCAGCCGTTACCCCCGACGCACACTCTGGGTTTCCCCCCCACCAGCCCCCCACCCCAAGCCTTGGCACTTAACAACGTGTGCCTAATACTCTCCCGAACTAGGTAAGCAGGACCCGTCCCTTCGGGGGTGGTGGGGGAAAGAGAGAGAGAGAGCGCATTCCATTCCAACAATCTATCTCCGGCATTCCCATGTGTCGGCGGGAGACCTGGAATTCTCAGTTGGATTTGGAGTACAGTGATGGGTTTCTGCTTGTGTCAGACACCCCCAGAATATAACCTCCCACCCCCACTCACATCTCCTTAACCCACCCCAGTTGTTTGAGAGAGTTTAATGCCAAGAGTTTAGCAAAGTGGGGGGGGAAGAGAGCTTCACAAATTGGGTTTCTCTCTCTCTCCCCCCCCAACACCAACCCCCCGCCTCGCCCTCCCTTCCCCTCTACGATATAAATATTACAGTGCCTTTTAAATGAACATTAGCGATGAAAAACAACGACCACAACGACGCCATAAACCCCCCCCCCCCCCCCCCACACACGATATATAAAAACAGAGGATGAAATGCAACAAAGGCCATAATTTGTGGTGCGGCTGTGTTTTTGTTCCATAAATTAAAAAAGAGAGAGAAAAAAATATTATTTTAATACTGGAATAAAAGACGTTTCTCTCGATCAATGCTCGGATACCTCCTAAAATCAAACCAGTCGCTGTATTAGAATTTGGCTGCAGTGGAGGGGGGGGGGGGGTGTGGGGAGGGGGGGGGGGGGAAACGGAGGTTTTAACAGTGATTTGATCTATCTTTGTCTCTAATTACAAGCCTGATATTTACAAAAATACCTGCTGTGTGTTTTTTTTCTGTTTGTTTTTTCCTCTTGTCCCGTGATTTTTAAAAATAAGGCTTTCTGAACAGTTTTCTTTGTTTCATTTACAGATATATCTGTCTAAAAATTCATCACACCTATTAACAGTTGCGACATTATATGTACAAACAGAGTGCGCAAATCAATTATCCTTCCCCTCCCATCTTGAATCCCCTCCATGTCTCGCCTCACCTCCCCTCTCCCTTTCCTCCCCTCCCATCTGCCTCTTCCCCCACCCCATTTAACAACAACTTGCACCTATATAGCAATTGGTTATTGCGTTCCCTCCAGTCGATGACCAACCCCCCCCCTTTCCCCGAACCCACCCAATGTCATTGAGTTAAACGTCATTAGTACAGATTGTCTGGTTCCGATGACCTGTTTCTGTCCCCCGTCAACCTACACGTACTCTCTCACAGTCTTCGATACACTGCAGTTATTAAATAATGTGAAGCTTTTGCCTCTTTTTTTTTAAAAAAAAACTCTTGGCAATTTGCTGATGATCTCCTAAAGATTTGGAGGGAGGGGAAGATGGTGGTGTGGGGGGGTGGGGGCGGGTTAATGGGGCAGAATTGGCTCCGAGGTGACTCGCCTGCCAATGCAATATCAGAATCAGGTCCACCCTCGGCGACGGTCTCTCTGGTTTGGTTCCTGAGCCGGGTGGGTCCGTAGTAGTCCACTGCTGATGTCTCGACGTCGTTCGGGAATGGAGCGAAGCGGGTGGTTGGACGGTGATGGTGGTGGTGGGGAGACGGAAGTCACCGTTCCCCACTCACCAGTCGGCAGCCATTTTGTTTCTCTCGCCAATGACCAAAACTCCCCTTCCCGCCCCCCTCGCCCCCCCAAAAAAACCCGGCCCGACAATGAAGCGTTTCCTGACCGCGGAGTCCGGCGTCAGGTCAAGTCTGTAAAATCCCACCGCCCGCCGAGTCTTGGATAAGCCTTTCGATTGGATATCAACAAACAACGTCCTGCCGGGCTGCGGCTGAGCGGCTAATTGTACAAGTGCAATCTTCAGCAGAAAGTTTCCCCGCTTTGCAGAGGGACGGCTAAGTGCCTGGACTGAGCAGGTGAGGGGGAAAAGGGAGAGAGGAGGAGGAGGAGGAGGCGTGGGGTAAGGTGGTCTCTAACAATCATCTTCAGATCCGTTGCGGTCTGCTTCCAAGGGCGGATATCGAGACGGGAAGGGAGTGAGTTGTTGGGGAATGGGAGGTGGAGAGGTAATGGCCACTCGGGCTTAGTTGTAGGCTCTTCCAGGTGAAGCCTCGGGCCTGTAGTCGTACTTGTTGAGCGTGGAGGGGTAGTAAGTGGTCGTGTATACGTTGGTCTGCTGCAGCGATGAATAGTAGTTGCTCCGGTCATCGGGGATCAGGTTGTTCTTGTTTAATGGCTGATTTAGAGAGAGAGAGAGAGAGAGAGGTGGGGGGAGAAAGAAAACAAGTTGACGTAAAATCCATTTAAGGTTGAAATTGCTCGCAGTTTTAATGACGCATAATAACAGCCCTCGCGTTTGATAGGGCGCTTTATCGCGTCATCGAGACGTCTCAAAGCGCTTCACAGAATATACTGTGACGTGAACTGACTGTGTAGTTTGGAGGGATTATTATCTGCCAATTGACCAACACAACTGGGTTTGTTAAACAGAGGCGTGTGTGCGCCTGCGCGCGCGGGAGCGTGTGGAGTAAGGAAACTTGCCTAACGTTTCGCACTGCCTGGGAATCGAACCTGAGTTCTCTCGCTTGTGAGGCGAGCGCTCCAACCCCTACGCTACGGGGACTCCACGGGAAGAACACCAACAGCGGCAGCAGCTTGCATTTACGCAGCGGACCATTCACGCCGGCCGCGGCGTCTCACAGGGCTTTACCTTGATTTCCATGGGGTTGTACAGCTCGTTCTTGTTGGTTTGGGAGCTGCCCTTGTAGTTGAGGTGGTTGGGAGTGGTCGGGTGAATGACAGTCGACTCCTGAGACTGTCGCTGGCAGCGTTGGCAGTACAGGTAGGTCAGCAACGTCAGGACCCCAGCGCCGAGGAAACAAGACACCCCGGTGGCGATCAGGTGGTAGATACTGAAACCTGGAATACAACAACAACAACAGCTTACATTACATTTATACAGAGCCTTTCAGGTCTGGAGCGCACGAGATCAAATCTCCCGGTGCACCCGGTTTCTGGCTCCGCTTGCACCCAGATATTGTTTGGGTGGGGGGTGGTGGGGGGCTGCTGCTGATCATAATAATAATAAATCATAATAATAGTGCTTACACTAATCCCGGAAAGCGTTCGGCCAATCGCCTACCAACCAAGTTCAAACTTACTGCTGAATTAACAGAGGAGTTTGCGTGAGGAGAAAGGAGTTTTACGAGGCGAGCGCTCTAACCACTGCGCTATAGGATTAATGTGAAGTTCCAGCCCCGCACAAGGGAAAGGGTACCTGTTAAGCCACAATGTCCTTTGGTAACTCACCTCCACAGCTGCTGTCACTGCCGATGGCAGACTGGATCACTGCAGGAGAGAAACACAACAGAGAGAGCTTGAGAAGTCGAGGCTTTCACCAGTGGAGCAGAGAAGGTCCACGGACGACCTCATTGAGACCCTCCAAACTAAGACAGCGTGAACAGTAGGTTATTCCCATTATAGTGAGGATATATAGTAATCCTTGCATTTGATAATAGAAGTAATAATAATCCTCGCGTCGGATATCACGTCTTCTTGGCATCTCTCAAACGCTTCACAGAATATACCGTGAAGTGAATCGACTGTGTGCTTTGCGGGCGAAACCCGGCACCCAATTGCACCCCAAATTATTATTATTTCTTTGGAGGAATTATTACCCCCGAAAAGTGATCCATCGATCGACTAACAACCGGGTAAAACAGAGGGGTGTGAAGCAAAGAAACTTGGATCTTTTCGCTTGCGAGGCGAGCTCTCTACGCTACGGGACACCACACCACTTGCGCATCGTCACAGCGCGAGAGGGTAATGACAGGCGGCGGCGATGAAGCATCATGATTGATGCTGGACTCGGGCTGTACACTCACCCGGGATCTCGTTGTAGAGGCAGGGTCGGTGCTGGGTGCTGTTGCCCACACACTGCGTCGTCCCCGGGTTGGGAAGGTCACAGCAACGGCTACGAGATTGCGTCCCTTCCTCACCGCACACTGTCCACTTGCTCCACTCCGACCAACCAGCTGCAGGACCCAAACCAGGCGTCATTTCACACGGTAGCGGCAACACTGAGGTCGGGCAACTCCCCCGCAAGGCAACAGCGCAGCACGTCATCATAGAAACAGGAGGAGGCCGTTCAGCCCTTCGAACCTGTTCCGCCATTGAATTAGATCATGGCTGATCTGCACCTCAACTAATCCTTTCCCTGTATCCCTTAAACCCCTGACCTACCAAAAACCTATCAACCTCACTCTTGAAGGTGTGGATGGATCCAGCATCCACGGCCTTTCGGGGTGGGGGTGGGTTTCTATCCTCCTTTGAGTGAAAAAATCCTTCCCGATTTCACTCTTGAATGGTCTGGTTCTAATTTTAAAGACACTGCCCCTTGTTTTGGATTCCCCCCGACAGAGGAAATAGGCTTCTCTGTATCACACTGTATCACACAACAGCCGAACCCGACCAACAGCGACAACAGCTTGCATCAATACAGCGCTCCTCGGGCAGGGTAGCGTCCCAGAGCTCCTGGCGAAGCACAACATCGGGCCGGGGGTAAGGGGGAAGGCGCCCGAAAGCACGGTCGAAGCGCAAGGTCTTCAGGAGCGACGTAAGGAGGCGGCAAGGTGGAGCAACAACACCATCACCACCACCAATGCAACAGCACGGAAGAGCGCTTCACAGAATATACTGTAAAGTGTAGTGACTGGGTATTTTGTGGACGAAATTCCACCACACCCCCGCCTCCCTTTCTCTCGAAGGTGGGAGGGAGGTAGGGGGGTGGGTGAAGGGGTCCTACCTTCGCAGCTGTGTGTGTTGCACAGCGCCTCCTCGGTGTGGAGTCCGATGCAGATGTCACCACCGTTGGTGGGGGCCGGGCTGGTGCAGGTGCGAGTGCGCTGGTAATGGCCCCCACTGCAGCTAACCGAACACAGCGACCACGGAGACCAACAAGACCACATTCCCTTCACTGAGAGACGGAGAGAGAGAGAGAGAGAGAGAGAGAGGAACACACATCAGGGCTCTTCTGTGCTGTAGCATTGGGTTCGTGATGCTGTGCTGGTGGTGGTGATGGGTGGTGTTGACTTGTCTGATCTCATCCTTCCTTCTCACACTCACACACCCACCCACACACCCACCCACCCACACACCCACCCCGACGTCCACTCATACTCACGAGATGTTTCCCACTGGAGTAATAATAATCCTTGCATTTTGAGACGTCTCAACGACTTGATAAGACGCCATATCGAATGCAAGGGTTATTATTATTATTATTATTTGATACAGCACCTTATCATGGCGTTGAGACGTCTCAAAGCGTTTCACAAGACATATCGTACAGTGTAGTGACTGTGTATTCTGTGGGAGAGACGCAGCAGTCAACTGAGCACAGCAGCGTCCCACCAACAGTTATGGATTGAGTGACCAAATTATTGTGGGTTTTTTTTAAAAAAAAGATTTATTACTCCCTGGAAAGTGATCCGCCACTCGGACTGACAACCTGGTTCCTGCTTACTGCTGGGGAAACAGTGGAGCGTGGAGTAAGGAAACCTGCCTAAGATTTCACCCCGTCAGGAATCGAACCCGGGTCCTTTCGCTGGCGAGGCGAGCTCTCTAACCACTGCACTACAGGACTCCGCAAGTTCCCCCTTAATGGAAGATTGCAGGTGGTATCGAGGGTTGACAATGTAATTAGTCAGAGCAAGGATGCGGAGAAAGAGAGAGAGAGAGAGAGAGAGTGTGTGGGACAATGACACATTGCCGTCAGTCGGTTGAATGGATTAAGCCATTACTCCAACCCACCTTTAACACGCAGTGTGTGTGTGTGTGTGTGTGTGCACACCAGCCACTGCATAGTGGCTGAAAGCACGACCGCCGATGGTGGAGCAGAGGGGGGGAACGAGGGATGGGCAGGAGGCTGGAGCCCAGCCGGGCGGAGGAGTTGGCGTTTAAAGTGTCCGAAAGCACAGTGATGTTGGTCAGTGCGGAGTGAGTGAGTGGGGAGTGAGGAGCGTGTGTGTGCGAGAGAGTGAGTGAGTGAGTGTGTGTGTGAGTGAATGAGTGAGTGAGTATGTGTGAGTGTGTATGTGTGAGTGAGTATGTGTGAGTGAGTATGTGTGAGTGTGTATGTGTGAGTGAGTGAGTGTGTGAGTGTGAGAGTGAGTGTGCGTGAGTGAGTGAGTGTGTGACTGTGAGTGTGTCAGTACCTGGGCAGGGCTGATGGTTACACTCCTGGTATTCGCTGTTGGCCCCCTGGCAGGGCAGACCCCCGGTCCTGGGCTCGGAGCTGGTGCAGGTGCGTTTCCTGCTGCGGAAGCCCCTCTCACACTCCCGGGAGCAGGAGGTCCACTGTAACCACGATGACCATGTCCCGCTCACACGATGGCCCGACTGACGACCAAACCTCACCAGGTCATCGACCAGAGCTGGAGAGAGGAGAGCGAGAGAGAGAGAGAGAGAAAAGGAGAGGGAGAGACAGAAAGACAGACAGAGAGAGAGAGAGAGAGAGAGAGAAATTAAATCATTCATTAAATTATACAGACTAACACACACTGCACAGCACAGGAATAAGCTTTGCGGTCCAGCTAATCTGTGCCAGTGTTTACACGCAAGCCGTCCGCCACGTTTTAGCGTGATAATAATCATAATAATAATAATAATCCAGTCGTGGATTGCTTTAGAGGGCAGAGAGAGACCGAAAAATGATCTCAAGATAAATTCCAGAGCGAGCGGGGAAGTTTGTTGACCTGACTTTACACTTTGACCGAACTTGGTGAATGAAAGGCCGACGGAAAAGGTTAAACATTAACAGAACGGGGAACGCTGCACAAACAGCTGCCAACCAGCCAGTCACGGGCACAAAGTACAACAGTCTCCTTCGGCAAAGACTCCGAGAGTAAGCCGACCCCAGACCCTCCCAGAGGGAGCGGTCCCCTGTACGCACAACCACGCGCACACACACAACAGCTTGCATTTATATAGCGCCCTTCACCCCAGGTAGCGTCCCGGAGCGCTTAACACTGGCGGAGTCTGACCCCCCCTCCCCCCGAGCCAGGGGGGGGGAGGGGAACACGAAAGCACCATCAAACAGGAAGGTCTTTAGGCGGAAGGTACGCGCGAGCTTGGCAACAAGGAATGCGGTCACTCGATCCACGGCTGTTTGCGGGGGGGGGGGGGGGGGGGGGACGGGGACGCCGCCGTGCGCAATACGTATGGCCACTCCACTTCACGGTACGTCCCGCGAAGCGCTTTGAGACGTCTCGAAGACACAGATGTAGAGCTGGTACACGTATGTCGAACTCAGTTTGCATCGGAGACTCTGAAGCGCGGTGATGGGTTTCTGCGTGTGGGTGTGGGACACGCAGCCTACCAGAAAATGGGGTGCCCCTCCCTCACCCCCTCTCCCCTCCCCGCCCGCTCACCATTCGTCCCACAGCCCGTGGAGCCGTCCGCGGGGCAGTAGCGCACGTCCACCTTCTTCTTGCCGAGCTGGAGGTCGTGCGGGTCGGCCAGCTGTGCCCGGCAGCTGTAGCGGAACCTCTGCTCGTGCCGCGAGCCGCTCTGGCTGACGTTCACCGGCATCCACTGGGTCCACGGGGTGTTCCTCCGCACCTCGGGGCACGGATCCACGTTGCACGTCCTGTGTTCCTACGCGGGCCATTGGGAGGTCATCATCACCACCACCACCATCATCATCATCATCATCACCGTGATTATTACCATCACAATCATCCCGTAGCTCAGTGGTTAGAGCGCTCGCCTCGCAGGCGAGAGGACCCAGGTTCGATTCCCGGGCGGGACGAAACCTTAGGCGAGTTACCTTACTCTGTTTACCCAGCGGTAAGTAGGGGTAAACAGAGTAAGGTTATTCCGCTTGTTAGTCAATTGTCCGATCGCTTTCCAGGGGGTAATAATCACCCCCAACCCCCCACCCCTTAACCAATACAATCACTCAATCCACGACTGTTTGTGGGACGCCGCTGTGTGCAATTGGCTGCCTCGTCTCTCCCACAAAGTACACAGTCACTATATTCTGCGAAGCGCTTTGAGGCGTCTCAAATGACGTGATAAGGCGCGAAATCAAGTGCCAGGATTTTTATTATTGTACACTGTATACACTCATTTAAAAAAAAAAGCCTGAATTTGGTAAAGTGCCTTTCACGTTGAGCAGGACGTTGGCACTTCACAGGTTATATAACGTGTAGTTTCGTGAACACAGACACACATGCCCGCACACGCACTTTGTAACCACACTACATGACTTGTCTTATTTCCCCGTGACTCGTAACACGTGGACGTGCGTGTGTGCACACACACACGTACACAGGTGATTAAACAGCGCTGGACTCAGACTGAAAGTATTTCCCCTTCGCTATCATTGCCTGATTGCTCGGTTTATTGGGCGCAGTTCATTTGTTCCAAACAATGAATAATTTAGACTTTGTTCCCTTTGGAAGAGACGTCAAACCGAACTCTGCCTCCGTACCTTGCCCTGTTCAGGGAGATATTAAAGCTGCTCGAAAAAGAGAAAGGGAGTTTCTCTCCCTGTGTCCTGGCAAAATCATTTAATTACGCCAATACCATTTGATTAATTCCACTCCCTTCCTCCTTCACAACCACACTCGCACTCGCGCAAACACACACCCTATAAAATGTTCCAGATAGACCAGAGTTTATAACAATAATCCTCGCATTTATCACGTCTTCGAGACGCCTCAAAGCGCTTCACAGGATACACCGTAAAGTGAATTGACTGTGTATTTTGCGGGCGAAACGCGGCAGCCAATTGCGCACAGCAGCGTCCCCCGCAAACAGCCGTGGATTGAGTGACTAAATTATTGCTTTTTTTAAAAAAAAGGGATTTTTAACCCCTGGAAAGAGAACCGCCAATCGACTAACGACGGTTTACTGCTGGGTAAACAGAGGCGTGCGTGTGTGTGTGTGTGTGTGTGTGTGGAGTAAGGAAACTTGCCGAAGGTTTCGTCCCTCCCAGGAATGGAACCCGGGTCCCCTCGCTTGCGAGGCGAGTGCGATAACCACTGAGCTACGGTACTCATTTACTTGGTACGTCTCTGGGACTTTTGCTGCGCCCAATTGGGCTGCGTCCCATCGTTTCATCTGAACATCCATCTCCAGGCTCCGACAATGCCCTGGAGCATCGGCCTCTACATGAGCTCAACGGTGACGAGGGGCTGGAACCGGAAAGGTCAGGCAAGGCACGCACAACGACAACAACAACAACAACAAATTGCATTTACACGGCACCTTTCACGCCAGGAGGACGTCCCTAGGCGCTGGTCAGACAGGGATCCGCACCCGAGCTGGTGGTTGGGATCAGGAGGAGGGGAGGGCAGGGCAGGGAGGGCAGGAGGGTGATCGAAGGCGCGGTCGAAGAGGAGGGTCTTACCATGGCACACCCCGGGCAGGCGTTTCCGTTCTCACAGCTTCTCTGGCGGGAGTGCATGCCCTCTCCGCACTCAGCGCTGCACTCGCTCCAGGGCGCCCAGCTCGACCAGAACACGGGCAGAGGGCACGGGGAGTTCTCATTACAAAACCTGGAAAAGCCAACGGCTCGAAGTTGAACGCGGTTGGGAAGCTGGGATTCCCGCGCGCTCTCGACACGGCATCGTAAGAATTGCTCAGCAAAGACCGAGGTCCATTCAACACCCTGCCAGTCTCGTGCTCAACTCACGTCTCTCCCCTCACCCCTCCCCGACTCCCCCTCACCCATCCACCACACCCAAAAACATCTGCGTTCTGCACTCAGCAGTAGCAAATCATTCATTTGCCCTGGACAACAACAACTTGCATTTACACAGCGCACCTCACGTGGGGTAGCGGCCCAGAGTACTTGACATTGAGCCACGCAGCGGGTGGGGGGGGGGGGGGGGAGTGGAGTGGGGGGTGACCATAAACGTGGTCGAAAAGGAAGGTCTTCAGTCGTGGTGTAAAAGAAGGGAAGGAGGGGGCGAGGTGGTGGGGGGGCGGGGTTAGAGGGAAAGAGTTCAAGCAGGAGGCTGGAGCGAGCCGAGCGGAGGCAGAGGGTGGTAGAGTGGGGAGTGAGCAGGTCGGAGAGGTAGGGAGGTGCCAGGGGGTGAAGGGATTTGAAGACGAGTGAGAGGATCTTGAAGTCGATCCGTCCGGTGGTAGGGAACCAATGGAGCCTGGTGAGGGCTGGAGGGATGGAGTTTAGTGCGGGTGAGTGTGCGGGCAGCGGAGTTTTGGATCAGCTGAATTTTGTGGATGCCGAAGTTGGGGACAGTGGTGGGGAGAGCGTTGGAACAGTCGAGGCGGGAGGGGAGACGAGTCGTTTAGACGAGCAGATGAATTGCAGGATGAGAACCGAGGAAGAAAGTAACGGAGAAGTAACCGAGGGGGCGAGCGATTGAATGAGTTTGACTTTACCTCTCCTCCCTGCTCTGACCAACGCACACACGGCCTCCATAGCGAGGTGTGGGATTGCTGCATGTTCGCTGACGAACTTGGAACCCGATCCCACACGTGGTGCTGCACGGAGCCCACACTGACCACAAGGTCCACCCTCCATTCCTGTCCGAGCAAAATCGGGGAGAAACCGTCACGTTAGACGCGCAGAGATTCAGCCACCGACACATGATCGCTTTATCAATGATCATCAAATTGTATTAATGATAACATGATATTAAGTATAGCAATAAAATCGGCTGCCGCGTTTCGCCCACAAAATACACAGCCAATTCACTTTACGGTGTATCCTGAGAAGCGCTTTGAGACGTCTCGAAGACGTGATAAGGCGCTGAGCCAAATGCGAGGATTATCATTATCATCATAACTTGCTTTTGATACAGGGCGTCAGATATATTGGGAGTCCCGTTGCGTAGTGCTTTGTTCGTTCACCTCGCAAGCGAGTGAGAGGACCCGGGTTCGATGCGGGGTGACACCTTAGGCAAGTTTCCTTACTCCACACCCTCCGTCTACCCAGCAATAAGTATGAACCCAGTTGTTAGTCGATTGGCGGATCACTTTCCAGGGGGTAATCGCCCCTTCAAATTTTTTAAAAATCTGGTACTCAATCCGCGACTGTTTGTGGGACGCTGCCGTGCGCACTTGGCTTCCGCATTTCTCCCACAAAAAATACACGGTCACTGCGATTTGCAGTACATTCTGTGAGGCGCTTTGAGACGTCTCAAAGATACGATAAAGCACTATATCTAATGCAAGGATTATTATTATTATTAGGATTATTATTATTGAGGCGCTGTGTCAAATGTAAGAATTAGGATCAGGGTCAGAGGGCTCAACAGAAACAAGTTACAAGTCATTAAAATCAGCAGCGCATTGCAATACAAGTGTAACAAGGTGATCTGCCTCTTCTCTCCCTCTCGCTCTCTCTCCTTACCCATCCCCCAGTCGCACATGGATGGCGTGAGCTGACCTTTATGTATAAGACAAGAGGTCAGAGATGGTTATCCCTGACAGAGAGTCTCTCTGCTACTTGTGAGCTCCTTTTTGATGTCTGCTCCTGTGTCAGATCATCCATCTCTGATCAGATAAGAGAGGTCACTCACTATCCACCAGAGCCTCTCACACCAACTCCAAACTTCCAACAAGAAAGGGATTTGCAGTCAAGATACATCAATGTGGGAAGCCTTATCTCCAGGAGATGCTTTGGAGAAAGAATATGGAGTCCTGTAGCGTAGTGGTTAGCGCCTCTGCCTTGCAAGCAAGCGGGGTTCGGTTCCCGGGCGGGGCGAAACCTTGGGCAAGTTTCCTCACTCGACACGCACGCCTCTGTTTACCCGGGGGTAAATAGGGACCCGGTTGTTAGTCGATTGGTGGATCGCTTTCCGGGTGTAATAACCCCTCCAAAATTTTTTTAAAATGTTTTCACTCAATCCCCGACTGTTTGCGGGACGCTGCTGCGCGCAATCGGCTGCTGCTTCCCACCCGCAAGAATGCACAGTCACTCCACTTTACGGCATATTAAGTGAAGCAATTTGGGGCGTATCGTTGTGCACAGCAGTGTTCCACAAGCAGTCGTGGTTTGAGTGATCAGATTTAATTTCCCCCCCCCCCCCCCTCCTCAACCCTCAGCGCACTTTAATTTTTTTCTGCTTAAAAACTGTGCAAAAAAAAACAGTTGCCAAACGAATACTGAATCTGACCACTTCCTGCACCATCTGACACTTAAAAGGCAAAAAACAGTCTCAGGGCTAAGACCAGGTGAAGTTTGTCGATGTCAGACAAGTTCAGACTAAACTAACACACAGCAGATGTTAATGAAAATCAGTACCTGGATAATGAGGATAATTACTGGTTTCTGGTAAATATTTCCTTTTCTGCCTTCAGGAAAATCCTCATCGTCTACTGGCCCTTTCCTCCCCCCTCGCCCCCACCTCTCTCCCCCTCCCCCACCATCTCCCCGTCCCCTCTCAGCACATTTCTCCTCCAGAAAACCTCCATCATAGTAAAATCGAGAGGCAGCTTTTCACCCAAATGCCAGTGGGAATCTGGAACTCTCTGCCTCCCGCCCCCCAAAAGGCTGTGGGTTATGGCTGGATCCAGTCACATTGTCCAGACTGAGGTCTAGAGATGTTGGTCAGGTCAGGGGATCAAGGGGATATGGGGCAAAGGCGGGTAATTGGAGTTAAGGTACAGATCAGCCATGATCTAAGCTCGAGGCACTGAATGGCCTCCTCCTGTCTTCCCTTAGGTTCCCTTTCCAATGATAAAAATAATAATCCTTGCATTTGTTATAGCGCCTCATCAGCCCTCACCCTCTGGAACTCTACCCCACATCTGTGCCACTGTTGTTGTTAGCCGGAAGGCTTGCCTGTGCTTCCAATGGCAAACGATGCGGTGTTAGTTGGTTAAACTCCAGCTGTTACCCCAACGCACACTCTGGGATCCCCAAGCCTTGGCTCTCGCCAACCTGCACCTAATTGACTACGCAATCTCTGGAGAAAGTGGGGGTGGGGAGAAGAGGGAGAAAGAGGGACAGAGAGAGAGCGAGAGAGAGCCCATTTCATTCCTGACAGCAGCTTTTACGGGGGTCTTGTCTAGATCTCTCCTCCCCCACCACCATCTCCAGACGTCCGTCAGCTTTTTTTTAAACCAACAAGATTCATTATGTCTGTATAATGGATTGGACTAAGGTCACAGCTACAGACTACTGTATTCTAGCCCAGTCCTTGAAGAGAAGGGAGTTCCTCTCTCATTTTCTCTCTCTCTCTCTCTTCCCCCCCTACCCACACCCCCGCCACCCACCTCCCCTCCAGTGTCCTTGGCCAACAGTCCCTCCCGCCAAATAAAACCAGTCAATCACTGCATTTGGAGAAGTTGCTGCGTGCATAACTGACTGCCACGTGTTGTCATGGGTTAATGTTAAAATGTGTTTCAAGTTAATATAAAATAGAAGTGCAAAGGCTGCGAAGCTAAGTAATTGCAAGGCAGGACCCAAAACGATGCGGCAAAGCGAAAGCTCATTCGAAAGGCAATTGACGCTCTACGGATTGATAAGGCAGCTGAGGAAGGGGCATGTTCAGGTGAAATGTGGTCGACCCCGGCCATGATTTGTGCCGTTTCCCCGAGTACACCTCTACAGCAAAAGGACTTGGCCATCTTACAAGAAGGCTTTTCGCCATATCAGAAAGTTAAGGAGTGGCTGGCCGCCCGAGACACGACGGATGATAGACAGCCCGAACCAACTTTCGATTGGGACACACAAAGTCATCCCTGCACACTCCGCTTAATCAAGCTGAACCTCTTCTGCTGTGCGATCTGCCCGATGGAAGGAGTGCGGTCTGTGGTACCACCCGAATGGGCAGAGCATTTCTTCCATTTGTACGGGAGGGCATTGTTCTGCGTCAAAAACTATTTCAAAAATTCGACAAAGTGTTTGGTGGCCAACTATAGGCGTTGATATTGTTTCCAGGTGTAGTCGATGCTTAGCGTGTTTACAGCACAGTCCTCCTAAATCACTTAATCAAGCGCGTCTGGCTCAGGCTCCCATGGCTCAAGGCGGATATAGATACGGGTTGTCATCATTGATAAATTTACTAAGTGGATGGAGGGCTTTCCGGTTAAGAACTGTACAGCTCTAACAGCGGCTCGTATTTTGTTGCGTGAGGTGATCTGCAGGTGGGGAATACCTGTAAAGGTATCAGGGGTCCCATTTCACAGGGGAAGTTTTCACTGATTTAATGAAATTAATGGGAATGAAACATAAATTGCATATCTCATTCCACCCTCAGTCACCTGGGTTAAGTGGAAAGAGGGAACCGAACGCTCAAAACGATGTTAAAGAAATTTTGTGCAGATCACCCACACACTGGTCTGTGGCGATGCCTATGTGCTTAATGGCTATCAGATCTACCCCTCACTCTACTACAAGAATAACACCTTATCAGGCAATACAGGAAGGCTGATGAGGTTACCTGGACATATGCTGGTAACTACTAAAGAAGCATTAGCAAGTGGAGATGGGAATGCTAACTCGGTGACCGAGAATTGGCTTAGGACCACGATGGCCCACATTGAAGAAACTAACAAATTTGTTGCGTCCCATACAGGGAAAGCCAAACAGCAAATATGTGTAAATATTATAACAGAAAAAGTAAATTGCCAGGAATATGATGTTGGGGACAATGTAATGGTCAAGTGTTATGGGAAAAAGAACCGCCCATTCGAAGAATCCTGGAAAGGACCATTCAAAGTCATGGAAAAAGCGAGTGCATCGGTGTATTTGGTGCGAAACATAAAAGCACCCAAACCCCTCAAATGGCGCCATATTAACCAATTGAAGCTGGTCACAATTAAAAAGGAAAATGTAGATGATGTTAAGTTGTATTAATAACAGATATTATGCTCGTCTTGGCAGGACTAACCTAACTAATGATGTGTTGGCTGACGGTAATCGTGATCCTGGGAGCAGTCGTACCTGGATGTGAAGAAAGAGCCTCCCACATAAAACCAACAACTTGGTACTCCTATCACGTGACAATTCCGAGGGGTCGACTACTCAAGTGTTGATAGAGGACTTATCCTCATCTGTGTACTACGAACTTGGGACAATATTACATATACCGGAGGATGGAGCAGTACCAACTCACAGGGCAAATGGTATGAAGGACAAGGATACGGCGAAGATGGGTACTTTAAACTATTTGGACACCCGATTCCCCCGTTGTCACTCAATCTTAGGAGTATTCTACAAAGGGAGAGTCAAACTACAACAAGATAATGAGGCCACTGAGACAGGGACTAGAACGTTAGGTGAGAAATCCTGGTGGGAGACGGCATCGAAAGCTGCTGAAAGCCTTGGGTCGGGTGTGTTTATGTAGTACCAATTTTAGTTGCATTCGATGGCTTATCACTAACTTGTTATTTGCGTCACTTACTAAAGAAGACCCGACGACGGGTGGATACCTTAGATTTGAGAAGGTTGTCGCAAGACGATTAGGACCTGGTGTTTAATTCAGTTTTAAGGTGGGGACACAAAATGTTTCGCCCACAAAACACACAGTCACGACAGAAAGCGATCCGCCGATCGACTAACAACCGGATTTGCGGCTATTACGGTGATCATGTTAGCGAACGCCCCCCCCCCCCACCGCCCTCTTCTCCCCCGCTCCCCTCTGCCCAAGCTCGACAACCCCTTTCACCACCTTGAGCAGTTGAACACCTCCATCCAGGGACCCACACAGTCGCGGCCCCCGCACTTTGGGGCTGGGCTGTCACACGCACGGGATCTGCAATTGCACTGGCCCGTGGCGTCCTGGTCTGTGTGTTTGCACTGATGCCACGCAGTCCAAGGTCCGAAGGCACCATCCTGCGTTAGTTTTTTCACCTAAAATATACGGGAGAAATAATAATAATAATAATAATAATCATTGCATTTGATACAGCGCTTCGACACTTCTTCAATATCCTCCTGATCCCCCCAACCCCCAGCTCGGATCCAAATCCTCGACTGTCCAGAGCCTTGGGACGTCCTCCCCGACTCGAAAGACGCCGTGTAACTCTCATTTGTTGTTACTGTTGTTGTTGAGACGTCTCAAAGCGCTTCACAGAATTTCCTGTCTGAACCCTGAGCTACAGGATACGTCTGATACATCGGGAGAACGTTCCCAAGAGCTTCGCAGGAAGACCGTCCACGTCGCCCGCGCCTACAGTCACCTACAACCCCCTGTTGACGCTAAGCTGCGCGAAGGGCGCGCTGTATAGGTGCAAGTTGTTGTTGGTGGTGGTGTTGTTGACGGGGCACCTACCGGGCACTCGGTGATGTTCTGAATCCAGTGACTCATATTGGTGCTGTCCTCAAAGGTAGTGCAGCGTTTCTTTGCTGGATCCCATCCACAGTAAGGGTCTCTCGCCTCCAAACACAAGCTGCCAACAAATCATCATCATCATCATCTTTGCCTTCGACACAGTACCCGACCGCATGGTCGAGACGTCCCAAAGCCCCTCACAGGGCACACCGTAAAGACTCCGTATTCTGCGGGCGAAACGCGGCAGCCAATTGCGCCCAGCGACGTCCCCACAAACAGTCGTGGATTGAGCGACCAAATTATTTTGGGGTGGGGGGGGGGGGGGGGGGGAGTGGTGGGTTATTACCCCCAGAAAGCGATCTGACAATCTCATAACAACTGTATTCCTACTTACTACCCCTTAATTTCTCGCTCTGTAATTTGGTCAATCGCACACGGCTGTTTGCGGGGACGTTGCTGTGCGCAATTGGCTTCCGTGTTTCGCCCACAAAAATACAGTCCCATTTTTTTTCTTGCCCCCTTCTCCCCCCCCATTCCCACCCCCCCCAATCCCACCCCACCGCTCACATTTTGCTGCTGTAGGAGCTGCAGCGTTCCAGCGGGATCTTGAGGACACGGTTGGCCAACCCCACGAACAGCGACCGGTCATGGTGAAGGATCTTCAGGGTGCGAATGGGCTCCTCCTGCCCCTCAGGCAACAGCCGCAGCTCCTCCAGGTAACAGCCACTCAGCGCTTGATTCTGAGCCTGAGCCGACAGGGTCTTCAGGATAGTGCCTCGCTCTTCACACGGGGAGAGGGGTGGGGGGAGGAGAGGGAGAGAGGAGAGGGAGAGCAAGAGAGTAGGGAGGAGAGAGGTGGGGGAGAGAGAGGGGGGGATTAAAGTTCATAAATTACTGTAAAATGTTGGACAGACAAATGTTAAACTTACAAGCATTGTGATATTTTCTCTCTCCCTCTACTCCCCTCTCTCCCCTCCCCCTCCCCCTCCCCTGCTCTCCTTTCTCTCCTCCCCCCCTCTCTCTCGCCTCCCTTTAATTTTATTATTATTGTCATTTATTCCTAAAATTAGGGGTGAAGATACTGTTCGGTTTGGGGGCGATTCGATTTGGGGGGGGATGGGTGGCTTGGTTGGGGGCGATGGGGTTCGATTTGGGGGCGAGGCGTTGGGCGAGGTGGAGGGTGGGGGGGGGGAGCGGGGGTGTGGGGCAGGTTTTTTGTGGGGGAGGAGTGGGGCCTTACCGGTGCCGATGTAGATGACGTGGTAGAGATTGTCAGGGCCCTGGACGATGTCCACGGCCAACTTGGAGAAGCGCAGGTTGTCCTGGGTAACCAGCGGGTTCACGGAGCAGGGCTGCACCACCTCGTTCATCATGAAAAACCGCTGAGCGTCTGGCAGGGGGCGCTCCGTCAGCTTCTCGTTGGGACCACTCTTCAACGTGCCGCACTGCGGGTGGGGGGGAGAGGGTGGGAGGGGGAGAACAGGGGTACGAGCGTCAGGAGCTGAGCCGTTCTCCCCACTCCCCCCCCCCCACAATACCACAGCTAAGCCTGGCTCAGTGGTAGCGCTCGCTCTCTCTCTCTCTCTCTCTCTCTCTCTTCTGAGTCAGAAAGTTCTGGGTTCAAGCCCCCACGTTGGGACTTGAACTCACACAGTCTTAGCTGACGCTCCAATGCAGTGCTGGGGGTGGGGGGTGTTGCATTGTCGGAGACGCCGTCCTCCGGATGAGACGTTAAACCTCACTCTTACTGTGGAAGTGTGAGAGTTTTTCTCTCTCTCCCTCTCTCTCTCTCTCCCGGTGTCCTGGCCAACAATCCCCCAAATAAAATTGGTCACTCGCTCCACGCTGCTGTGCGCAAATAGGTTGCCGCGTTTCGCCCACAAAATACACAGTCACTCCACTTTACAGCATACCCCGTGAAGCACTTTGAGACTTCTCAACGACATGATAAGGCGCTGTAGCAAATGCAAGAATTATTAATATGATTATTATTATTATTTTGCTCTGAGACACTCTCCTGCCTGAAGGGCTCTGTGTATGAGCTGCTTTCCTGTTAGTTATCTTACCTGGAAGTTGGGGATGGGGTTGGGGGCTGGGAGCCAGGCCGAGCGGGAATTCTCCTGGTATCGGAAGGGACCGCTGAAGGTCTGTGTGATGGAGGTGAGGTTGAAGGCGCAGATCGCAGAGCCTGCGATGCTGTTTCTGTTCGGCAGAGAGAGAATAAACAGGTCAGCCAATTCCAGCCGGATCAACCATCCTCAGCGTCCACCTGAGATGGAACGGAACGCGGCAGCCAATTGCGCACAGCAGCGTCCCCACAAACAGTGGTGGATTGAGTGACCAAATAATTATTATTATTATTTTTTTTAGAAGGGAGTATTAGCCCCCAGCTAAGCCATCCGCCAATCGACTAACAACCGGGTTCCTACTCACTGCTGGCAAACAGCGGCGTGCGGGTGGAGTAAGGAAACCTGCCTGAGGTTTCTCCCCGACCGGGAATCGAACCCGGATCCTCTCGCTTGCGAGGCGAGCGCTCTAACCACTGAGCTACTGGGACTCCACCTAAGTTACCTCGACCTTAACTGAATCCTAGTCAGGCTTTCGGGGTTGTGTGTGGAGGAGATGGGGAGGGGGGAGAAATGCTAGACAAAAAAAAGACCAAGGTCCATCTGGTTCACCTTCTACCTTCCTGGCCACTCACATGTTGGTGGTGAAGACACCGTACATGAGGTCCTGTTCATGCATGTAGAAGGTGCTCTGTAGCTCGTTGTAGTGGAAGGGGATCTCGCCGGCCCGCGAGCAGTTGAGCCGGGCCTTGGCGAAGGTGGTCCACGTGTTCTCCAGCAGGAACCGGCCCCCCACGTCGTTCTTGCAGACCCTGGCCACGCGGGAGTAGATGGTCGCACCGCAGTCCGCCTCCACGTTGTGCTCCCGGAAGAAGAAGTAGACGAAGGGATCGATGTCGTAGGCAGAGACGAAGTTGGGCTCTGGAAACGGAGAGAGAGAGAGAGAGAGAGAGAGAGAAAGATCGAAGGTGAGAGAGGGAGCGGGAGAAAGAGAGAATGCGTGTGCGCGAGAGAGAGACGTGTGTGTGTGTGTGTGTGTGTGTGTGTGTAAGAGAATGTGTGAGAGTGAGAGAATATGTGTGTGAGGGAGAGTGTGAGAGAATGTGCAAGTGTGTGCGAGAGGATAGAAAGTGTGCGAACGAGTGTGTGACCGAAAGAGAGCAGGCCGACCACAGATGATAGTGATGGAGAGAAAGTGAGAGATGGATAGAGATAAGAGGGAGGCCGATGGTTGAAGAGAGAGAGAGAGAGAGAGAGAGTTGGACGGAGAGTGACAGTTGGAGAGAAAGCGGCACAGGAACAGGAGTAGACCATTCAGCCCCTCAAGCCTGTTCCGCCATTCCATTCGACCACGGCTGAGCGTCCGAATTTTCTGAAGTAAAAAAGAAAGAGACGAAAAGGGAGGGACCGAGACTGATGATGAGAAATAGAGAGAGAGAGAGAGAGAGAGAGAGAACCCCAACACCGGTCGGCCAGTTACTGTTGAGTGCTCCTTCAAGAGTAAATGGACAAGTAACAAAATGGCCGATGAGGAGAAGGGCGGGAAGTGCAAATGGACACTGGGAGTGGGACGAAGTGTGTGGTTTTGCCCGGTGGAGGGATGGAGAGTTTGGATGGACGAATAAAGATGCTCCAGACACAGCCCTGATTTGGATTGAGTTCATATTACAGTTACCGTTCAGCCACTTGGAGTTGTACTGGACGGTCCTCAACGGGGGGGCGTTTCCGAGGCTACGGTAGATGGCAAAGTCCCGGCCGGAGAAATCGATGACAGTGGCGGCGTACAGCTCTCCACTCGCCGTCATCACTGACGTGGAGTTGTGCCTTGGGTCGTAGGGGCATCTGGCCAGCCCGTTAATCTTCTCCAGGACCTTGCTCAGGTCATCAGGCTGCAGGTGGGGAGGGGGCGAGGTTGGGTGGGGGGGGGAGAGGGGGGTCGGAGGTCAAAGGCACGAGCTCGGTCAACACACCATTTACACGGTCACTACACTTTACACTGAACCCTGCGGAGCGCTTTGAGACGTCTCTCAAATGGGATGTAGTACATTTCGCACCTTGGGGCAGGTCTCGACCACTTGATACGGCACTATGTCAAACGCAAGGATTATTGTTATTTTTGTTGTCATCTTAGTGTAACATCACTCCACATATGATATTTTAACACACGCTTCCCCCCTCCCCACCCACCCACCCACATACACGCCTCAACACACGCTTTTGACATGTCCCAAAACCATTGCAGCGTAAATTCCCATCGTAGTTTGTCATTAAAATAATAATCCTCGCATTTGACACGGCGCTTTACCGCATCGTCGAGACGTCTCAAAGCGCTTCACGGGATACACTGTAAAGTGGAGTGACTGCGCATTTTGTGGGCGAAACGCGGCAGCCGACTGCGCACAGCAGCGTCCCGACCCCCCACACGCACACAGCCGTGGATTGAGTGACCGCATACAACCGGGTTCCTACTTACTGTTCGATAAGCAGAGGCGTGTGGAGTAAGGAAACTTTCCTAAGATTTTGCCCCACACGGGAAGCAAACCCAAGTCCTCTCGTTTGCGAGGTGAGTGCTCTAACCCCTGCCCTACAGGACTCGGGATGAACCCACGTAAACAGCTGACGTGTTATACCTGTCGGTTTGTGCAGGTGGGGGAAAAGGCGTTGGTTCCACAGATAAATATTTTCTTGTCATTGATGAGCATCACACGGATGTAGTTTTGACACTCCACCTGGCGAAAAAAACACATTATTAGCGCCGTTTGGGTCAAAGCATCTGTGTATCTCTCTCTCGAGATGAGACAGACAGCGCTCTCAATGGTAAGCCATACGTTTTTTTTCAGCTGGTTAGACCCCAGCAATCTACCTCTGGGATTTCCATGTGTAAGGGGGGGGAATACATGGAATTCTCCGCTTGGTTTGCATATGAGGTAAAGGCGGGTAATATGAGTTGAGGTACGGCTCAGCCACGTTCTAACAGAATGGCAGAACAGGCTCGAAGGGCTGAATGGCCTTCTCCTGTTCCTACGTTCCTAAGTCCCTGACCTTTCCGCTAAAGCTTACCTCAGTCTTCCCTCTGCTTAGACAGCTTTGCCTTGTGGTCTCATCTGGTTTCCATGCGACAGCCTGCGGGGGGGGTGGGGGTGTGGGGCGGGGTGGGGTGGGGTGGGGAGGAGGTTGGGGGAGGCGTGGGGGAAAGAGGGAAGAGGGGAAGAGGTGTGGGAAAGGAAGGAAAATTCAAGACGTTATTACACTTTTTCGTCCACAAAATATAGAGCCGATCCACTTTACAGTAGATGCTGTGAGGTGCTTTGAGACGTCTCGAAGATGTGATGAGATGCTGCATCACATGGAAGGATCAATTGATTAATTAATGTGAGAAAAGTGCGAATGACGTCAACTCACTGTTGGGAGTAGAACCATGAGAAATGGGACGGCTGAGAGGGAAGGTTGGTGGGGTGGGGGGGAAAGAGGGCGGGTGGGAGGGCGCGGGGACTGGAAAAGGGAAATATTTCCAGTTCCAATTATACACCCCTCATCGCCAACATCTTGCGAGACAATGGACGAGAGAGCGCGAAACCTCTGGGTGACTGTGTGAGGTGCAAACGCAGATGAATAAACTAATTGTTTCAAACGCTCCCAAATCACCAGTCAACAGAGAGAAACAGATTTCATTTGCATGTAAATACCGGGGCCGACTTATTAGTGAAGTGGAGCATTGCTGTCGGTGGGGCCTCATTCTTTCCCCCTCCCACATCCAAGGTACTTAACCCTTTAGTGGCGCTTGCTATTCTCGTAGCTCAGTGGTCAGAGCCCTCGCCTCGCAAGCGAGAGGACCCGGGTTCGATTCCCGGGTGGGGCGAAAGCTTAGGCAAATTTCCTTACTCCACACACACACGCGCCTGTTTACCAACGGTAGGTAGGAACCCGGTTGTTAGTCGATTGGCGGATCGCTTTCCGAGGGTAATAATGCCTCAAATAAAAAAAAAATTGTCGCTCAAACCACGACTGTTTGTGGGGACGCTGCTGTGCGCAATTGGCTGCCGCGTTCCAACCATAAAATTCACAGTCACTCCGCTTTACGGTATATTCCGTGAAGCGCTTTGAGGCGTCTCAACCACGTGATAAAGCGCTGTATCAAATAGGTAATCAGAGGCTTGTGACGTAAGGAAACTTGCCTAAGGTCCCACCCTGCCCGGGAACCGAATCCAGGGCCTCTCGCTTGGGAGGCGAGTTCTCTAACCACTACGTTACAGGACTACACGACCCTTTTAACGCCCCAAGATAAGGGCTCCCCCCCTTTCAGACGTGTCTTCTCAAAGTTGTCAGGCTGTAGTTCATGTCTCATGTCTTCCGACACTGAGCTGTAGCCTCGCTGGTGTCTGAGACTCTGTCGTCCTGAACCAAATCTCTGGGTAACACTGGGAGCTGAGGACAAGGGGTCAGCAATGCAGTCAATGTGGAAGGGAATCTGTGTGCTGCCTCCAATGATGTGTTGGCAGGGTTCGGAGTCAAAAGAACCCGACCAGACAAAGCCCGAACAAAGGGAAGGGCAGAACAAAAGCAGGCGATGAGCTGCGGAGCAGAGGTTAGGCTGGGGGGAGACACGGGCTTCATATTGTGCTGCGAAACACTGTCAGAGAAAGAGAGAGAGAGAGAGAGAGAGAGAGAGAAAAAGGAGCCGGGGTAACCAAGCAAGGAGGCTTTGACAAACTCCATCCCCCACCCCTCACACACCAGACAGATTTGTGGCAGAGGGGAAGAGGAAAGAGAGGGAGTAGAGAGAGCGGAGGGGTGGTGGTGAGGGTGGGGGGGGGGGGGTGGGGGGGAAGCAGGGGATGGGGGGAGAGAGTTAATAATAATCCTTGCATTTGATATAGCGCCTTATCACGTCTTCGAGACGTCTCAAAAGCGCTTCACAGAATATTCTGTAAAGTCGACTAATTGCACGTTGGTGGGCGAAACACGGCAGCCAATTGCACGCGGCAGTGTCCCCCACAAACGGTCGTGGATTGAGTGACCAAATTATTATTTTATTTATTGCCTTGGGGGAATTATTATCAGGCGTGCGTGTGGAATAAGGAAACTTGCCTAAGGTTTCGCCCCCACCCCCTTGGGATTCGAACCCGGGTCCTCTCGCTTGCGAGGCGAGAGCTCTATCCAACTGAGCTACAGGACTCCACAAGGGGGGAATGGAACAGGGAGGAATGGGATTAAAACGGAGAGCTCTGGTGCGTGTGCGTGTGTGTGTGTGTGTGTGTGTGGTGTGGGGGGAAAATGAGCTCCAGCACAGACAGAATAAACTGAAACAACCTCCTTCTAATGACTGGGCTCTATCCGTCTCCTCATCTTGTGCTTTCAATAGCTTGTGTAGACAACACACAGAGAGAGAGAGGGAGGATGGGGTGAGGGAAGGAGGTTCCTTAGCTGTCAGCAGTCATTTAACTTTGAAACGCGATAGCCTTTGCGCTCAGCTCCTGCCCTCCAGGCTCGGTTCCTGAGACAGCCTGATCCAGACCTCCTGACTTCAGCACTGTTTACAGCTCATGTCAGCGTGGAGCGCTCCTGCTCCCAAACCCGTCACTCAAAGCAGTCTCGCCATGTGCGGAACCCCTTGAGGCAGAGGGAGATGGGGGGGAGGGGAGGGTAAAGTGGGGCGGGGGGGGGGGGGGGGAAGAGATGGAGGGTAGGGGAGAGAGGGGAAGGAGGGGAGGGGAAAAGGGGGAGGTAGGGGAGGGGAGGGGAGAGGGCCCCTTATAGAAACTTAAGACCGTCGACCAAGAAAAGCAAAGTGAGAAAAAAGTCAGTGATAATAATCGTTGGACACGCATGTACATGCATTCACAACATGCCAGCCCCCCCCCCCCCCACATACACACACACACACGCTCAACACACACACACACGCTCAACACACACTAGTCCAAGCAGAATCTGTAATCCCTTTCAACAGAGGAAATTGGGCCAATAATAATGATGATGATCCTCGCATTTGATACAGTGCCTTATCACGTGTTTGAGACGTCTCAAAGCGCTTCACAGGATACACTGTAAAGTGAATTCACTGTGTATTTTGTGGACGAAACGCGGCAGCCGATTGCGCACAGCAGCGTCCCCACAAACAGCCGTGAACTGAGTGACCACATTACCCACATTTATTATTAATAATAATACTTGTATTTGATAGGGCCTTATCAGATCACTGAGACATCTCAAAGCTTCACGTGATTTTTGCTGTCAACTGAAGTCACTGTGTGTTTTGAGTGACAAAATGATTATTATTTAAAGGATTATTACTCCCAGAAAGCGATCCGCCGATCAACTAACAGCCGGGTTCTTACTGACTGCTGGGTAAACAGTGGCGTGTGTGTGGGAGTAAGAAAACTTGCCTAAGGTTTCGCTCGGCCCGGGAATCGAACCCGGATCCTCTCGTTTGCGAGGCGAGCGCTCTAACCACTGAGCTACTGGACTACCTGTACGGGAGAGAGAGAGAGAGAGAGGTGGTGCAGTCCGAGCTGGGCTTACCTGTTTAAGAGAGAGATCGGCCACACTAAGGCGGAAGAGGTAGTTTCTGCAAAACAAGGGGGCAGATGAACATGGGGTCACTGCAGGACAAACGAGGAAAGAGGGGGGGGGGAAACGCTTCAAATGATGGCCGAATTTCGCACCAAATTTACGTCTCACGTTGAACGACCAGTCACTGGGGGCAGGGAATCCTCCCCCTCAGCTCCTGTTAACTTTGCAGCTAAAGCCCTAACGGTGAGGGTGGTCCTAGCTGGACAAGCAGCGGGAAAGCTTACCAGACAGTGATCTCAATGGGCAAGCTATGTGCGGTTTCAGCTGATTAGACTCCCCCACACCCCCCAAGCCTCGGCTCTTGCCAACCTGCGCCTAATACATTCCAGAAATAGGTAAGCAGGATACGTCCCTCCAGGGAGAGAGGTAAAGAGAGAGAGAGAGAGAGAGAGAGAGAGAGAGAGAGGGGGCATTCCATCCCAACAATCTATCTCTGGGGTGTCCGTGTGTAGATGGGAGGCCTGGAATTCTCAAGCTTGGTTTGGAGACTCTTAAGCACAAGGTGATGGGTTTCCGCAGGTGTCGGACCAAAACAAAAGACGCTGAACGGAGACCGTTCAAGGATAAGAGCAGTTGGAATCTGCTGGCCACAGGAGAGGAGTGGAGAGGCGAGGAGAGAGGAAAGTGTGAGATAAGAGGAGGAATACCTGGATCCAACGATCAGCTGGTTCCTGTCGAGGTCAATGAAGATCTGACAAAAGTCCACTGCACCTGAGAAGCTGAAATTGTACAGTCCGGGCCTCAGCACTGTGGTGGGGGGTGCGGGGAGAGGGAAGGGGGGAGAGGGGGAGAGGAAAGGACACAGGTCGTGATTGAAATCCAAACACAGCAGCAACAAACGTTCATTAGCTCATTATTATACATCATGATAGTAATCCTATTATCCAGCAATTGGCTGCTGAGTTTCGCCCACAATATAGACAGTCACTACACTTTACAAGTATATTCTGAGAAGTGCTTTGAGACGACTCAAAGCGGTGATAAGGCACTGTATCAAATGCAATGATTATTATTATGATGATGTATATTTTATATATAAAAGAGTTTCTCTCTCCCGGTGTCCTGGCCAACAATTACCCCAAATAAAATTGGTTGCTCACTCCACAATAATAATCCTGGCAATCGATATAGCGCCTTATCACGTCTTCGAGACGTCTCAAAGCTCTTCACACAATATAGTGTAAAGTGAATTGACTGTGTATTTTGGAGGCGAAATGGTTGCTTCATGGCTGTGTGTGGGACATTGCTGGGCGTAAACTGGCTGCGGTGAATGTTGGGCGAGGAGAGGACCCAATGGGATAAGTAGTTGACTATAAAGTTCCTCTGTTGTTGTGATCTGGTGTTGGGTTCGGCAGTCGGGAAAGGGCGTGTGTGCCTGTAGCAGTCTGAGCACGCTCCCATTGAAAAGTACCACCCCCGCACATTCCTTCCCTGCACATCTCTCACTGCCTAAGCCAAGCAGCTGTCTTTCTTCCTCGTATCAAGATTGGCAGAGTTTAGCTCAGGCCTCCCTGCCCGCCTGCCCGCACCCGGTGCAATGCCATGTTCTGTGCCGAGGTAGGGAAGTACTTGAATCATTGACATTTCCAACCTTTGGAATCCATCCCACCTTCCCTTCGCCTCGCCCCCTCCCTCCCTCGCCTCCTTCAAAGCATGTCTCAAGACCCCTCCTCTTCGACCGAGCCTTCGGTCGCCCTCCTTCCCCCACCCTCCCTGCCTTCCACCCTCCGTGATCCCAAGCCCCAGCTCAGGTCCAAATCTCTGACAGTCCAGCGCCTTGGGACGTCCTCCTGCCATGAAAGGCGCCGTGTAAATGCAACGTGTTGATGTTGTTAGAACCAGGTCATTCAGCCCATCCAGTCTGCACCATCTCTCAGAGCAAGTTGTCCATTCAATTCCCGACTGCACTGCCCTATACCCATATTTCAAGCCTCTATCCTTCATATCAAGCTTGTGTCTCAGCCTGGCTCAGTGGTAGCGCTCTCTCTAACTCTCTCTCTCTTTCATCTCTGAGTCAGAAGGTTGTGGGTTCAAGCCCCCTCGTCAAGACTTGCAATCACATAGTCTAAGATGACGCTCCAATGAAGCTCTGGGGGAGTGTTGCATTGTCGGAGGTGCCGTCCTTCGGATTAAACCGAGTTGGCACTTGATATGGCGTCATTGCGACGTCTCATAGTACTCCACAGGACATCCTGTAAAGTGGAGCGATCGTGTACTTGGAAGACGAAACTCAGCAGCCAATTGCACACAGCAAACAGTGTCCCATGTGGATTGAGTGACCAAATTATTATCCTTTATATAATTTTGGTGGGATTATTACCCGTGGAAAAGCGATCCGCCAATGGAGGAACAACCGGAATCCTACTTACTGCTGGTAAACAGAGGTGTGTTTGTGTGTGGAGCAAGAAAACTTGCCTAAGGTTTCGTCCTGACCCGCCCGGCAGTCGAACCCAGGTCCTCTTGCTAGCCCACTACAGTCAGGGGCGTGAGCCAGAGCAAGAGGGTGGCTTGAGACTCTTACCATTGAAGGACACGATGGGATGCTCCTTCCTTTCACAGTCGGTGTCTGTGGAGGCTGGGACACCGGGCAAGCTTTGGGAGTGTGCGAGTCGGCCCGTGGTGACCAGGACGAGGCCGGGGACACACAGACACAGGGCCACTAGCCTCACTACCCTCATGGTGTCCGTGGAAAGGCTTCCCTGCTCAAGCGTCTGCAAGGAAACATAGCGAGGTTGGTTCATGCACACGCACACGGGGGCTAAACAGGGAGGCCTCAAATTCCACCGGGTCTTAACCCGCCGGACCACTACGCCTTGGAACACAAGCTCGCACAGAAACGTCGGGAATTCTCAAGTTCGGGATTAACGTTGATGGGAACGTGTGTGTGCATGTGCTGACACACGCACGCGCACATACACGTGTGAAAACACGCAGGGACGTATGCGTGACCATGTATGACAAAAGACACGCGCGCACATAGGAACAAACACACACACACACAGCACGCACACACGCGCACACACACACACACACGCGCGCGCGTGAAAAAACATGCACACGACGAGCAAGGTCGCACGGCAGCACACGACAAAAGACACCTGTATGTACGGAGCTCAGCGACGTGTCAGTCAATAATTAACTGGAGAGGGCGACGAGGCGGTGAGAGATGGGCGTCCGGCCGAGAAAATACATTGTGCTTAGTCAGCTCGCGAGCGTGAGAGAGCAGCGAAGGTAACAGCAGATTCTATCCGCTCATTAAAGAAAAGAGTTTGTGTCTAAGTTACAGTCACAACCTCCAGTAAACCTGGATGTCCCCGAGTGAAGTTTTCGCGCAAGGCAGCAGACAAAACGAGTTAGAGCAGCCCCCCCACCCCCCCCGCCGCCAACCCACACACAAACACATACTCACTTGCCCTCCCCTACCCCCGTAATGCATACGCACACTCACATGCGCGCACACGCTCCCACGCACATACACTCCCCCCCCCCCCCCCCCCCCCCCACCACCCACACCCCTCCACACTGCCACCCTGCGCTGGGCTGTCTCCGGCTTCCTGCTCATCCCCCCCTCCCCTCCGCTCCACCAGCAGATGCCACACTTTCAGCCCCGACGCCCCCACAATCTCCCCCCCCCACCACCCCCTCACTCCTTCGCCCTCTTTTAAATCACACCAGAAGACCTTCCTCTCCGACCAGTGCTTACGGTGACCTCTTCCCCCACTCCCCGCGCCCCCCCCCCCCCCCCACCCCACAGGGGTCAGGCTCCGCCACTGTTAAGCGTGAAGGGCGCCGTGTAAATGCAATGGTTGTTGTTACTGCAAACGTGATTGGAAGCACTACTCACTCCACACATTCCTCCAAAGTCAAACTGTTCCTGGAAAGCCACTGATCCCACAGTTATTATTAACCGTAGAGTAACTGTGGCCTCTCTCCCCCCGAGGATGGGTGATTAAGAGAAAGGTGGGCGGCGGCGGTGGTGGTGGGGTGGGAATTCTTGTGGAATCCTGTAGCTCGGTGGTTTGAGCGCTCGCCTCGCAAGCGAGAGGACCCGGGTTCGATTCCCGGGCCGGGCGGGCGAAGCATAGGCAAGTTTCCTTACCCCACTCTCCTCTGTTTACCGAGCAACCGTGTTCCCACTAACTGCTAGTCAACTGGCGGAGGGCTTTTCCGGGGATACTAATCCCTTTTCAAAGGATTGGCCCCTCAATCCACGACTGTTTGTGGAGACGCTGCTGTGCGCAATTGTCTGCCGCATTTCGCCCGCGAAACCCATAATTAATTCACTTTAAATAGATCCTGCGAAGCGCTTTGAGACGTCCCGACGACGTGAGAAGGCCCTGCATCAATTGCCAGGATTATTAGTATAATTTTTTTTTTTTTTAAAAAAGGACGCTTTCAAATCTCCTTAAGCCACGGAGTTTGAGTGGAAGTTCCAGGCGGGTTGCCCTCAGGACTCTGGGGGAGAGGGGGAGGGAGAGGGGTAGAGAAGGGGAAGGGGCCATGGCCTCTGCCTTTCATCAGATGGCTGACAGTTAATCTCAATCCCGCTCGCGGCTAACCCTTTGGCAGCAGAAGAGAACCAGACGGTCAGCAGACCCCAGACACCAACAAGCCCATAAACATGTACCACAGCATCCAGATAGCGGCCGTGTGTTCATATTCTTTTCTTTTCTTTCTCAGCTTCGTCCCTGTGCTCTTCCCATCTCTTGCGAACCCTCCCTCTCCCCCTCTCTATCTCCTTCTCTCTCGGCTTCACCCACTCCCGTAGCTTATGGTTAGCACACTCGCCTCGCCTGGCGAGAAGACCTAGGTTCGATTCCTGGGCAGGACAGAACCTTTGGCAAGTTTCCTTACACCACACGCCTCTGTTTGCCGAGCAGTAAATAGCCTGTCAATCGATTGGCGGATCTCTTTCCGAGGGTAACGTTTGCTCCCCTCCAACTGGAGCTCTTTACTCTAACTCCATTCCCTGCTCTCTCTCTCTCTCTCCCCATCGTGTCTGTGCTGGTGCTCGCCGCCCCCTCTCTTCTCTAATCCCGATTTCCATACTCTTTCCCCCACAATCCTGTGATAATGTGATGTGATAAGGCGCTATATCAAATGCAAGGATTATTATTATTATTGTTGATATTGCTGGGATCCTCTTCAAATATACAGTATTCATCCAATTCCCTTCTAAATGTTGATATGGGCTTAGTTTAAACAGGCACTTGCGGAGAAGCATTTGCGTGTTCTGATAACTGTCTGTGTGTGTGTGTGTGTGTGTGTGTGTGTATACAAAAATACATTTGAAAAAATTTCCATTAAATCCCCTCTTGACCTTTTCTGCTCTAACGAATTCAGCTCAGGTTTGTAAACCCTTTCATCATAACAAGCTCCTCTCAACCCCGGTATCAATCTTCACATTGAATCTCTCGTCTTATTATAGTTCCGTTCAGCTCGCTCTCTGCCGCACTCCTCTCTCTCTCTCTCTCTGCCGCACTCTCCTCTCTCTCCGTTTCGGAGCAGCACTGGGACTCTTACGAACCTTCCCTTCCCAGAGACATTGCGTAAGAATTATCAGCGTTTCCGAGATTTTATTTTGAAGGGATTATTACCCCCTGGAAAGCGATCCGCCGATCGACTAACAACCGGGTTCCTACTGACTGCCGGGTAAACAGAGGCGTGTGTGTGGAGTAAGGAAACTCGCCTAAGGTTTTGCCCGGCCCGGGAATCGAACCCGGGTCCTCTCGCCTGCGAGGCGAGTTGCTCTAACCACTGAGCTACAGGACTCAACAAATCCATAACTTCCTGTCGAGGGGGTGGGCAAACAACTACTGTGTAGTGAGTCGAGCCGCCTATAAAATCTATTTAGTCCAGCTTGACAATAATGAACTATGAAGCACTGCGTGTGTGGAGCCTTGCTCTGCCCAAATTGGCTGCCACGTTTGCCTAAGAAAAATAGTCACTATAACGCTAAATAATGCTTGCATTAGAAATAGCGCATTGTCACGCTGTTGAGACGTCTCAAGAAGATACTCCAAAGTGGAGGGACTGTATATTTTGTGGGCAAAACACGGTAGACTGTTGCACACAGCTGCGTCCCACAAACAGTAGTGGGTTGGGCGAGGAATTTTTGTTGAAGGGTTTGTTACCCCCGGAAAGCAATCCGCCAGTCGACTAACAACTGGGTTCCAATTTACTGCTCCGTAAACAGAGGCGCGTGGGGTAAGGAAACTTGCCTAACCACTACACTACAGGACTCCAATACTTAATACACTAAACAGCAATGGCCTGTGAAGTACTTTGAAGCAGTGATGTTATAGAGGCTTAAGCCAATTGTTCAGGTGATTTCTTTTACAAAGAAGAAAGGAGGAAATTAAAGAGCAAGGCAGACATTTTCCAACGTATTATCTGAGCAGACAACAGATTTCGGTTCTCCCGAGTGCCCTCAGATAAGTCTGATGACATTGTCGAGCCTCAGCTATAAAAATATCCACAGAACTTTGGCTCATTAAGAGAACAGAGATCACAAACATCTGCTGTGCCTCTGAAGCCAAGTGGGAGCCTGGAAATCATTACAGGAAAGATGTACATACGCGCACACACATTGCAAGATGGCTACAGCAATGATGGTGGCGTCCTGTAGTGTAGCAGTTAGAGCGCCCGCTTCGCAAGCGAGACGACCTGGATTTGATTCCACGGGCGACGCTAAACCTTAGGCAAGTTTCCTTATTCCACACACACGCCACTGCTTACCTAGCATTAAGGAACATAAGAACAGGAGGAGGCCATTCAGCCCCCTCGAGCCTGTTCCGCCATTCTATAAGATCATAATTGATCTGTACCTCAACTCCAATTACCTGCCTTTGCCCCGTACCCCTTGAGACCCTGACCAAACAAACATCTCTCCACCTCAGAAGGGAGCTTCTCCTGGCCAATAATCCTCCGGATGAATCGTTTGTTCAGCGAGTGGCAGTTTGTGGGACATTAGAGTAAGAGATTACATTAAGTGATGGATCATGTCTACACTCATCTAATTTTGGCTCCATTCAGATGGACCACAATGTTCTATATTATATTCGAATAATACACTCAAAAGTTAATGGACCTTTAAATTGTGTCTCTAGGGTGAGACATATTGCTTTCTTTTACCCCTCTCTTCCATTCCCAGTAGTGGGAAGCGGGGAGCTATCGAGTAAGTTTGCCCACTGCTTGTCCAGCCAGGACCACCCTACCTGTTAAGGCTTTGGCTTGCCGGGTTAACAGGAGCTGAGTGGGACGATTCCCTATCCCCAGTGACCAGTCTGCCCTTCCAGGTCTTGCCGATGATCCAAGGAAATTTCAATGAGTCGCTAACATACATATGCGGAACTCTCAGTCTGGTTTGGAGACTCTTAGCAGCGAACAACAACAACAACTCGCATTTATATAGAGCCCTTTCACACGGGGCAGCGTCTCGGAGCGCTTAAGCACGGAAACGGATTTCCGCACGGGTCAGACACACATTTGTCTGACCAAAACAAAGAGAAATAGAAAGATTCCAGCACTTACCCTGTCTGCATCACCCGTGTGTCATAGTTGCCAGCCACACTTTGCTGTAAATGTCTTGTAACCTGCAGGGGGAGGGAGGGGATAGCAACAAGATTCCACTCAGTATGGGCGTGAGAGAGAGAGAAACATAGCTACAAGAGGAGGCCATTCAGCCCGTTCCGCCATTCTATAAGATCACAGCTGATCTGTACCTCACGTCCAGTTACCAAGTTTCGCCCCATATCCCTTGTTCCCCTCTACCTGACAAACATCTCTCCACCTCAGTCTTGAAAATGTGAACGGATCCACAGCCACAATCCACAGCCTTTTGGGTAGACAGACAGAGAGAGAGATAGAGAGAGAGAGAGAGAGAGAGAGAGAGAGAGAGTTCCAGATTCCTGGGGGAGAGAGTTCCAGAGAAAAGCGAGAGAAAGAGAGAATGTGAGAGAGAGAAAAAAAAGAGAAGAGTGAGAGTGAGCACCAAACACAAGGAAATTTCCATGTTTAACGTCTGTAGAAATCACAAAGACGAGGTCCAGACCCCATTGGATTCACTAAAGCCAAAAGGTTGGACCCCCTTCTCTTAGACTCTACGAGTCTCAATAAGAAAAGGACCTCAAGGCTAAGACAGGGAGGGAATTTCAGGGATCTCTAGTCTCTGTTCAGCCGACCATAAAAGCAACTCATTAGATCTACACAGCGCCTTGCACGTCGGGAGGACATCCCAAGGCACTAGACATTTAAGGGTTTGCACCCGAGCTGGGGTTTGGGATCAAGAGGGGTGGAGGGTAGAGAGGGTGGGGGATGGGTGACATAGGCATTACCTGGAGAGACGCAGGAGAGAGAGGAAGAACCCTGATAATCTCCGTCACTCACATACGCAACCAAGCCATCTGGAGGGCTCTTAAACCAATGGTGCATGCTTGTTATTCCAGTCCAGTATAGCTAAATGACAGCATGTGGAACAGAGACCAAACTGTGCATCTCAGCATAATCAAGGCCTCAGAAACATCGCCTGGATGTCTGTGTGTGTGTGGGGGGGGGGGGGGTGGGGGGGGGGGTGTAGAAGAATATAGTCTTCACAGAGTCTGCGACGCGCAGCAACTCTCAATGCAGTGACTTATAACCCACTTCATTTCCGAGCGGCCCCACAAAAAGGCTGATCAATTACTGACACTCTCTCACACACGCACACACGTTAGAGAGGTCTCAAAGAGAACATACTGTAAAATGGAGTGACTGTATTTTGTGGGCGAAACGCAGCAGCCAATTGCACACAGCAGCGTCCCCACAAACAGTCTGGAAGGATTATTACCCCCCCACCCCGGAAAGCAATCCACCAATCGACTAACACCGGGTTCCAGCTTACTGTTAGGTAAACAGAGGCATGTGGAATAAGGAAACCTGCCCAAGGCATTCCCCTCTCTGCCTGGGAATTGAACCCAGGTCCTCTCGCTTGCGAGGCAAGCGTGTTAACCACTACACTACAGGACTTCTATATCAAACGTAAGGGTTATAAAGAACAGAGTGGGTAATCTCTCAGCCTAATGCAATGTATTCAAAAACCTCCTAAAGTTCGGTCCTTTGCATTTCTGATGCCTCTATGCAAACTTCCTGCAGCTCCAAACACGCAATGTTTAAACCTTTGGAGAGGTGTGAAGTGTTTAGGGATATAACCACTGGAGCATGGGAAAGGGAAGGAGGAAGGAGAGGGAGGAAGCCATAGAGGAGCCTCGTGTTTTTGACCTTAAATTATGTTATTCTTCATAACTCATTTATACACGTGTATTTGCATCTGTGGAGTCCGGGAGCTCAGTGGTTAGAGCGCTCACCTCACAAGCGAGAGGATCAGGGTTTGATTCCCAGCCAGGGCAAAACCATAGGCAGGTTTCTTAGTCCACACCCCTCTGTTTACCCAGCAGCAAGTAGAAACCTGGTTGTTAGTCAATTAGCGGATCGCTTTCTGGGGGTAATAATCCCTTGACTGTATGTGGGACGCTGCTGTGTGCAATTGGCTGCCGGGTTTCGCCCACAAAATATACAGTCAATTCACTTTACAGTATATTCCGTGAGACGTCTCAAAGACGTGATAAGGCACTATATCAAATGCAGGGATTATTATTATCTGGTGATGGTGGGTTGTGGGGGGAATGTGGAATGGGGGCCTTGTGTCACTGTAACAATACAGGGATGGAAAGGGGGAAGGAATGTAATGTGCATCTGATGACAGCCAATTCCTACAGTCCTGATTCTAACCAACTGTACCAGCGTAGCTCAACTCTGCCAATACTTTACAATGACAGGCATCTCACCCACAGGAAGATGGCAGCAACCCATGAATGCCCAGGTGGTTCTCTCTCATGTGAGGCCATGTGTAAAATCACCCCCTGCCCGTCTTACTGAGCTTTGCACCAACTCCCCCTCCCTCCCTCGTCCTGACCAGATGGTCCATCTCAGGTGATGGGAAGGAGGGAGAGGAGGGAAGGTGGTGGGGGTGGGGGTTGTGGAGTGGGGGGAGAGAAAGAACCTGCTGGAGATGCCATCCTGACAGACCTTGGCTCGGTGTCCGTGATGGAACGCTTTGCTCTGGATACCATGCCAAGCTTTTGGCACCGTCTCTCCAAAACATTGTCACCAAGCCAAGGAGAGAGGCGTCGAGTTGATTCCGGTTGCCGGGGGAATGGAGAGCAAGTGACGGAAGATTCTCAAGTCATCATGGGAAGGTTTTTTTCCCCCCCTCCCGACGGTCCCCCCCTAAAAATATATATTCAATGCGCATTTGGAAGCCCAGACTGTAAGCTCAAAGACCCGACGTGGGGGCTTGAACCCACGACCTTCCAATTTGGAAGCGAGAGAGCTACCCGCTGAGCCAGACTGTCGGCAGATTTGGGAGCGCTTTGGAGCGAGTGCCTTGGGATGTCCTCCCGACGTGAAAAGCGCCATACAAATGTAACTTGTTGTTGAGCCGGCTTTTATCATGAGTTTGTGGATAATAATAATCTTTGCATTTGATACAGCGCCTTATCACCTCGTTGAGTCGTCTCAGAGCACTTCACAGGATACACTGTAAAGTGAATCGGCTGTGTATTTTCTACGCTACAGGACTCGGTCAGATTTCCCGTCTACCTTCTCTGTTCCAATGAAAATTGGCCCAGTTCCTCAAGAACCTCAATAGGGTCGTACGTTTCCCCCCTCCCCCCAAACCACTCAGCTTAGGCTTGCAATGACTCAGTTGCCAGCCCAACCAAGACAGAGACAGAACCACCAACTTCGATTCAGGTCCATTATTCATCGGCAACACAGAAAGCATTTCCAGTGTCCTGGCACACTATTGAAGGACTCCGCTGTTGGCACGGAGCCCCTGCACTTGAGATTTCCCCCCTTCTCCCACCCCAGCCCGCACTTTCCCCAATGACAAATTACCCATGGTTTCCTTACAGATTAGATAAGTGGTTGAGCAAAGAAGCCACTTAATCTCTCTATAACCTATAGCCGCAGTGCAATCCATCAGCTCTACATGCCTTCCTTCCACGAACATTTTAATTCTTGTTCTGCGTTCGCAAGACATCGGCATCAAAATTCGCAGGAGAGGAGGTCGGGGAAAGATATTCACCATTATACGATGCCTCCACCTACTTGGGGGTGGTTGTGGGGGAGGTAAGTGGCGTGTCTCCTTGAAGCTGAACTGGCTCCCAGGTGAGATGCCTGGCAACGGAAAGTCAGAATCGAGCCCACGGTGACGGTCTCTAGTGCAGTTGTTGAGCCAGGAGGGGCCACGGTATTCCAGGGCACTCACTGCTGATGGCAGCACAGCCCGGCCTGGAAGGGCCAACTAGTCACTGGGGACAGGGAATCCTCCCACTCAGCTCCTGGTAACCCTGCAGCCAAAGCCCTAACTCACGGGTAGGGTGGTCCTAGCTGGACAAGCAGCAGGGAAAACGTGCCAGACATGCCTCCAACTCTTCCATCTCCCACCTCCCTTCCCCTACCCACCCTCCGCAGCCTAGCCAACAACATGAGGAACTATAACCCCAACTTCAATGCTTCAAGAAGGCGACTCGAGAATAAGACCAACGCCCTGTGATCAAGTCAACAGAAAACAGACTCCAAACATTTACAGGCAACAAATAGCTGAGAAGACTGAAGGCCAGATTGTGTTGGTGACAGACAGTGGCTGTTGGGTTCCTTGGCACCAGGTTCACACCAGATGCCCCTTGAATTAGTCCTTGCTTTGAGATCAGTCAATTATTGTTTGCAAAACCTTTGGCAGTTCGAGACATCAGCCTTCCTCCACACCAGGTTTCCAGAACCAAAGAAAGATAATAATAATCCTCGCATTTGATACGGCGTCTTATCACGTCTTCGAGACGTCGCGAAGTGCTTCACAGGATATATATATATATATATCACAGGATACAGGCTGTATATTTTGTGGGGGAAACACGACAGCCAATTGCGCACAGCAGCGTTCCACAAACAACCATGGATTGAAGTGACCAAATTATTATTTTTTTTAAGCGATTATAACCCCCGGAAAGTAATCCGTCAACCAACTCACGACGAGGTTCCTATTTACAGTTACGTAAACAGAGGAGTGCGGAGTAAGGAAACTTGCCTAATGTTTCGTGCTGCCCAGGAATCGAACCCAAGTCCTCTCGCTCGCGAGGCGAGATTGCTAACCACTGAGCTGCAGGACTCCACCGTGAATTAACAGTGAAACCCGGATGCGATAGAGTCATTTTGTGCATACAAATTTCAAAACCACTGATTGCTGTGCACCTTATGATTGCTAGTCTCCAATCTCAGGGTGTAATTTGCGGGTTGGGCTCACCAGTTGTAAACACAGGTTGAGCGAGCGAGAGAAACAAGAGAGAAAGAAGGAGAAAGAGAAAGTGTCGATGTCGTCAATTATGCAATGAACAGTCAACAAAAAGGAGACAGGTTTTGTGGATCATCCTTTACACCGGGTGTTGATATATTGAGGCAATCTGCAGGTATATTCACGGGGTTCAATGGGCTTAATCCGAACCACAAGTCAGTCCCAATTTCCAGATAAACGTCCACCAGTGGGTTTCAGTTGGAT